TCTACCATTCACATGTAAGGACACACACATGCACTTAGCAAGTAGTTCTCACTGAACTTTTAATGAATTGCTTATTACAGAAAAAAGTAAAAGATAAACACTTTTATACACTTATTGCCTATTTGCATTTCTTCTTTGTGAATTACCTTCTCATGTCCATGTGCTTTTCTGTTTGTCTCAGAGATTTAATGGGGACTGGAGTGATGTCTCAGTAGTTAAGAGTGCTTGCTGTCCTTCCATAGGATGAGTTAAGGTCCCAACACTCACATTGGGCAGTTCACAACTGCCTGTAACTCCAGCTCTATATAAGGCTCCTATAGTCTCTTCTGGCCTCTTCAGGAACCTGGAACCATGTGCACATAGCTCCTCTTTCCACATACACAGGAAAATCTGTTAAACAGTATTTCAATTTGACAATTTCAATTTAATTTGATCACATTTACCCCCAATCTCCCTTTCCACATCATGCTCTCTCCTAAAATCAAAACAAAAGAAACAAACAAAAAAATCAGTGGGACAGTTGTGGTACACACCTTTAATCCCAGCACTTGGGAGGCAGAGGCAGGCGGATCTCTGAGTTCAAGGTCAGCCTGTTCTACAAAGTGAGTTCCAGGATAGCCAAGGCTACACAGAGAAACTCTGTTTTGAAAAACCAACCCCAAATCCAACCAAACAACAACAAACAAACAAACCTCCAAACCCTAAACCTAAAATTCTGAAAAAGAAAACTTAAATACATATGGCTCAACAGGTAAAGGTGCTTGTTGCCAAGGCCAAAGACCTGAGTTTGATCCCTAGGAATGAGATCAGGGAATTATCCTTTGCCAGTAAATTATCCTTTGAATTCCGCTCAAGTATAGTGGCAAGTGTGAACAGCCCCCCACCAATAAATGTAAAACAAAACAAAACCTTAAAAAAAAAAAAGAATAAAGCCAGGTGTAATCCCAGCATGGTGGAGGTGGAGGCCAGAGGATTAGAAGCTCAAAATCATCAGCTATATAAGTGAACACAAGGTCAGCCTGTGCTACATAAGACCCTGTTTCAGAAAACCAGAAAAAATATGTAAGATTAACATATTGCCTGGTAAAAATGTATATTCTAATATTGTTATTGCTTTTTAATTCTGTTCATGCCGTCTCCAATGTATTATTAGCTAACTACTTCAGTTTTTCCCATTATATGTGTTCTGTAGATTTTAGCCTTAGCAAGATTTTTTTTTAATATTCCCTGTCAGAAGCCAAGTTCTGTGGTGCACACTCATAATCCAAGCACTCGAGAGGCAGATGCAGGAGGACTCTCTGTGAGTTTGAAGCCAGCCTGGTCTACAAAGTGAGTCCAGGACAACCAGGGCTACACAGAGAAACCCTGTCTTGAAAAATAAAAAAGTATATTCCCTATCAGCTGCCTACATTTTCATTTTGTTTAAATAAGTAAGCTTACATTTTTTTACTCTTGAAGCATTCAATTAGAATTTAGTACAGAGCAAGCTTACTATCTTGCTTACTGTGACATTTTCCAATCTTTTTTTTTTTTTTAAAGATTTACTTATTTATTATATATACAATGTTTTGCCTTCAGGCTGGAAGAGAACACCAGATCTCATTATAGATGGTTATGAGCCACCATGTGGTTGCTGGGAATTGAACTCAGGACCTCTGGAAGAGCAGCCAGTGCTCTTAACCTCCAGCCCGACATTTTCCAATCTTAACAATAAAGTCATTCCTTTTTCAACTGGCTTTTTATTTTCTGCCTGCTGCAGACCATAGTGCAATGAATGCCCATACTCAAGAATATTTTCTTTGTAGGTCTGTGTTACCTCACTCTTTCCTAGTTCCATCCATTTGCCTGCAAACTTCATGATTTCCTTGTTTTTAAAGGCTGAGTAGTATTGCATTGCATAAATGTACCAGTTTATTCATTCTTGGGTTGAGGGACATCTGTGTTGTTTCTAGATTCTGACTATTATGAACAAAGCTGCTATGAACATGGTTGAGCAAATGTCCTTGTATGTTGGAGCAAGAAGATAAGTCTGATGGGCATCTTAGGCTTCATGTCAACCTACTAGTTTAGGAGAATTGGGGATATCGCTGACAGACTATGTTGCCTGCTTTTTGATCACTTCCCCTTGATGGGACTTCACTACAAGGCTATAGGGGAAGAATAGATGAGAATAGAGAATAAGCACATAAGAATATATAATAATCATGTGAATAGATGAGCTGGGTGTCTGGGTAGGGGGTTCCTTTACTGGGGGAGGGAGGAGAAGAATGAGGGGGCTTATAACCAAGATGTAAATTTAATAAAAAGTTTAATTAAAAAAAGAATATATTCTGTGGTCTTTTCACTCTGGCTCCCATGTTGTTTACCCTGTCAGTTGGTTCTTATGTGTAGGGGCCAACTAGACTTTTATTTATACAGTGTCCTGTTTTTCATGTGCTACCACATCCGGATCCTCATAGTTTTAAGGGACACTGCTGAAGGTTATTTTTATAGTCCTTGTTGCTGTTGTAAAATTAGTGTTTTCTTTTCCTTCCCTACCCTATCACCTCCCATTCTTTTCTGAGATGGGGTTGGGGGTTCCTCTCTGTATATAGCCCAAGCTGTCCTCAAACTCAGACCCTCCCGAGTGGCTGGGATTATGGGCCTGCACATGTTTCGCTTGTTGTTTTCTAAATGATAGTTTGCATTGGAAAAAGAAGTTAGTCCTACTATCTCACTTATTATGTCCATTACTCACTTATTTAACTGGGGATTGAAACTAGGCTCTCATATATGCTAACAAAATGCTCTATCATTACTGAGCTATATTTTAGCTCCTGCACTGTCAATCTTTAACTCCAGTTCCAGGGGATTCAACATACTTTTTGGCCACTGCACACACATGGTACACAGTGTACACTCAGGCACAACACCCATACACATGAAAAAAAAAATACTGCTGGGCAGAGTAGCAGGCATATATATGCAGACCCAGCTACTTGGGAGGCTGAGGCAGGATTGCTAGTCTGAGCAGCATAGATCTCAGTCCGAAAAAAAAAATGACAACCCTACTACAGTGTATGTGCACAGTACATAGTATGAAAAGAACATTTATATAACCAGCTACATCCAGCTTAAGAAATATCAGTGATGCTGAAGCCTATTGTGTAAATCTCTCTTCCCAGCTACAATTCTATTTACTCTTGTATCATTCATCTTGGACATCAAACACCAATTTTGTCATTTATATGGCTTCTCAGATCCTTTATGCATAGGAATATTTTGCAATGTTGTCTCGATACAGGGTCTTACTACATTGCCAAAGGTATACTTTAACTTATCTCCCAAGAGCTGGAACAGTAAGCATATGCAATCATGGTTGGCCTATTTTGCAACTTTTTGAGCTGTGGTTCAGGTTGCTTTTGAACTGTTAGGCTCAAGCAATCTTACCTCTCAGTCTCCCAAGCAGCTGGAACTACAGGTGTACCATCACATCGAACATTTGAACAGAACTCCTAACTGTAACTTTTTTGACATTTTTGCTGCATGGTACATATTTTCATACTGCATATGATCCTACTTTATGAATACATCCCAATTTTTACATCTTATGGGTATCAATTTATGTGGGTATTATAACTAGGCCTTTTGTTGGATTTAAAGTCTAGCAATTTATTTTTCCTTCACTAGGATTCTACCTGTATTCTCCATTTCTACACTTCCTCAACCTCCAACTCATGAGCTCCTTTCAATTCTTTTGTGATCTGGTTACCAAATCTAGGGCCTCACAAATGCTAGGCAAACATACTACTACCGAGCTATATTTTCAGCCCAATAATAGTTTTGTGAGACAGGCTGTCAACTCTATTGCCCAGACTGGCCTTAAGCTCGCAGCAAATCGTGCCCCAGCCATCTTAGTTCAATAATGTGAGCAGCCATAAAAAGCTAGGAACTAGCTCTTGTTGGCCCAACAATTCTTTCATTATGAAGTGCTGGACTCTTAATCTTTTTAAAGACTTTTTTTTTTTTTTTGGTCCAGGCAGATGTGATCTTCTCCACTACAGTTGGCTCAACCTAGATGGTTCTTTTCCTCCTTAAATCCAATTCCTATTCAACTTTTGGATGGAACTCAAGACCATTAACAACGGGGAGAACCCACAAAAGTCCTGTCCCATCTACTCAGACATATCTTTATATACTGTATGTGTCTGCTTCTTCCCAGACAATATGTTCTGAGATAGGAGCAATGCAAGTATCTGTCTTTTCAGTTGTCAGATAAAGGTTAGATACAGAAGAGCTAATGTTGAATAGAAAGAAAATGGCTGCCAGCCAACTTACCAGGCCCATGGGATCAAAGTGAGGACATCCCTTGTTTTCCCACACCTACCTAATATGAGATGTCAACAGGGAAAAAATCTTTAAGCCATAGTGTTTCAGTGAATAAAAAAAAACACACAAAGAAAAGTACTACTTGGGATTGTTTTTCTAACTAACTTTTATTATTATTTTTGTTGGTATTCAAGGCTGGAATCTGATCAGCTTTAAGTGCTAGATAGGATAAAAACCAGAAGATACTACTAGATAATCTGTGAAGACTTGCAGACAAATGGCAAGACAGACAAAACAAAAAGGGTTCCCTTGTGGAGACCTAGTCAAATCTTTTGCCTATTAAAATTAACTAAAAATAAGCCAAAACTTGTAAGGAAATTAAACTTCAGACTATCATAAATGCTCACCAAATAAAATACTGCATGGTTTGAGTGAACTCTTCAACGTTTTGATAGAACCTGTTGCAGTGTGTTCCAAAAATCTTCCCAATTTTTGGTGGCTGTCAGTCTCTTCTCTGAGGAAACTGACCGAGAAAGGAAGTTGTACCAGAAGTGGAGGTGGGTGGATGAGCAGGAGGGGCAAAATGGTCTTCTGGAAAGTTAATTTGTCTAGTATGTACATAAGAGGGCATTTTTTTTCTCAATTTTTATTTTTAGTTTGGGAAAAAAAAAAAAAAACTCTGTTGTGAAAAGTGAGTTATGAAGAGTGCTCTTTATTTGAAACCTCCACAACACAGATGCCAATCTTGTCTCGCATTGAATCATTAGCTGTGCACATCAACACATTCCAAGCACAAATTAAGAAATGCAAACAGAACAAAAAATATATATATATATATATATATAATTTTTCCCCTATCCAAAGGTTTCAAGTCTCAATGCAGCAAATCCTTCTGAACACAGAATCTGAGGAGCACACTGTTCAGTTGGGACAAACAGGTCCTTGCAAAGGCTACTGCCTTCTTTAACACATGGGGTGGGGAATCATGGACGGCATGGAAAAGGGAGAGGCAAGAAGGAAAGGGGAGAGGAAAGAGAATGAGAAGGGAACAGGTATGCACTAGGGAAGATGGGCAGCTGGGACACACACATGGTGAGTTGGTGAATTTCATTTATTGGACTTTGACATTTTCTTTCTGGATCTTTTAAATCCCTCCCTCCCCAGGTCCAACAATGGTAGAAAATCCCCAAGCAGGCAGACCTTATTAGGCCAGCCCAAACCCTTCAGAGCACTCCTGGATGGCCAATAGTAGCATGTGGCGGAGCTTCTCAAAGCTCTCATAGGCAGGCAGGTCCAGTTGATTAAAACTGAAATGAAAAAATATTAATCCATGAGAGAAGATAAATGAGTCTCAGTGTTATCAACCTTATGTTCCTTTCTGAGTTAGAACTAATCTAACCACTTCTTCTCAATGACTTTCCCATCTTTTCCCCAATCTGCTGATCTGGCCTCAATATTGCAACATAAATTGGCTCCTGCTATAACTTATACACCATTGCCTATCTATAGGCCATGCATTGGAGAAGAACCAGCTGGGAAACACATATATAATAGTTGGTAAATTCCATTTATTCATTTAACTTTTACCTTAAAAATATTTTATTTTATGCTTATGACTGTTTTGCCTGAATGTACGTTTGTGCACCACATAGCAGGAGGGCAGAGCACTGAAGAACTAGAGTTACAAATGGTTGTGAGCCATCATGTGGGTGCTGGGATCTGAACGCATGGCTTCTGCAAAAGTAGTATGCACCTTATCTGCTGATCCAGCCAGTCATCTATTGTTTTTAAACTTTTTCTAATACTTTGGAGGTGGGGTCTTGTGCATCCCAGGTTGGCCTCCAAATCACTACACTGATAACCCTGAACTTCTGATTGTCCTGCCTCCACCTCCCAGGACTACCTGCATATACTAATTCACCTAATTTATATGGTGTGAGGAATGGAACCTTGGTGCAAGTATTCTAACCAACTGAATTACATACATAACTGGAGTCATGACATTTTCTAAGAAACAATTGTCTTTTAAAGAGGCATTTAGGTTTACTGTTGATATATGTGGGTATATGCATGTTAGTGGAGGTGCCTGTAATGTGAACAAGAGGAGAGTATTAGATACCTTGTATTTGGGAGTTACAGTGGTTGCAAGCTGACCTTCCTGGGTGCCGAGAACTAAATTCTGGTCCTCTAAGAAAGACCAGTAAAAGCTCTTAACCACTGAACCATCTTTCCAGGCCCTGCTCACCTAAACCTCCATAGACCAAACAAACTGAGGTTTCTAAAGTCATAGAGCTGGCCATACTTGTGCTCCCATCCTTGGGTAGATATCTAAAAGTTATCAAGTCTATAAGCTCAATATAGATTGAAAAAGAAAAAGTTAAAGTTGTTTCTCACCATGTATGAGCTGAAGGCAGGCGATCTGTGGATCTGTCATCTCGATGAATCTGAAATTTCTGAATGCCATTCATACCTTCAAGGGCAGCAAACCCTTGCAGGGGCACCTTGGAAGTACCCGTGACAAACTGGAGGAACTTGGCACGGTCTGCTTGGTCAAAGGAACGCAATGCTCTCCAGAACCACTGGATCTGTAGGAAGAGAACACAAAAGCCAATGTTAGAAGGAGAGCTTGTGAAGATCAGGAATTGGCAATGGACTTAAAATATTAGTCAAGTCCCCTTTGTGGAATGGCCTTCAGCTTCTTTATAGGATGGGTGAGAATATCAGCTGAAAATATGCTCCAGAAGAACAAAGAGGCATAGATACACTGTCATCCATAAACCAGCACTGGTAAGTATGAAAGTACGGGGATACTTCTGTTAGCAGCAGCTCACCTGAATAGAGTTGGATTGGTACTTGTGGTACTCAGTGTTAGATTTTAGGTCATCTATGTCGATGGTGGGCAGCCCTGATATGAGCAGCTCTAATTCCTGCTCAGTGAAGATGGAAATTAGGCGCTTTGGAATGATTTCATAGAAGCCTTCCAAGAAGGCTGCCAGCTGTTTGCGGATGGCTCCTGGTAAGAAAAAATGAAAAAAGTGACATGGATTCAGAACTCATACAACTGAAGAGGTAGTCTCAACTCGACACCTGATACTGACAGATCTGCCTGCCTCACCTACCACTGTTTCCAGGCCCCTATATGATAGGAGATGAAGCTAAGTATTTTGGTCAAGTGTTCTGACTCCTTTTGTGCAAGGCATTTGTGGCTTTGTCTTTGGAAATAAGAACAAAAAACATGAAATAAATAAACGGCTGAGCTTGTTCCTTGAACAAGTAGAGGACATTGTCTAAAGGACATTACTCCTACCTGTCATTCTCATCTGGCACACCAGGTGTACATATTCCTTTTTATTCTCCTCTGTTACCAAGATGTTGGCTCCATTGGGTTTGAGGTCACGAACTTCACATACTCCAAATTCTTGAACCTAGAACATCCAAGACACGAACCATATATATCAGAGGTTTGTTCTGGGCTTCAACTAACACAGAGGTGCAGGAACACACTCTTAACTCTTTGCCACGTCCCAGACAGAAATGTTGTACAACAATAGCTAACTGCCATTTTCATTAGCATAAAGTTCCTCTACATAGGAAAAAGCTGAAGAAAGGACTGAAATATTAGTCTCTGGCTCTGAAACAAGTGAGGAAAGGGTACCTCTATTCAATTATAATTCAATTATAGAACTACTTGTCTGTCTTTACCACTGAATTACCTATTAGAACATTTTGTGTATGTGGGAGGAACAGAGGTCAATGACAAGCATCTTCCTCTATTCACGCCATGCCCCAACTTATTTTTTAAGAAAGGGTTTCTCAATGAACTTGAAGCTCAATGATTTAGCTATGATTAGCTGTGAGTTCCCAGCGATCTGGCCACCTGGCTTTTCACCTCTAGCCATGGGGTTATAGATGAATGCTACTATGACTAGCCCCTCCTGGAACATTTTTTTTTCTTGTTTTTATTTTTTGTGTGTATGGTGTGAAAAGATCAGGACAACTTGAAGGAGTCATTTCCCTCTTTCTACCATGCTGAGCCCTAGGGTTAAACTCAGGTTCTCAGGCTTGTTGGCAAATGCCCTTACCTGCTAAGTCATCTTGCTAGTTCTGAAACCTTTATTGAAAAAAAAAATATATGAGCTAGAGAGATAGAGCTCAGTATTAGAGTGTGTGTGTTCTTACTTTTCCAAATCTTTAAAGTTTTGGTTCCCAGCACCCAATTTTGGTGGCCCACAATCCTGTAACTGCAGCTCCATGGGACCCAATCCCCACTTCTGGCTTCAGTGCTAACCTGAACACATGTGGTATATACACATAAATAAAACAAGTGCTCATATACACTGAGCCATCTTTCTTCTGCTCTAGGATATTTTTAAAAGAAGGAAGTAGGAATCAGGTTAGATTATTTTGTCAATTCTGTTTTCTGTTTATGATGTTTCTGTTTGATGCAGTCAAAATCCTTCCTCAGAACTGTTGACACTCAAAGAGTCAGTTCCCCAAATGTATCTCCCAACCTACCTCAGTACTGAAGGTGAGGTCATAGCCTAGTGTGGAGACATCATTTTCTAGCAGATAAACTAGGCCCTGGTAGAAGTGGTAATCCTCACTCTCCATATCTGTATACCTAGAAAAATGCAATCAGATAGGGTCACGACTTGGTGAAGGAACAGTCACAACAGGGAGATAAGGACCTGAGAGTCTAAAGACTACTACTGCAATCTCACCTGACAGACTTGCCCAAGATATGTTTGTAGAAGGACCGAGTAAAATAGCACTCCAGGAGACGGTTGTCATATACAGCTTTGGCTACAATGCGTCCAACAAACTTGAAGTAGCTGAGGTGGTTGGGGTTACAGTGGGAAGATGGATTGATTGTGTAAGTGACCCGGTCACCAGGTGAGGTACGGAACAAGGCATACATAGGATTGAACATCTCTCGAGAGATGATCATGTACCACTCTCGCAGGAGGCCCCCAGCATCCTGCCCTTCTTCTCCTTCAAACACTATATACCTGCATTAAAAGAGCAGAGATAAGAGAGCTGTGCAGAAAGCCAGAACAAATCTGGACTATTCATGTAACATGATGTAAGCAAAAAGAGTCTCTGAATCTGACTTTGGGAGATTCCACTGTCAGATGGAAAAGTGAACAGAATACTAAGAGAACTCTGGAAAAACAGATCATGATTTTAATCTGTCTCATTAGCTACTGTGATATTTGGTGTTGCAAGCTACCAATTTCTTCTAGGTGGCTTTATAATCTACCAGTGAATTACAATTTACTCACTTGGCAGGGGCACTCAAGAACATGGTGCCTTCCAAAGCCAGGGTAACCACCTACTCAGGAGGCAGATTCTTAGTCATAACCTAATAATGGTACAAGCTCCCACTGCAAAGACTTAGGCCACTGCTACTATACAGAAAGAGCTTCCTGCCCTGAACCATCTTGGCTGTTTTTCTCTCCTGAGTTCTTACAATCGATTCTTCATTTCTTCTGGAGATTTGCGATGCAGCTCACGATAGGAGTCTTCAAATACATGGTCACGGCGGACATGAACTGCCATGTCTTCCTTCCGGAGCCCTTCGTCCAAACGTTCCAGCTCTTGGCGGAAATATCTTAAGATGAAGAAAAGGTAGGGTTGGAGGTGGCAGAGCAAACTTGTATTTGTCCGTTTAGAAGGAAACTCAGTGACACTCTCTTTTTACCCTACACATATGGAAAGCACATAGCAGTTGGGAGAGACAGATCATTTATTATGAATTAAAACTTTCCCTATTTCTACTGAATAAGAGATCATAGACTATTACATTAGCCTGCAACAAACAAGGAAGTACAATTTTGTGTACAGGAAGGAGTAGAGATGACAAGGAGTCTTGAGCCTAGTTTTGACTGCACCACCATGACTCTAAAGGATGAAATGGGACTTTAGAAATATAGTGCCACCAAGAAACCCTTATAGTCCTAGGAGCCCCTATGGCATTTTTTTTTTCTCTCGGAGGGGAGACAGGTTATCACTTAAGTAGTTCTTCACCCCAATACCAGGGCACATACTTGCGTTTGACATCAAAGTCAAGGACACGAATGTAATCTACTAAGACAGCAAAAGGCCCATCAGCAAGGTGAGTGGTGGACTGTCGTAGTATCTGGTTTAACACAGTGCGGTGAGTCTCTGAGAGAAGAGATAACAACAGGAATCAGTATATCATAGGTCCTAAGAAGTTACATAACAGTCTACTAGCTACCAATCTGCTCTTGTTTCAGGGGCCTAAATCAGTAATTACTTAAGGCTAAGGGCCAGTTCTGAGTATGAATGTGAAATCTGGGCATTTATAACAATACTTGGCTTCACATAGTCTCATAAAACACTCAAATAAATCCCTTAGAGTGGAAGCACATAAGAGCTTCTACAGCAGAACTCTTCTATCATTACTATGTCTGTTTTTTTGCAATATGTGAAAATGTCTCATTCTGCTGAATAAGCTAGGGATAAAATACTTTCCATATATGTTGGTCTAAGTGTTCCCTGTACCTGCAAAGCGAAGGAACTTCTGTGTGTCAGGGGGCAGGCTCGAGGAGATGTGCATAGACGAGGGCTCCCTGGAGAAGAATGGGTCAAGGGAGGAAGGAGTGGCTGGGGTTAAGGGGGCAGGGGAGAGTGGAGGAGGCTCATCCTTGATATGTGCCAGCTGGCTCTCACGGGTGTCTCGGACAGGAGGCTTGCTCTCCCGCTCTGTGGCATGGACCAAAAAGAAGGCCTCGACAGCAGGCTGTAGCACTGGGGATAGTAATGACAACAAAGTGACATTTTACAAACACTAACATATAAATATGCCCCACTTTTTCTTAACCATTCCAGAAAATAAAATATGAAAGAAATAATAAAAACTTGCGGGGAAATATAATAGTAAACAAAGGCAAAGAGGAAGTTAGAAACTGGAAACAGTCAATCAGTTATAAAAACAAATCTCAGTCTAAACAGTAAAATGTACAAGAATTACCAAGAGAGAAGGTAATTCTTTTGAATTCTTGTTATAAATGCGCGCACACACACACACACACACACAGAACAACCTTGAACTGAGGAAAAAAAAAAAAAAGCAAGACATCACCAACACCACTACGTGGCAGTCCGTGTCCGAGAATAGAACAAAAGGTTTGGAATCTGTAACCTCAGAGAGCAACTCACCTAACACTGCATGCTGGTCATGGGATTCCTCCAGTTCCTTTAAACATTCACCTAGCATGTCCCACAGCTCATCTAGGCTCAGCTGCTCACTGAGCAGTGGCAACTCAGGTGGTCTCTCCTCTTTCTCCTTTTCTCCCTGTGGTGCTCCATCTGAGGCTACTAGATATACAAAAGACAGTCAGAAAGCTTTCAGAGTTTCTTACTTGAGACCACCCCCACCCCCAAAAGCACAGGCCACTAGACAGAGTGGGCTCACCGGCCAAAGAACATTGAACAACATCTAGAAGGTAAATTAAATAAGAAATTTGGCTCCTCAATTATGCTAGTCTCATTTTTAGTGTTTAAAGGCCACATACTGTGTAGTCTTGCATTGCCTCTTAGCCCACAAGGAACCTTTTTAAGTTATTCAAGGGCTACATGCTATGATGGAACTTTTGAAAAATTGCCTTCAAGTACAAGTTATGTTTTAGAACATTTTGATAGCTACCCTTGCAATCAGGGTGCCTTCTCCTTATTTTCTTTTCTAAGAGATATGGCTACAACGTAAACTAGTTATTTTGATGCAATAATTTAATTTTATTTTGACTTAGTCATTTAAAAGTCTAATACATTTTACATTAGTCAGTCTTAGCACTTTACAGCCCCAAGGAAGTCTCTGTGCAAGATGGACACCTCCACCCTCCATGGTTGGTATTTTTCCTAGTTCTCTGAAAATTTATTCACAATTGCTCAATAGCCAAGTAAAAGAGAAGCAACTGCTTTTTCACTAGCCCTTTCCCCACTTCCCTCTACACCCGACCTGACCTTTGCTTTCATCCTCTAACCAAATCCTGACTATTCTTCAAGGTTCTGACAGCCCTAGGTTTGAGTCCTGGCTGTGGCACTTGCAGATCATGTGACCTTGGGTAAAAGATGATTGATAGAACATGGGAGATTTATCTCCCAAAGTCTAGGTGACTCAGTAAAGCATTTCAAAACTGGGTGTCCTATGAAAAAAAACTATTTTACTGTGTTTAAAGGGTATCAAAAGGATTCTTTGATAAACTCACTGAAAAAAATGCCACATTTACTATATGCCAGATACTTGGTTAAGTATTAAACCATTTAAAGTATTTTACTGTAAAAACTATAAATATCCCTATTTTAATTAAAAAAAATGTGTGTATATGGACAAAGATCAGCTGTGGGATTGTTTCCCTAGGTCAGTGGTTCTCAACCTTCCTAATGCTGGGAACCTCTAATATAGTTCCTCATGTTGTGATGACCTCTGACTACAAAATTATTTTTGTTACTTCATAACTGTAATTTTGCTACTGTTATGAATCATAATGCAAACATCTGTTTTCAGATGGTTTTAGGAAACATGTGAAAAGGATCATTCAACCATCCCCCCCAAGAGGTCATGAACCACAGACTGAGAACCACTGCTCCAAGGCCATCCACTTGCTTTTTAAAATGGGGTTTCTCCCTGATTAGGGTAGGAAGCCTAGGGATCTGACTGTCTTGGCTTTCTCTAGCACTGGGATTATAAGAGTATTTGTCTGGTGTTTCTGACCTGGGATTGAAACTCATCCACCAAGGCAAGCATTTTACTTAGACTGGGCCGTTTCCTGTCCCAAACAGCACTGGTTATAACCCAGAGCTGGTAAATGAGGGAGCCAAGACTTAAAGCACATGCCATATCCATACGTATTATACTATACTTCCTTTTTTTTTTCTTTTTTTGGGACAGGGTCTCAGTATGTAGCTCTGGTTAGCCTGAAACTTTCTATGTAGACCAGATGGCCTTGAATTCAGAGATATGCCTACTTCTGCGTCCAGAATACTAGGATTAAAGGCTCTGTAGCAAGTACCCTTACCTGCTAATGCAGCTATTTCATCTCCTTTTGAGACAAAGTTTCACTATGTGGCTGCAGTTTTGGTGTGTGAGTAGCTCAATCTTGCCTCAGTTTCATATTTAGGAAAAAAGGAAAACTTGTGGGAGTTAGTACTCCCCTTTGACCATGGGTGTTCTCGGGTTCAAACTCAAGTTGTTAAGCTTGGTGGCTAGCACAAATTCCCTCAGTAAGTTATCTTTCCAGGCCCTAATCTATTTTAAAGACAGGTTCTTCCTCTGTTGTCTAGGCTGACTTCACATTTATGATTCTGTGAACATTTATAAAAAACCAGTGCTCAATGAGCTTATATATTCTGGGAACAGGGGATCCAGTAAAACGCCTAACTTATTCTTCTGCTGAGCTACAAGCAGCAGTAGTACTGACCAATGGACTGAGTATCTTGAGCACTGGGAGATGGCTGGTCCACATCCATGGGAGACTCCTCTCTCCGAACAGGTGCTTCTGATTGGTTAGATTCCGACTGGATAAAAGGAGGCAAGGTCACATAAAAGGTGTAACTCTGCTTTCCTCTGGGAATAGAGGTTGGCCCCCAAATGTCTCACACATTGAGTTTAGAAGACACTTTGTCCTACCTGGTTATCAAAGTCTATAGGTCTCCAGGTCAAAAGAATGCTATGAATACTTCCTTTCCACTCTGAGCTTACAGGTTTCCCCAAGAGCTCCCTGAAAACCTGTTTTCTCTATAAGCTGTTCCTACCTAATTCCCACTGAGACCCCACTCTACCTCCACACTCATGACCTGAATATAAACAAAAATTCAGGAAGTTTTCTGGAATAGGTTTTCTTTTTGTTTGTGTATGTACACTTAAGGTAGAAAGAAGGTAGGCTTGTTGACTATTTCTATTTGTTCAAACTGAACTTACTATTTACTCTTCCATTGGTGGGTTACTTAAAAAGCTATGTCTTTATCAGGTTGGACAGGACATTAGGCAGAAATAAATACCCCAGAACAGCAGCTCTTTACTTTCTCTTTCAATTGCTGCTGGAGTAATTTTCCTCAAATCCTATACTATGTACAGTGTTGACCGGCAGTATACTGTATAGCAGAATTTTTGTTGTTGTTTTGAAACAGGGTTTCTCTGTGTGGGCTCTGGCTATCCTCAAACTCACAGAGATCTAACTGCCTGTCGTCCGAGTGTTGGGATTAGAGGTGTGTGCTACCACTATCTGGCTCTAGAAGTTTTATATGAAGAAAAACCAGGCCTTGGGATACCTTGCTATTTTAAGAAAATGATTTCCATGTCCCAAGAACAGGAAGGCAATGAGAGTGCCATAGCTTTTATTACAGCCATTCTAATATGGAACCCCAATAGTAAGGTACTCAAGTAGCTACTTGAGTACCCAAAAGCTTCCTCTTAAAGTATCTCATTTCTTACATGCCAAGGAATTATGAAGAGGCAGAGGCTAGGGTGGATGGAGTTAACTACATAACGGAAGTGCTTATAGATAATGTATCAAGCATGGGGACATTCAAGGGCAGCACTCTAGAGTTGTCTCTGCATTACTTCATGTCACTATACTTTTAACCCCATACCCCTCAGAACCAAGGCACTGCACAGACAATTTGCAAAACACCACTAACTAGATAGCTGGGAGTGAGGTATGATGGCCAAGCTTCAAATCCAACCAGATGTCAATACAAACCAGTAAGAGAAACACCAACAGAAAGTAACCCTGTTGTCTAGAGGCATTCATTTAGCAAACTTAATGCAAAAGCATACAAGGTATGGATAATGAAACCCCATTGATGACATGGTGCAGGAAGGAGGGTAGAAAAAAATGAATGAGGGGCCGCAGGCATCATGCTAACCGTTGCTGCTTGTTGCTGTCTCCGCGCCCTTTGACCCTCACGTACCATTTGTATAATGGCATCAGCCTCAGCCTCCAGCTGCCGAACAGCTGCCTGGATGCTGCTAGCTGAGCCTAAACCGGAGGAACCTGGGAGAAAGGGGGAAAAGAGAAAAAGGAAGACACAATATAAAATGTAGGAAGAGGGAATACCCAAAATTCTCTCCTCTATTCTCAGATGCCACAGGGCATCTTGTTGAGTTTGAGTTTTAGCACAGGAAGTTTTGTGTACTCATAATCAAGCCCCAAAGGTAGGGAGGAGTAGAGGTAGTGGTACCAGGCAAAGGGATGGTGGCATGTAAAGTGTTCTATAGGACAGGAGGAAAGATAACACATCAAGCCAATGTCTGAGAACATAGCTAATGTTTCAGTCAGGAGTGTTTAAGGAGGCAGAAAGCACACACTATAAGTTAAGTCTTTCTCAGCAAAATGTGTTTCCCAATTTTTCTGCCAGATTTCAAGTACCCCTTAATTGTAACTTGATCTCTTCAGTCTCAGGCAGACAACTTGAATGGGTTATACGATACAGCCATCAACATTTTGATCTTAAAAAAGGGGGGTAGGGTTCTTTTTGGAAAGGTCAAATAGTACATTTTAGCCCTGCTCCTCCAGGGGTTCACCACCACCCTCATTTAGACACTCTTTAGTTCCATACCTAGCCTGCCTGTCTGCTTGGCTTTCTTGTTAGCTCGTCGTGTGTCATCCCGCAGCTGGATAATGACCTGCAGTACCCTCAAGAAGAACTTCTGGGTAGATGTCTTGGATGTCAACATGGACATAGACGGCAGTTGGAGCTCCCGGCCACCCAAAGGTCGCTTCTGAGATGCCACAATTACCACATTCTCAGCCATGTCAAACCTGTATAGTAATAGATGACTTGCATATATTGAAAACATCAAAGTATAAATACTTGAAGAAGGAGGGCTTGTGATATTAACTAGAAAAAAATAACCTCAAATATAGTATTAACCAGTATGGAAATTTTGAGAAACACCACGTCAAGTATTTTATAGGATAAATAGAAAAACCACCTGCAGAGATGAAACACAAGAGGAAAACCAGCCAAAGCCACTTTTCAAATGTCTAGGATTCTAGCCCATTACTACCCACCTGCTCTGCATTTTGCCTTTCAGTTTGGTGGTCTGTGGCTGTTCCTCAGGTAGGCCATCAGGAGAGAGGGCCTCACACTGGGTTCGCCGTTGCTGTTCTAGATTGTATTCCCGTAGCTCAGCCAGTAGAGTACCTGGGATGGCAGGAGTCAAGTGTTCAGAAAGCTGAACCTTATCAGGAAACTGTTTCAGGAAATTAAAGTTAAACAGGAAATTTTGCTAATTGGTTTAATTGTTTGTGCTAAGGACCAACAACTCAGAGACTACCAATTTGTAACTGGCCCATTGAATCTACACAAAATGCAATTTGCTGCAGAAAAGAAAAGAAAAAAAAAAAAAGGTCTCTTCTGGAGCCAGACAATGACCTATGTTCTGTTCTGCATAGCTCTTAAACTTTCTCAGGTTTTGTGGTATTCGTATCCTGAAAGTTATCTATGAGAATTCTGAGATAATCATTTATCACTCAGACAGTGTTCAGCTCATGAGTTCTAAATGACTGGCAGCAGTCGAGAAATGTCCAACAAGAGGTAAATTTTTAGGAAAAACCTTGTAATTCTCATAAAAAGAAAAAATACTTGCATGATACAGACCTATCAACTCTCCCATAAGAGCTTCTACAACATTTGTGGAATGCTAAGCAGGTGGTCAAGATTGAGGGAGATATATGACTAGGAGAATGGTGCTAGAAAACAGAAACATTCCACACCAAGAAAAAGATGGGTTTCTATTCCTTGGTCCAATAATTTTCTCACATTGGGCTTAGTTTTGTTCTGGACAAAAACCAGGTAAGACAAAGGAAACGAGGCACTTTCAAAGTGCTAGAGCTTTTGCATCCTCCAACTTATACAACGAGGCCATTATTCTGAATATAATTGCTGAATTTGATCATCTTTTGAGATGAGAAAAGCTGTCTCTGTGTCTTCGTCATGGGGCTCTTACAGACACTTATCAAGGAGAGAAAAAAGGAGGTCTTTTCTGTTCTCACAAATAGTATTCTCTTATCCCTTCACTAAGCACAGATGACAGCTAGTCAGCCTTGTTGACGAACAATCTAGCAGAGGAAAACAAGAGCTGTGCTTCGTGTGTGTGTGGGGGGGGGGGGTGAGGGGAGTTGGGAATACTTATAATAAGGCAGAATAGAATGTTTTAATACCATTATTACCTATCTGTTTACAAAGGGTGTAACCCAAATGGCGGGCTCCATTCAGTAGCAGCTTAAGAACTGTGTCTCGGGTCCCAGAGTCCCCCCGAGAGAGCTGTAGTAACACATTGGCTGCATCTTCTAAGCCTTCTTCAGAACAAGAGTGGGACGTCAACACCTAGGTAAGATACAGGAGAAATAATAAGCCCTAACCCAAGAACTGAAATGTCTATCCCTTCTCTTCAACTTCAGAAGGTATGAAGATCTTAGACTCACCTCCACAGAGAGCTGTAACTGGTTTTCAGTGAGGCCAGAGGATACCATTTTTAAGTCTATAGCATTGCTGCCTCCTTCACCCACCTTTGCTGGAGATTTGCTGCCTTTAGTAGTGAAAGCTTTGAGGAAACAGAACATATTAAAGCTCTGTGAGTGCTCTAAGCCTGGAAACTGTTGCACTGTACAGGGCTTCAAAATGACAAAACCAGAGAAAATGACAACCTATCTATCAAAGCCAAATCTTTTTTGCATGTTGGGAATTGAACTTAGGGTGTTATGCATTCCATGGAAGCACTATCTACCACCCAGAGCTGACTCTTAACTATGCCTTGTAACGTGACCAAAAATCCTGTATTTCTCCCAATTGTTCCCCTACCACAGCCCCAACTTATTCTTTAAAAACCTACTCCTGCAGATAATTCTTAAGTCACCTGCTACCTGGCATATTTTCTCTACTTCCTGAGATGATCTGTTACCTTAAAATCACACTGCATTCATTCAGTGTATTGTAGTCTAAAAATCATTGATGATTACGAATAAACTCCACCACTTTTGCTGTCTAGCCAGAGGCTCAGCTTTTTACAGGTGTGTGCACGTGCATACACCAGACACATGGAAAACAGACAAGGGGATTAAGGCAGATGATGACATTCACAGCCAAACTCTGGGCAAAGCTCAGGAAGTCTTATGGAAGTAGGGGGAGATGGAAGGACTCAGAGGGTACAGGAGCCCCACAAGGAGACCAACAGAGTTAAAAATCCTGAGCCCAGGGGGTGGGTCCTACAGAGACTGATGCACCAACGAAGGACTATGGATGGACATAGAATTCCTGCTCAGATGGCAGCTCAGTCTCCATGTGAGTTCCCTAGTAAGGGGGCTGCCTCTTTGATCACCTGCCCCTGGAGATGTGGCCTTACGAGGCCACAGAGAAAGAGGATCTAGGCAGTCCTGATGAGACTTGATAAACTATAGGCAGATGGCAGAGAAGGAGACCTCCTCCCCTTTAGCGGATTGGGGCAAGGGATAGAAGGGAAGAGAGAGGGTGGGACTGGGAGGAGTTGAAGGATGGGGCTTCAATCAGGATATATAATGAACAAATTGTTAAAAAAAAGTTGTTACAAAGAGAACACAGACAAATAGAGAAAGAACACATCTCACAATAATTATCATTTAGGGAGGACTACCTGGATTGGAAAGTGAGGGTAAGTTGGGAGCCATAGTATACACCCCATAACCCTGAGTTGACAACACTTACTTGAAACAGTAGTGGTAACAGTTGTGGGGGTAGTCATTGTGGTAGAAGCAGCTACAGTAACGGTGGAAACAGGTGTGGCAGAAACCAGAGCTGGAGCAGAAGTGATGGGGGTGGTTGCAACAGGGGCTGTGGGCGTGGGGATGGTGGCAGTAGTGGTGGTGGTAGATGTGGTTGAGTTGGCAGCAGCACTGTTGCTAGAGTTAGCTTGTGCTTCCGATACTTTGTTTTCTGGGAGAGCAATTGAGATGAGAGAGAGGAGTCTCAGGAGTTTCTCAGTTAAGAGAGAACTCCGGCGGATGACTGGATGTGATAACATGTTCATGAGCTGTCCCAGTGGAGAAGCTTCAAGGCTGTGTAGGGAAGTTTCCCCTTCAGCACCAGCGTTCACTGGTACTGACTTCACTGAGTTCTTGCCTTTCCGGCTAACATTCATGTTGTCCAGTTTTACCAGCAAGTCCCAGAAGTCTGTACAAATGCCACTGCTGGAGGACTGTGAGGAGCATGGGCTGCATGTCTGCTTACTGCCCTTTTCCCGATCACTCTCACAGTTTGTTTCTTTGGTCCGCTGCTGTGTAAAGTGGCTGGGAAACACCTGCCGGGATAAGAAGAATAGGCTTGATCTAAGTTGCTTCTCAGACTCTCCTTTTCTTTGAACAGCTCTTGGTAATATAGGGCAGATGGATTACATGAGTTTTATCCAGCAGGTGGTGAAGTAGTCTAGAGAAATAAGGACTTTGAAGACAATGATTAGCAACTTTTTCCTAAATCTTCATCTCTCTGCATTTATGAAACAGGGAAGACAACATAGCCTGCCAAAGTTGTTGGTATTAAATGAGGTAATGCAAAATTTTGCCCAGTGCCTAGTACAGGTGGACCCCCGATAAACAGTAGAACTGTTCATTATTCAAAAAATATTGAGCTTGTCACTTTCTAGTCACACAACAAAGTCACTAGTGTTCTGAACCTTAGATTTTTATCTGTAAAATAAACATATAGGGTGCAAACAATTGTTTTGGTGACTGAGACAGTACATTAAAAATGTGAAGAAAAGATAAAACTCCATGAAGTTATTTACTGGATAATTTCTCAGAAACAGCACATGTCACAATATAAAATAAAAACAAAGACTTGTTAGCCCCTTACTGTCCAGATGTCACCCAAGGTGTTGCTGCCACCCACTTCCAGCCCTTGGAGTCAAAGATTCCTTCAAGCTCCTCACCTTGGCCAATTGAATGAGTGTGTCCAGAACATGTCTGCAGACAACAGGAGCAGCCTGGGGGTGGATGTGGACAGTGGAACCACTGCTTGCATGCTTCTCTGTATGTTTACGCCCTCCAGAGCGTTGAATCTGGAATATGTTAGTCCTACAGCCTAAGGCAGCATCCATAGATACTGAGAGCCAGGAGAGTTGATTGGAACTTTTGGACTCCATCTTGTGGAGCAGATCCAGGGGACGGTTCTCATGGCTGGTTGATGCAGAACTCTTGCTTGACTTCTTGCCCCTTTCTTCATTTGTGGAGAGCTTGGGTGTCTCAATGCACAACTCACTCTCACTGCTGCGCTGCAAAATGGACAGGAGGCTGCGGATGACCCAGTGGCGGGTTTGGGCATGATAGCAGAGATTTCTCAGTACTCGGTGTAGACGGCTAGTATTGAGCTTTGGCTCATCCACAAAAAGTAGGACCAAGAGGCAAGATAGGGCTTCATGGTCTAGAAGTAGTCGTCCTCGGAGGCGGAGGAGTGTGTCCACATTACTGCCAGAAGGCCTAAAAACAGAGCACGGTTTCTGGGTAACACTAGCTACAGTGCTAGGATGAGGCGTAAGTACATGGGAGAAGAATGAGTGGGATAATCCCAGGGAGAGTGTAAAAGGAAGACAGGCTATTCACAACAATGACCCCTTTGTACATCTACTATATAGCAGGTACTTTACAACTTCTTTTCCTGAAGGATGTTGTACACCTATTGAGATTGTGAATGAGAGGTTCAACCAAATCAGGTAATTTGCTCTTAATGACATGACCACCGAGAAGGGAACATAGATTCCTATTTTTATCATTTACCAAGTGATGAAAGTCTAAAGTCTATGAGCCAGTGCTTGTTTTTTGCCTTCTCTAGATTAGGAGGCTGCCACCCTTTTAAGTATTGATCTCTTCTGTAATTGTTTTAGAATGTTAAATCTATGTTTCAGCCTAGTTAATAAGTAACTCTTCCCTACTTTTGTAGCCATCTGTTAAATGTCTAAGGCCAATTAGTTTCCCCCTTTCTATTTTGTTAAAACCGTAATGACTGTCTGCTGCCAGAATGCCTTTGAGTCTTGTCTTTTAGCTAGGCCTACCAGTCAAACAGTGGTACTCTGAGAAGGGAGTTTAAAAAGATTTGCTTGTCTACTTATTTGAGGAAAACAGCCCAGAATGGTTGTAAAAGCTGCCTCAAAAGCTTTTAGCTTCTCTAACTATAAAATTAAAGGACCCAGAATGTAGTATGGCAAGGTTTTTTTTTTGTTGTTGTTGTTGTTGTTTTTTGTTTTTTTTTAAAGACAGACAAGGGTACCTATTATGGCTGCTGCTACCCCCCATTTGGAAGGTGCCGCCTCTCTGTACGGCAAGGCGAGTATACTGGACCCCACGGTTTCCACTCAGGCGACTGGTAAAAGCTACAAGGAAAGAAAAAGGAAACTGAATTTGATTAAGTGAGGAGAAGCTGGGTTTAATCAATGCAACAGGTAGTAAAAAGAGGCTAATTAAAATAAGATCAAGATATTCCAGGGCCCTCCTCCTTCCTTCCCTCTGTACCTGGACTTCGGAGAATGGCAGAGAGTGCAGAGGTACTGCTGTGTCCAAAAAGACGCTCATGCATGAGCTGCCGCTGCCGGGCTTCTTGTTCTCGTCTTAGGGCTTGAGCCTCGGCTGCAATGTCAGGTGGCATCACAGCCAACACACTGTCTTCCATGTCCTCTAGGACACTACGGCGCAGGTCTGAGGGCAAAGTTTGAATGAAGGTCACAGGGTCCATGGGGGTGTCTGAACTGGCATTCTGGGCCAGTTCCCGTCGCTGCTGTTCAGCTCTCTGCTGTGCTAACACCTATGGAACAAAAACAAATCAGTAAGAATATAGCTCTTTTCAAGGTAGTCTGTTTCCTCCATATTCCGGCTCACATACTTCCTCTTGAATGGCTGGAGGTAGGGCAGCCAGGAACTCAGGGCTCACTTCAGTCACATCAGGATTCTCCACTACTGAAGGAGCTGAGATATTTGTGGAGTGAACACTTCGGGTTGGTGGACGGATGCCCAGCTGGTTCTGAAGGACTTCCCGACGGATATCATCAGGAAGAGCAGCCAGAAAGGAGGGATCCACACCTTCAGGGAGACTGATACCTGAAAAGAGATGTAAGATGTAAAGGAACTTAGATCTTCATGGATGTTTAAAGGTATACTCCAAGAAAGAAAACATGTCATAAGTTGAGAAAAATCAGGTTTTTGTTGTTGTTGTTGTTGTTTTTTTTTTTGTGCTTTCACTGCTTGCCAAGTTATGAAGAAGAACCATAAACCATCTAAGCTTCAAATAGTTCATCATTTCAAATAGTACATTACTGGTATACACTGTCACCCAACCTTTATAAAGATTCTACCATGCAGATTTTGTGTAGCCACCATTATGTAGTGTCTTACTACAGAAGCCTACAAGCAATAGGCAGCCAACCCACCAAAGATAGAAAACTATAACTGTGAGCTAAGATAAGCCTTTCTTTTAAAAGTTGATTATTTTAGACATTTGATTCAGTAATGAAAAGTTGACTAAAACAGTTGTCAATGACGATAAAAGATCTTGAATAGTCTTATTTTATAAAGGTCAGAAGTGGTACAGATGGAGGATATGAGAAAGCTAAGGTAACCTGACTAAATTCACCCAATTATGTAATACCAGCATCCTCTTACTGCTACTCCTTCTTCAACACACAACCTATTCCCAACATACCACACATACAAACACCTGAGGAAAGTGTTCAGAGGGTATGTCCTTACAAAGTTTTTGGAAACAGAACCAATATCATTACGGCCTGAGCACTCACTCACGGACTTACCGGCAAGGGGATCTTCTTCTTCACTGCTTGTTGAAGGTAGTGGCTCTTCCAGAATTCCTCGAGAATCTGCTCCAGAGACGGCCACAGCAGAATCTCTGGTAGAAGAACTCTCAGAGGATGCAGGGGGAGAGCTGAAGGAAAGAAATGATTCTCAGGTATTTTTTTTTAATACTGTTTTCTCATAAACAAAAAAGAAACCAAACAACAAACCACACCTAATTAATACCCAATTCTCAAATAAGATACAATGATCATAGTGCAACAAGCATGCCCAATAGTGAACAAATATGAGTTCAGCTTGAAATACTCTCTAATATATTTTTCTTGGCCATACAGTGCTTACTTGTCCTCGGATCGCTGGGCGGGTTCACCTGACACATCAGGTCTGCCTTGCACTTCTGCCACAGCTGGTGGGGCATCCCCAGGAGTGGAGCTCCCTGCCGTGGGCTGCTCAGAGCTCCCAGCTGCTGGAGCATCACCCACAGCCTCTTCTAACGTACAGGAAGCCAGGCTGCTGGTGTCCATTGGAGAACCTTCCAGCTGACTGCTGACAGCTGTTAATGCATCTGAATCTTCAGCTCTCTCAGGAGAAAGAGAGGCTAGAAGGAAGTCAGAGTGAGATTTTTTTTTGTTGTTGTTGTTTGTTTTTGTTTTTTAACAGGGTTTCTCTGTGTAGTCCTGGCTGTCCTGGATTTGCTTTATAGGCGAGGCTGGCCTCAAAATCAGAGATCTGCCTACCTCTGCCTGGGACTACAGGTGTGTGTTACAGCACCCAGTGAGATAGCTGCTTTAAATCAAGGCAATATAACGAGCAAGGTCTTTGGTAGGATTGTTTCCTTTGCAAAAGTTAGTACAGATTTTTCACTTCTTTAGCATCTGTTACTCATTACTCCATCTCAACTGCCCTTTAAGATTCAATACTATTCTATTTACTGTTTAGTTTGCTCTACACATATCTGTGCAACACTGTCCCTAGACATTCCAGGTAAGGGATTTGTCACTCTCAGCTTTCCTGCAAGCAGTGTTAATACACAGGTGCTACGGACGCTGGGCTGTTTAACTGCATGTATTTATTGTTTTTACTATTTTATGTACAATGATACATGACTAGCTCCCTTAAGTTTCTGCCATGACTATCTGCTACGACAGGCTATAACCTGGAACTGTGAGTCAAAATAGACCCTTCTTCCCTTAAAATAACTTTTGTCAGATTATTTTATCACAGCTATAGGAAAGAAACCATGATAGTTCTTGACAAAAAACAAACAAAACTGGTACTTTAAAAATTTCTCTAGGCTACATCATAGAACTTATGGTATAGTGAACACAGTTTCTATTTACCTTTTAAAAATACTTTGTCAAGAAGAATTTTGAGACATCATTTTAAATAAGTGAGACGTAGGTATATGAATAAGGAGGATAGGAAAACTGAATGAGATACATGTTTATTACACGCAGAATTGTTGACATCAGGCACATATAGATTGTAATCTCAGCTCAACTACTACTGATTGAATGACTCTGGCTAATTACTTTATGTCTGAATTTCAATTTATGAATGAAGGTACCATCAACTTAAAAGAATTACTTTCAAAGAAGTTAAATAATAAATCTGAAATGATAGCTCAAAAATGAGTATTGCCTCGGTAAATGGTGGCATGCTTAACACTATTATTAAGACGTGCAACAATAACTGAGAACACAAAGAAGAAATCTCAGCTTGAACTAAGAAGGCTAAAGTTGAAACTGAGAATTCCAAACTCCTAATTCTTTAAAGTAAGAAAGAAGAGAAAACTTATAAAGATAGCAATTCCTCTCTTTTTTAATCCCCCTTAAAGTTAACACTTTACTCACTTATGGTTGGAGCTGGGGATAATTCCATTTGAGTTGTTTCTGCTTCTCCACCTGTCCTTGTGGGACCCAGCTCCTCCAACTCTATAGGCATCAATAGCTGTGTAGAGTTCCCCACTTCTTCAGCAGGGGACTGCACTTCCTGAGGAATCTCTCCTAAGGCTGGTGGGGGTGGGAGTGCTGGCTGCTGCTGGGAAGGCTGTAGAGTACCAAGTGTCTCCTTGGACTCAGATGTAGCTGGATCCGTTGAAGAGGGGGGTGTTGGATAGCTGTCAGGCATAGGAGTCCCATCTTTATTGGAAAAAATGATATTGGAGGTTAAAGGGAACTTAGCCAATGACCATGTGAAGAATCAAGCACATGCAGCTTGGTAAGGACCTATCCAGCAAGTGACATGAAAATCTCTCTCAAAAAAACTGTTCCTCTAACAGCTCTTTGCTGGTGTACCATAATGATTATGAGGGCTAAATAAATCACAGTGTTAGCTGTATCTTAGGACAAAGATATGACTGACAATTTAGACAATAAAATCTTTTCTGTTCCTGGTAAAAAGGAATTGAAAACACCTAGATAGGGTGAAGCTACCCAGAAATATCTACTAAAAGCTTATAGATCCTCAATTTCCTAATCTACTTGGAACAAGAAACAGTCAAAATTTATTCATAATTCTTTGGTGTTGTTTAGAAACAAGGTCGCATGTAGCTCTGTACTGAGCTCACTCTGAAGCTGAACTCTTTTCTTGCCTCTACATTCCAGTTTTAGAATTGCAAGCATGAGCCAACAAGCCTGGCTTCTTAATTCAAAATTTCTTAAGTACAGTTTCCATTCATAGTCATATTCTATTACTAAGTAAATGAAGTTATCATAGAATCAAAGAATAGCAGAACGTTCAGTTTATACCCAATGGTAAATTAATAAATTAATATGTTATAATGTATGAAGGACAAGCCACTTACTAATGCAGATACCACTTACTAATGGTATCTGCATTATTCTCTCATTCGTCCCCTTCTACCTCCCTTTCTTATCGACCTCTTTATTCAATAAAGATCTACAGTTTTTCTCTAATGGAGGCAATAATGCCAGGACTTAATGTGAGCATGCCACACACCAGGGAAAGTAGTAAGTTGTATAGTTATCTTCTTACTGGGGCCTAAAATCCCTACCCCACAACAATACAACTTACTACCTCACCCCGGAATGTGCAGAAGTGTCTAGTAAGGGCAGCAGGCAAAAGGCCTTTTACTTTTTAGCAGACTCCTTTGTAAACCTCTCCTAGGTTAAGAACACTTGGGATATCTATTCTCTTTTCAATACTTTAAAAATATTGTGTAGGCTTTGGTAAAACAAGTTTCCCAGTTCAAGGGCAGAAGATTTAAGAAAGCTTCCTTAGAAGGAAGTTCTGAATAGAGATGATAGATACTACATGGACCAATGGCAAAATGGTTACTGATCACTGTTATGATTAGAAGAAATAGAAAGCACATATAGCCCACAAAGCTACTGTCCCCAAAAGCCAATTGTTCAATACATGTTCTTAAGACTTTTAGATTCCATAAACCACCAAGATTTAGATTAAGAATGAAAAGGACTAAAGTAGGCATTACCTTCAGTTTTGTAAGGAAAACAACTCCAATTTAGTACCAATATTTTACTTTCCAAGATCTAGGAAAACATAATTTCTAAATATGAAAGTCTTTTGAATGGAATAAGTCTAGCTCTGAAACACACATTAGAGTTCTCTGTGTTAACATTCACTGAGGACTGGCAACTGAGACACACTGACATCAGGTGTTCTCATGAAGTGTCATATCAAAGATCAACCACATCAAAGATGTACATGCTTAGTTTGTGGGGAAAAGAACAAGATACATGACCTACGTACATTCAAAGACCTACCTACAGACCGAAACACAGCATAACCATAACCGGAACCTGATTAGGGCTAGTTGGATGGGAAGTGTACCACCGTGGGAAAGACAGTAGACTGTATAGTTATCTCCAAGATGGGTTATGACCCTAAAACTATACAATCTACTACCTCATCCCACAGAGCACCAGTGTCTATCTTCAGCTCACATGGCCAGCTATTTGGAAAGAATCCACTGATTAATTAGCAAGAGTGGAGGGAGGGAGAGTTACCTGAGACATTGTGTTCAGTGGAGTCATTTTTCTTAGATACAGTACACTGCAAAGAGAAGAGAGACCATTGGGAGACTTTTGCAAGCACAGAAGAAAGTCAAATTAGTCATCATCCCTTACCTAGACTACCCAGGAATTCAGAGACCTGGCCATGTGCCCACTTCAAATTAGGAAAAAAAAAATCCATTTTTTTTTTACACATACTGTACTAATGTTGAATAGCTTTGGAGAGGATGTAGGGGATACAGCCCAGTATGAGAGTTCAAGTTTACCAGTTGTTATCTCCAGGAACACACTAAAAATGCCTTAAGTGTTTGAACTAGTCAATTTAGTTAGCATGTAAGGAATCAAACCTGTACCTTGTACAGACCAGGACAGTACTCTATCACTAAGCTACACCCTCAATATTTAAAGCAAGCCCCCCTCCAATTCCTTTTATATGTAGGAGTGTAATGTCCCCCTTCAATTCCTTTTATATAGATAAGAGTGTGTGCCTGCATGTATGTATGTATGTATGTGCACAGGACTTGGCTTATGTAGAGCAAGCACATTATTACTGAGCTAATCCCAATCGTTAAGTCTTTTTCTTTGCCTTATTAATTTAGGGCTAGATGTGTTTTTGGCTACAATGACAACAAAGGGGACTTTGGATCACAGGGAACTGGAATTACAGGTTTAAGCTGTAACCCAGGTTATCTCCAGTTCATGTCCTTATTTTAATTTATGTAACATCCTAATTGCTGATTGGGGTATAGTACAGTCGTCTTCTGCTCCATTCTTAATTTCTTTGTGCTTCTATGAGCTTTTATGCATACACATTTAGTTACATGATAACAGATTTCAGAGGGGGAAAATCTTGTAACCTAAGCCAAACTTACTTAGATGCTATAATATGGTTATTTAAAGTAAGACTTGACATCCTTGAAGTCCACCATGAAACAGAAGTGAGAACCAAGAACATGGGTTGATTCAGTCTATCTTTAGGCCTTAGAAATATAAACACTACAAAGTAGGACTGTTGTGCAAGGAACCATTACGGTCCAGGTGTCAGCTTTTCCCAGTAAGGGAATGGAGAAATAATTCCCCTCTGGGTTTGATTATTATTGCCTAAAACCCAGATGAATGAAGAGTCAATCTGGAATGAACAATTCGCAAGGTCCAATGTAATGTTCTAGAATTTTTTTTTTTTAGAGGTTTGGTACTATGGGCATGGCAAAACCATAATAAAGACAAAATGGTCTATCTCTTTAGCCCTCTGGAGTCACCTGTGCACTCTGATCTCTGTTTTCCTTATCTTCTTTGCCTTTGTCTATTATTTTTGTTTCTTCCTCAGCTAGTTGTTTCCTGCGTTTCTCTCTTCTTTCTTCTAGCTCCTCATCTCTCAAGAATTCCAGGTGATTGACAATGGGTACTTTAACCACTACAAGAAAAAAGGCAAAGATCAGAGGCTGCTTTGGAAAGGTTGAGAAGTAGAGAGGCAGAGCTAGCAGCCAGAGAATCATAAACAACTCTCTGCATACACATCCTAGCACTGAAGGCTCATTACTACCCCAATAACTAAGTTGTCACACACCTGAAACACAGTCGTGCATGCTCTCGGCATCAAGAACTTTACATTCCTCTGTCCATCGGGTCAGAGCTGTAGGGATGCTGGACAGGGTTCCTATGAGAACAAAATGAAGTGAAAATCTTGGCTTTATACAGTGTTGAATTTTCCTAAAAGGACCCATAGTCTGTCACAAGGTTTGGTGTATAACGGATACTCGGAGGCAACAAAGAATTGTTGCCCTTGGCTAAGCTACACTAAGTGGTTTTGTCTCCTATAAAATGTAGTTTCACCAGGAAAGATACTGCTCTTCTCCTTAGGACTGAACAAGAATCCCACAGCTCTATCCTCCCTCTTACTGCATAAACTTGCCTGCTTGGCTAGTAGCTGTACTCTGGTCATGGAAAAAGTCATCCAGCAGCTCGTCATCAGACCTGGCGATGATATGGACGTCATCATTGCCCACAAGGAGGCGGGCCCGGCCTCGGCTTTGTAAGGGAAGGCTGCTGCTCAGCTGAAGGATGTCAGCAGCAGCTGAGGGACCAAGCAACCTGTAGGGTAGTGTTAAGGTATCACTGTCACTCTGATGTCCACAGAAACATGTTACCATGAGATTGTACATATAGATCTACTAAACTTATAGGATTATGGATAGATTTTATCATACTGCACCTAAACCTTTACTACCATTCTCAAAGTTCGATAACTTTGAGTTTAAACTGTTTATTATGTTAATAGTTCCTTGAACACCTAAGTGCCACCAGAAGGCTTTCATATGCCAGACACTGTGTCAGATATAGTGCCTCTGTTGGACACCACTAAGGCACTTACATACATTCCTTCATTTTACAATTGCTTCACTTACTAAAATTAAATTCTATAGCACAGGTCTAAGCTATAGATAGGTCTTGTCTTGGGTAAATCCAACTCTTAGATTCTTGACAAACAAGATACTTGCTAAATTATACATCAGGGTCTTATTATGTAAATAGTGGCCAAGGCTGACCTTAACCTTATGATCTTGCCTAAGCTTCCTGAGTGCTGGGACTATAGGTGTGTGTCACTACATGGGGCATACAAACTTGGCATTCTTCCCTCAACAACTTATTTGTGAGAGATTGTTTATCCTTATGGTCAAGACAAAATGTTGAAGCTCAGATAAAATTCTTAGCTCCATTGAGTCCAACAGATTCTGCTTCTAACTCACCTCTGGAGTATAAGTGGAGGGTTAGGCTGGCGATTCCCAGGGTAGTGAACATGAATGGTATGGCCTGTATTGGCTGTCAGCTGTCTTAGGGTCCTTTGACTGCGACCGATCCCCTGGGTGAGACGAGTTGCGGAAGAGCCACTGCCCAGTGTCAGGGAACTGTGATCTGCATGGCGTACCATCAATGGGTGGGTGGTAGGAATATTTCCTGGGGATGGGGGGATGTCTGCTGCAAGGACAATATGCAAAGGGGGTCAGTGTCAAAAATACATTTTTTCCATGGCTGTTCAAGTAGAACCATGTCTCTTGGGCGTCGCTTACTCACATGAAAACCTCATCTTTCTCCCTCAATGCCCACACCTAATCTACAGTCTCTAATACCACAGGTTATGCCACCACCTCAACGTAATCTTAAACTAGTGTTTCCCCAACCTTCTTCAATACAACCACAGTGATGCTTCTATGCCCTTTGGATACATGCTGTCCCCTCTGTTTCCTGTTCTTTTTATTTTCAGCCCAAGATGTTACTTCTTCTAAAGTCTAATAGGTTGGGTTAGATAGATACACTTTAGTCTGTGTTTTCTTAATGTACCACGATGTGATGCATGCTTACTTATAATTCCTAACAGAATACAAGCATTTTTGTTTTACAACCTTATCCCCAGTACCAACGACCAGTAGAAACATCTCAAATATTTGTTCATTTTGTCGAGTTGATGAAGGCTCAAATATAAGGCAGATTGACAAAAACTGCAAAAATGCAAACTATCTACTGCTCATTTTGTTTTTCTCTTGATGCTTTTCATTTACAGGTGACAAACTGAGGCTCAGAGGTAAAAGATTATGGCCAAGACAACAGACCAGAATTGTTTTCAGCAATAATATGCTCGTGATTTGAGGTAAGACCTGTCCCATGAAGACAGCTTGAGGCTAAGAACTCGTCGATGTTGATAGGAATGAGTAGAGAGATTCAGTCTCTCTCCTGAACAGTTGCATCTGTGATGAACAGTGAATATATTAAAATCCACTCCCTAATGGCAGGATCAGCGGTGTCCATCCATACCCTTGACATCCAGCGTTACAGAATTAAGGATTATTGATTGCCCTGTCACTGCAGTGTGCATTCAGGTGCCTGATGCAGTCAGACTTGTTCTCATTTTTTTTTTTCCAATCAAGCAAAACATCAAGTTGTCCAGGATCTAAGAACTCCCTGTTTACTGAGATGGAGATAGCAAGAGCAGCCTCCTCCGATTCTTTCTTGCAAGGATATGCTATTCAGAGAGACGGATTCAGACATCCCTTGCCCTAGGATGTCAGGACAGTAAAAGAAGTGTTGTTCTCTATCAGATTGATGGCTGCTTCAGTTCACTGCTTGGCTTACCCTAGAGTAGGGTATAAGAATAAATAGATAAAACCCAGCTGAGCCCCTGTATCTTACTAGCACTGGAGAACATGTTGTCAAACTCAATGATGAGATCATCCTCCCGGTCAAAGCGCTCAAATCGGACCAAGGGAGAAGCGTTCATATCAGGGTAATCCTCATCCAATTCCATCTCAGAACCATCGTCATCATCATCTTCATCTCCTTCACCTTCATCATCCTCCTTAAGGGAAAATACGAGATGGAGAATTGCTGGAGGTAAGTGTTTTCTGAAGCCTGGTGTCATGGCCACATGAGCACATGAGGGAGGGAGGCGACGAGGCTAGCTAGTTACCCAGATTGTCCGTTTTTCTGTAGTTCTGTGTTCCCATGGAAGAGGTCATCTGAACCAACCCAAACACAGTCCCCCCTCACCTGATCATCTTCCTCATCTTCCTCCTCCTCCTCCTCTTCATCCTGACTATCATCCTCATCCTCGTTACTGCCACTGCTGTCCTCTTCCTGAGTGTGCTCCTCCTCATCCTCAGGGTCCAGGATATTCATGGAATCTAAAACAAAGGGAGCACATTGGAGGACTATACTGAGTAGCTAGAAAACAGGCCACTGTGCAGGCCGGCAGACTGAGTGGGAAGGCGATGGGGTATCTGACTCTAGGAGAGGAAGAATCAGATTTAGGGTGATGTACAGACTTAGTGAGCCAGCCCATGTTTCCTGAGAGTGCCAATCAATGCATCGACACGCTGAGCAGGGTTGCTGAATGTGGAAGCTGGCTCCAGGGTGGTGCTTGAGGAGCCACGGTGTAGGACTTGGCCAAGTCTGTCGGTGCCCCCTTGCCTTTCCAGTCCTATTTTGCTACTGACTGCATCCTGTTGATAAGAGGGAATCTGGAGCGATGACAGCAGGTGGGTGAGAAGAAAGCGAACCAAGTAACAAGCAGTAGTAACACGTTATTTGAAAAACTGGCTGAGGATAAAGTGGATGGTGTATGTCAGCACATGCAGACAGATGCTTCCTTATTCCTGAAGGGCAGCTGCCTTCAGGAAAACCCTAGTGTAGTGTCTGTCAGACGTGCAGGGCAAGAAGGGAGGCCTTTCTGGCCTCGGCACTCTCACCTTCTCGGTTGGCCTGCAAGGTGGAAGCTTGGCTGAGGTTGGAAGGAGCTTCATCCATCAGCACGTCCTCTTGTGATTCATCCTCTCCACTTCTGCTCACTGAAGGTTACAGAGCAGAGCCTTCACTGAACAACAGAGGACTTCCCTTTCCAGACTGGGTGCGTCTAAGTAGCTATGTACACCTAACAGATATCCATGTTTGTTTGGTTTTTTCCATCCTTCCTTTCTTTCTTTCTTTCTTTTTTTTTCCGATGAGGTAAAATAACTTGATTCTCTGATGTCAACTATCTAGGTGAGCTTGGCCAGTTACTTTACCTGTCTGAGTCTCAGTTTCCTCATCTGTAAAACGGAATGATCACATCTGTCTTGCCAATCCCACTAATTGTGCAATCACAAAGTACGATGGATGTGAAAAAGCTTTGTATCTTTAAGAATATGTCTATTTCCATTTACTCTTTGGTTTTCTTGATAGTAAAATAAAAACATAAACCCCTTCACAATGAGGTGGCAGCTGGTTACCTTTGTCATTTTTCCATTTGAGACTTAAAAAGGGCCATCCTTAAGGAATGACCACTTTTTTTACATTGAGACACAAGGGCAAAAAGCCCCTGGACTTCATTGAAGAACTGAAAGAAAAGCATTTTTTTCATCCTACAGCCTTTTCTAGTTCTGCACAAATAAACAAAACATTCTTTTGTTGTACCTGATATTATCATCTACACTGATGGTCACCCCACCACCACCCCTCACAGGCAACCCTTCAGACCTGTCATAGGCCTATAGATGGCTTACAAATTTCTCTTTTGTTAAGACCATCAACATCAATACAAGCAGCAATCTAGGCTGGCTATGAGCCCCTAGGCAGAGCTGAGCAAGCAGGTGATGAGAAAAAGGGTCCTCCCAAGAGAGACTGTAACAAAGGAAGAGCTATACTCAGTTCTTGGGCTCTCACCTATAATTGTACTGTTCCCAGATCCGCCATCCCTCTCAAGCAACTCATCTATCAGGTCCTCCAGCTCATTCTCAACCTGGAGAGAAATAGAACATACATATGGATGTACACAAGTCTCATTGTGCTAGCACTGAACCCTCCCCCCCCAAAAAAGCCAGCCAGAAAGCATATGTTTCTATGATAATGTGATGGATATTACATAGAAACCATACATTTGGTGCTATTAACACACAGACTACTATGTGCTTCCAATAAATCACACTTATACTGTCCTTCAAATGGGTCCACCCTGGCTAACTAACACAAGATTTGTCTTTTAAGACTATTCAGGAATACATGCAGATCACATTTGGGCCAGCAGCTAAGGCTCATAGGCTCAGTTTCTTAACCACTGTGACCAAATTACCAGGTTTTCTTTAGTATCTTTAGAAGACCACCATTTAAATCCACCGGTAAGATCTGGTGGTACGGCATAAGGTGGCACTAAGTAGATTTCAATAATGACCAGAGCCAAGTAAATCAAAGGCCCAAAGGCCTCAGGGCAGCTTTCTACTTTAACATTTCACCTATCTGGTTGGGACTGATACCATTTCAAAATACATGGCACTCTGGCTCTACCCCAGGCCCTATAAAACAGTTCAGACACATTTGCTGAGCATTTACTAAGCATATCACCATCTATGTTCCTCTGAAGACAGCACTGAGGCAAAAAACAGCATTGAGGCAAAGATCTAAAGTACTCACCCACCCACACCACCTGGGGTTTGGTTCAACGCCGCAGCAGAAGAATGCTGGAATGATCTGCCTCCCTACCTGCATCTCTTGTGAACTGAGCACCTCGGGCTGCCCAGCAATCACCACTGAGTCGGTCTCAGCCTCCCCATCCATGATATCCCCATCTGCCACCTCTGTCTGAGTGACATCATGATCCTCCTCCTGCACTTCTGTTTCCCCAGGCTCGCCTGAAACAATCAATCAACCAGCACAATAATCAAAGGGTGCTTATATGCTGGGCAACAGGAGGCAAGCATGAACACAATGACCCTTCCATGGGTAAGTTTACAAATTCTCAAAGTATAAATGAATGGGTGACAAAGGAAAAGAGAAGGTTACATGTGAGGATAGCCAAACAAGGCTGCAATGTGAAGAAATTCCTCGTGGGGCTGATTCCCACAGCACTATGACAGATATCTGCAATACAGCAAGTTCTCAGGGAAACAACAGAGCTAGAACAGTTTAATTCCATAAGCAACAACTCCCACCCATTCAGTTGTTCAGTTGATTGTTTGTGACTCCCTACCTGGATCTTGCTGATGGCTACTTGAGTCCTGAGAGGCTCCTTGGGCATCCTGCTCAGCCTTGTTCTTGCTAGAAGCACTCTTGCTGCCAAAAAGGCTACTGGGCTGGTTTACAATCCGAGAAAGTGTTTCCAAAGGTTTTAGAGCAGCATTGACTGTATTGGCCATATTGGGACTGAGATAAAAAAAGATACAAGAACTAACAATAGAAATACTAGGTGCCAATCTGCTAAGTATAACTAAGGTTCTTATAAAAGAAACTGCTAAGACATAAATGGGCACAAAGTCTTCGACTTTCACTGGGGGTTAGAATACTATTTGATTTAAAAACTTTCAAGGAATATAGCCCAGTAAAGCAAAAACTGAGAAATTCTTGAGTAGAAGCCAGAATAAATTCCGGATGACCATATGCAAATAGCAAACTACTTCTCAGATTATCAAGGAAAACCAAAAGCAACCAACTAACCAAAACCAAACAAAAACATTTCCAAACCCCTTTAATCTTTTTTTTTTTTGGGGGGGGGGGGTCTCACGTAGAGAGCTCAGGCTAGTCAAAGTCTCTATGTAGTAGATGATGAGCCCGGACTTCTGAGTCTTCCAATTTCTTTTTTTTTTATTATTAATTTTTTAATCACAGAATATTTACTTTGTATCCCAGATGTAGCCCCCCTCCCTCCCTTCCATTTGACCTTAGCTTATAACCTAGAACCCCTGCTTGATGTAGCCCATGGTAGCTCAGTAATCAAGTGGGTTTCCCTAGTAAGGGGAACAGGGACTCTTTCTGACATTAACTCAATGACTGGTTCCTTTACCTCCCCTTCCCCCCCAAGGGAAGAACAGTTTTCCAACTTCTAAGTACTGGGATTACAGGTATATGCCACCACATGCCTACCCTTTAGTTCTGAAATCTCCTATTACCTGACAGTGATCTTTGATCCCAACCAACACTAAAGTGAACCAAAGCTCATCAGTGCACATCTGAAGACTAGGACATGGAAATCATAAATAAGACAAACTGTCTGAGTACCAAGAATACTGATGGCGAAGGACTACAGGTATGCAGAACACAGAATGATTTTACAGTGATAGGGATTTAAGAGCAGGATTTTTTTTAATCCTTTAAGAATGCTAGTTGATCTATATGTCCCCATAGATGATGTAAAGAGTATATATGTTAACATTCGCATAATGGGGAATCACATAAATATATACTCAGGGGATCATCTGTAACATATTCACCCTGAATTCTTCAGTATATTCAAATGTGCATAGAAGCATAGATTTCTTTTTTTAAAGACAGTGTTTCATACATCCCAGACTGGCCTTGAATTCCTGGCTCTCCTCCTACGTCCATCTTCTGTATGCTAGGGTTATGGCTATTTGCCGCCAACACTGATTTATGCAATGTTGGAGATCAAACCCAGGACTTCATGCATGCTAACCAAGACTACAAACTAAGATGTATCCTTCCCTAGAGAATCAGACTTTTATATCCAAATGCCACATATCATCTTCACTGGACCCTGGATCAAAATACTCTCTTAGGCTATGGAGGCATAATTAAAATAATTAGGAGTATTTAAACATAGAACACAGAGAATATATGATTACCAAGTATTATACGGAAAGTTTTTTTTTTTTTTGTATAAACGTTTCATTTTTAGAAAACATTTGCTTAGTGGTTAAAGATTATGTTTTTAAAAACTAATTTTCAACAACTAAGCGCCGGAAAAGTTAAACACAAATGGAGCAAAGACTGCTACTAAGACATAATTTGAAAGTTTTATTTTTAAAAATAAATTGGTAGTGTTAGATAGTGCTGCTAGCAAGTGCTTTTATTGAGCTTAACCCTCATCTGAAGGATTTAGACAATTAAAAAAACATTAATAGGTTTGCTGAGCAAAATGTGTGTATGTGTGTAATCCTAGCACTTAGAAGGCTGATGAGACACGAACCCTGCTGGGAATGCAGGTCCCAGATTAATGGTCAATCTCAACAAGGATTACTGATAGCAGGTTAAAACAAAAAAAAAAAAAAAACAAAACAGCCAAAAACCTGTTTCCACACAACATAGTATGGGATGTCTATCACCTTAAGACAGGTTTAAACTGCTGCAGTAGTTTAAAGAGCTAACTGTAGGCTTACAGAAAGTAACAGAGTAATGGTATATATAAAATATACTGCAAGGAAGCAATTGTACTAAATCTAGAAGGCAGTCTTTTGTAGAAAAGCAGGCTTCATCATTTCAGAAGGTATCAAGAACACTAACATTAAACCAATTTTCAGTAAACACATTGGAACTTTTCACCTATAGCTGAAGTTTTCTTGCAAGAGTAGCTATTTCCTAATCAACCACATGGGACAGAATTTTACTTTACCTGGACAGGTCTAGGCTGTGAGGAACTCTTGCCAGGTCATTAACTAGTCCCTTCTTCAGGAACAGTCGAATGATGTTGTTCATGCCATTATGCTGAGTCTTGGGTGTGGCACTACTGTAGAAGCTGGAGGTGGAGGGGCAGGACTCCATGATAGTACTGATGATACACATCACTGCCTGAAGTCTGGGAGAGAAGTTTGATACCTCTGTCAAGTGAATACAGCCCATACTTAAATGACATCTTTACTAGCTTGCCTTAGGTAGTAATCTTTAGGTTTTTTGCATTTTGTTCTGAAAAGAATGTCTACACAGAGAACTCGCTTTTCAGTGAGTAGTCTTTACTACAGAAATTATAAGATCTGTACATATTTTGTGTATGTATATAGTGAAAACATCCCTGTACTTCCTCAGAATGTAATCACTTAACCATGGGCTTCAGACATTATATGTACATTGTTTGTGTGACCACAACTCTTGGTCAAGTATAAGGAACCCCCCAGATGTTCTTGCTTATCGGCACTAGGCCAGGCATGGGCTTTACCTGGCATGTTTCTCTGTACTCTCGGCCATAGCAAGCGCCCGTCCCAGGGCTGCTTTTACTTCATTCACTAGAGCCACCTGGGCATCTGTGCCACTCCCCGCAGCAGCCAGACTTGCAAGGAATAGACGAGCCAGGGCAGGTGTGTCCTTGTCTTCTATATTCTGGGTGTGTGGGAGGAGGTGGTCCAGCACAAAAGCTAGCACACTGCAGTCCTGAAAAGTCATTAATTGTGACATTTACTCACAAGTGCAATTAAGCCTCATCATTTGTACAGCAGCAAAATAGACAGTTTCTTTCAAGTAATCTAAGATACAAGCTAGGTAAGTATCAAACCAATTAGAAATCTTTAGGTGGCTTTATAAAGCTTCCAGATCCCATCTAGTTCTCACCACATGGTACAGACTGTCACGGAGGTGTCACTTTGCTTTCTAGTTTTTATTTTGGAGATGTGGCCTCACACTGTGTAGCCCTGGCTTGCCTGGAACTTGCTACATAGATTATTAGGGCCACTAACTTTCCTCAGTGCCAGTGTTAGGATTAAAGATGTGTACCATTACATTTAACAATACTCGGTATTTTATTTGGGTCTCATATAGTCTAGGTTAGCCTGAAACTTGGGAGTCCCTTTTAGCTCTACCTCTAGAGTACTGGGATTCCAGATGAGAGCCAACCAAACTGGCTTCTTAAACTTTTGAATTACTTTAATAGACTTGCTTATGGCAAGTCAATACAAGAGAATGAAGCAAATCAAGCGTTTCCTCCAACTGTTAGGTAATCTGAGACCTAAAAAAAAGTAGCTTGCACCAAGAATTTAGTCAAGGGTAGAGGATTCCAGTGTCTGCTTTTGAATGCTACCATTCCTTCTGATACTTGCAATGTGCCTGAGACCCTAAGCTAGAAATTGGGAGCGGAATGAAAAAGAGCAGAGGCAGAGAAACAAGGAAATAAAAAAATTTCAATATAGAATTACTTGAAAATGCAAAAATGTCCAATAATACAGGAAACTAGGACAGACTGTTTTCTCTATAACTTCTGCTCTCATTTTTATAAAAAAAAAAATCAAATAAACCTTAGGTTGTATTATTCAGGAAGACTTTGGAAGAAATAAATTAGCTGTAAAACACTCTTAATAGATTTTATGTCAAATTAGTATCTACAATTAGAAAACACTTTAGAAATCTAGAGCCTGGAAAACTGGACAAAGTGAGCTTTAAGCAAATTAATAGAAACAAAACTTAATTACCTATGAAATACAAAACTAAAACTACTTCTTGAATCTAAGTAATGGCATATCATTATTACTATACAATTTTGGAAAAGACTTTAATTTAGAAAAGCAATATTCTTAATAATGCAATAAAAGCAATATTCTTATTCAAGTAGCAAATTCTTACCCTCAAGACAAGGGTTTCAATTTTAGTTATGGCACTAGACAGGGTGCCTTGACATGTGCCTCTGACCTTTTTCTCCTAATCTGAAGAGATACTAATGACTCTGAAGTGGAGGCAAGGAATTTGGAAGATGTTTGAATATGTAATAGGTAAGATACTCAATACATTTATAGCCAAATGTTTTGTTTTATAAATAAGTACAACATAGAAAATCTTTCATATAAAACCTAATATGTACATATTGATTGCACATCAAAAAGGGCTCATATATACAATATATAAGGAATCTAATGAAAAATTAAAGCTAAGCAATAAGGCATTCAAGTGTAGTTCCAGCTGTTCCAAAGGCTGGCTGAGGCTGGGAAGAATGAGCCCAGGGATTTAAGGCCAGTTTGAACAAGAGTCTCACCAACCAACCAAGAAACCAAGCAACCACCAACCAACCAACTTACCTACCTATCTTTGATAGGTCCCAAAAAACTAATAAAATATATGAAAATATGGTCAACAAGGAAATGCAAATCCTAACCACAAAACCACTAATAAATTTAGTGGAATGAGTAAAATAAATTATCATGTAAGGGTATAAGGAGAAACAATCAGAACTTTCATATGCTTCTGGTATATATACTCAGACCACTCTGGTAAACTCAGGTACCATCTGTTAAAGCTATAGAAATAAAAGCTCTAAAGCTTAGCAGTAATACTCTTAGGCATATATCACTCAAGAGTTATATACTATATATTTACAAAGAAAAAAATGAGTATTCACAGCAGAACTATAGGATAGTTCCAAACAGAAAAATGACTCAAATGTCTATTAATAATAGAATGGATCAAGATTATGTACATTCATAGAACAGAAAGCACAACCGTAAGAAGAAATTCTAAATGCACAAAAATGAATCAAAATTTGTCAAGCAAAACGAGATATATAAGATATCATCAACTAATTTCCTTACAGGTGCCCTGACTGCTTCATAGCACTGTGAAAAGACTAGCTTTTCTTTCAACGAATACTTGGCATTCACAAGTTTCTAACAGTCTAATAGGTACACAAATGATCAAAGTGTAACACTGAAAGGAAAAACTAGAAATATTACCTCTTTGATCAGCTCAGACTGGCCCACGGTATAGCTGTAGTTTGCAATCAGGGTAGCAATACCAACATAGGACCTCACCAACTCTGCCAGAAGACGAAGGATAGTAGAGGTAGGCATTAAAGGTTTGCTGCCCTTGCCTTTCTGCTTGCCTTCCTCAGAGGTCCGGTCCCCTTCTTTATCTTTCTTCCCTTCTCGAGTCTCCTCTGGAGTTGAAGCTCCTGAGAAAAAGTCAAATAGTTGTTCCATTTCACACTGGAGTAACATTAAAAATCAAGCCACATATAGAAATAGTATTTGCTCCTTTTTAGCCCACTGTGCAAATCAAACACAGATTACTACTGTAGTTGAATGACAAAGATGATGAACATGGAAAAAAAAAAAAAACAAAACAAAAAACAGTAGGGAGGCTTGGATGAACCATGCATGCATCCATCATTTCCTGATCTTTATGCAATTTTATGTCTCAGAAATAATGCATTAATAGTAATTCACTAAATACCCATCTTCTTTCTTTTGTTCTCGTTCTCATATACTTGCCTAGCACATATACTTATGCAATTCAACTCAAATGCTGATCTCCTGTGACATTTAGACACATGGAAATATTACATGCCCACTTATGGAAGTATCAGTTCATTCTATCAATTATAATTGTTGCAGTCTCCCTCATTAGGCAAAATTATTTAACTGTAGGCATCTACCACATAGTAAGAGCACAGACATTTTCTTTGACTAATATGCCATTACCTGTTAAGACCATTAAAACGCATTAGCTGTTATTTTATTTCTATTATTTTTAATTGTATATGGATATGTGCATGAGTAAAGATGCCCAAGGAAGCTGTGAGCCAACAGACATGGTACTAGGAACAGAATTCAGGTACTCTCCAAGAATATTATGTGTTAGGGCTTTTAACTATTAAAACCCCAGGCTCCCGAATTAGCCACCATTTCACCGATTAAAAAAAAAAGATTCATTATTTTTTTAAAAGATTTTTTGTTGTTGTTGTTTTGTTTTTTTGAGACAGGGTTTCTCTGTGTAGCCTTGGATGTCCAGGACTCAACTTTGATCTTACAGAGATGTGCCTGCTTCTGCCTCCCCAAGTGTTGGAATTACAGGTGGGTGCCACCATGCCAGGCTGGTTTTCATTATTTTTAACTGTATCAGTGTAGAGGCACACACACATAAAGGTGATTGAGGCAACCAGGTGTCAGATCCTTAGAAAGTGGAATTACAAGTGGTTCTAAGCTGTCTGATGTGTGCTGAACTCAGGTGCTCTGGAAATCAGCCACTGAGCCATCTCTCTAGTCTCTCCCAACTTTCTCACATTTTAATCTCCTAGAACTAGTATACTGACCAAAGTATCTCCTAAGTTTTATTTTAAAGCTCTTTTATTAAAGACATCAACCACAAAAAGCAAATGGCTATAATCACATCACTGACACAAATACTCTATAAGACAGCTTATGGGAGTCCAAAAACAGCAATATGGGCTGGCACAACCAAAGAACATCACTCTAGTAACCATTAACAAGTTAATAAAAATTACAGTTGTGGGGAGCTGGAGAGATGGCTCAGCAGTTAAGAACACTGTCTGCTCTTCCAGAGTTACTGAGTTCAATTCCCAGCAACCACACGGTGGCTCACAGCCATCTATACAGCGATCTGATGCCCTCTTCTGGCATGCAGGTATACATGTAGATAGAGCACTCATATACATCAATAAAGAAAAAAAATAGATTCTTTAAAAAAAAAAAAAAGCTTTAAAAAATTACAGTTCTTTTAGGTTTAACAGACTGTATCTGGTTAGTCTCGAGCCCTAAAAAAAAAAAAAAAAACAACAAGATAGAGCACTGGACTCAGCTGTTAAAAAAATTACTTAAACAAAACAAACAAATAAAAAGTCAACATGACAATGACACCTGATAGTCTACTCTAGGCCTGAGACAACCAGTTTCTTTATCTTCACAACAGATAACACAGGAAAAAAAGGCAAATTGTTACCCTCTCCTTGGGAGGTTCCAGGTGAGGAAGTGTCAGCAGGGGTACCATCTGCAGCAAAGACCTGACTCTGGAAGAGGAATACATGTTAGCTATGATGAATTCCAAAAACAGTTAAAAACAGTAGCAAAACTCATTTTGAGGATTAATGGTAAGAATGCTACAGATTCTTGTTGACCTTTCAACCACTTTCTCCTAATAATCTACGGGAAGCTATCACAGTGACTAGAATAGTCAAGTAAAGAGGAAAATAAACATCTGAACCTAAAGAAAAGCAGAATTCAAGAGATATCCTAATCTTTTCTTCATTTTTTGGAAATAAATAATTTATTTATTACAATTAAAACTTTTTCAAACAGGGTCTCATTATGTAGTTCTGGGTGGCTTTGAACTCACAAAAAACTGTCTCCTGAATGTTCGGATTAAGTAAAGGTGTGGGTCATCATTCTGACAAAATTTATACTTTTAAAGCTTCATTTGAATAACCCTTGATATGAGAAAATAGGGGCAACAGAAAGAAAAGAAAAATGGAAGACAGCTGGAATTGACTTACATTTAAGGAAAAACCTGACTGTGTATCAAAGTCACTGCTCTGACGAGTAAGTGACCGGTATTGCTGGTATACATCGTCACCCATGTCTTGCAGGAGCTGGCCAACCTCTTGGGTCATTCCCCCAGGTTTAGAATCAGATTTGTCTGCTAAAGAAATATAAACACACATCTAAACTAAAATATGGTCCTTCAGTTGTGCAATATTAGTGGGGTTTTACTTAAGAACAACAGTGTAGTAATTATGTTACAGAACAAATAAAATTAACTGGTATATACATCATAACCTAGGTAAGTTACATCATTGCGTTTTCTGCAAATACACATTATAATGCTTACACAATATCAGTTACTCATGATTTCTCTGATCATGTCTCTCATTAAGTGATGCATGACTATCCCACTGATAAAGCACAGTTATTATTCTAATGTTAACTAGTCTTATGACCAAAGTGGTTTTAGTCATTTTGCATTCTTGTATTGCCAATATTAAGGGCAAAATCAACACATTTAGTGCAAAAGACTTGTATAATAGAAGGCTAGGATATAGATCCATCTATTAGAGCTAAATCATTGTGGGGATAGGGAATAGAACATGGGGTAATGGTATTATGCTGAGAGTAAAAGCAGAAAACTCTGAAAGGATCAGAATAATGTACGAATGAAAAACATCAAAGGAAAGTCTTTTATTTCTCTGCAGTTATTACTATCACTGTTCATTTCACTAATTATGACCTGAATAAAGTTGAAAAGGATGACTGGAATAGAACCTTGGGTTCCAAGCAATTCAAACATACTTTTTCAATAACTCACATATAAATGTGGATTGGGATGGTGGTCTGAAAAGTGAAGAAGCCATGCCACATTAATAATATCCTTAGCTCTATGACATATGTATAAAGACATTTTTCTTTGAGTATAACATTGTTCACACAATGTTATTACTTTTTTGAGTTTTTGCTCACATGTCTCCATATGGTTTATTCCTTTCTCATGCAACAGTCACTTGGCAATAACTTCATCAGTATCATTCAAGATTCATATCAGAACAGATTTATGCACCTTACCATTACTCTTGTACCTGTCATTTTATTGTAATTAGTTTCAGGTGTGTACATTCATTTTTAAAGATTTATTTTTATGTACATGTGTCTATGTATGTGCATATGTATGCAGGTTGACTGCAGAGTCCAAAAGAGTGTTGGATCCTGTGAACCTAGAGTCACAAGTGGTTGAGCTGACTGATGTGAATGCTGAAAACTGACTCTCTACAAGAATAGCAAGTGTTTTTACCTTCTAGTTTTTACCTACCTATTTCATCCTTGTCATATTCACTTTTTGATCCCAGAACTGTGGGCATAATGTTTACTAAGCCATGTGCTAGCTGAAATGACTGAGGCAAGATAACCTATCGCCCAGAATCTTAGATCCAAAAGTTGGCTAGATACATACCTTCTTCTGGAGCATGGTATGCAGCCAAAGCATTCAGCATATCATAGATAACTTCCTTAATAGTATCAGGAATGACAGGCAGAGATGAAGGCTTCAAAGGTGTTGTCTTTACCAGCTGTACAGCATTAGGACCTTTAATTCTAAGATTCTCAAATTCATCATCTGAAGCTGGGCCAAAATCAGAGAAAGATTCAGAAAATACAACACTGGTACCTAAACGTCATCACCAACAAGAAAGTATCCGGAACAAGGATTATGTAATATGTAAGAGCTAGAGAAATAATATTTTAAAAAGAAGTTCAAGTTTTATACTACGAAAATCTGCCTTTTATAAACTTTAGAGAAATCTTGTTTTGAAACTTAGTTTTGTAATAGTTCAATAAACAATCTCACCAACTTTTAAGTATGTCTATATGAACTCCCAAGGAAGTTATTTGTTATTCATAGTTCAATAATAGAAATAGATCCCAAACCCAATCCAAGTAGTCATTCTCACTAGTCTCCTTTTATGGAGACACTTGTATTTTTCCTTTCATATTAGTATTTATCATGCGCTTAGGGCAGCTGTCCTATAAAACAGTCCACAATTTGATATTAATATAATTATTTACTCATAATGAAATAAAGGCATTATCTTTTTGTTATGAATAAATCACTGTAAACTTCTCACTGAACCCCATCAGTCACACAAATAACTGTTCTTCAATTATTACACTGTATACAAACCACCAACTACAGGTAAATTCTATTGCCACATTTTGATGAACTCTTTTAGGCAAAGACTAGAGTGAATGAATCCTTAGTAACTGTGGCAAGGACTAGAGAAGTTACTGAGAATTATCTATAAAATTTACCGACCCAAATGATGAACCAAAGCCTCAATATCTGCCTAAAGAAGATTTTCAAGTTATCTCTTCATAAAAAGGCCAGACTTCAGGGTCTCAAAGAATTGCAGCAAATAAAACTGACCAGTCCCTGAGCCTCGAGGGGCTGGAAGGGCAATGCGGATACAGCAGTTGGCTACTTCTGTGAATATGTCTGGATTGCGGCAGGCAGCTGGCCCAAGGACTCGAAGGATGTAGTTGATCTCCCGGGAGCCGAGACTACCAGATACAACACCAGATGTAGTACTTCCAGCTCCACTTGTAGCTGCTGAGCGAACAACCTAAAAAGCATTACCAATTTAAGTTTCTAAAAATATAATTATAATCAAAGAAGTATTATCAAAGATTAAAATACTAACCAAGCTCTGCCTTGAAATAGTAGACTGACAGCTCTAGATATCTGAGAGAAAGATACATCTGGTCTTTAAGACCCTTTAAAATTAAAATAATGTGCCTCATACACAAGTTATAACAGATCTCAAAACTCAATTCTTATATGACTCTGTATTAATTGGGCGAGGTATCTGATCACAGATGCCATATAACTTTCGCATGTAACTGTCAGCTCTAGCCTCCAGAAATGCTGCAATTTTAAGCTTAACAAAATAAAAGTTTTCTTTATGCTTTAGTCAATCATCAGTTTAAGATGAGAGCTATAGGAGCTATCCAACTTTATGGATAGCATCCATTATGATAAAAGTGTTCAAAAAATATCATCCTTTTATGTTTAATACACTTTACCAAACTAGCCACACCATCTAGTCTAGCATATAACCTTAAAGATCTTTGGCTTGTCTAGACAGTTATAATGTTTATCTTATTTTATATATTTTTTTAAAAAAACACAGAAGTTTCTTATGTGTAACCATAATTTATAAATTGTATAGATGTCCACTGCTTGATATCAGTCTTCTAGCTTCTTGATATTACAAGCAATCCCAAATATTTTTGTCTAAGGATTTAAAAAAATCTGTTGTTAATCACAAGGCAAATTTTTAGCCATAGAATTTGTAGATGAAGGAGAATGACTGCTTAACAGTTAAGAGCATACTATTCTTGCAGAGACACTGAATTCAGTTTCTAGAACCTAAGATGGGCAGGTTACAAGTGACTGTATATAACTCCAGCTGCAGGGTATCTGGCCCATTCTACTGAAATTTGAGGGCACTATACTCTTAGGCACATACTCACAATTAGAAAGTTTTTAAAAAATAATTTCTAAATGAAAAAGGTTATCTTAATTTGCAGTATAAAACTGCCCTATGTGGCCTTTTCCGATCTTACGAAACTGTACTTCATTTGGCCAACTTGATGTTACTGTCACTCATTGTTATATCTGCTTTAACTTAATACAGAAGTCTGTCAAAGATTCCTTTCATCCATTCAAGATCTGTACATGATCTTAGCATTTTTAAACATTTATTTAGTCCAAATTCTGTCTGTCTGTAATTGTTTCTTCCCCACTGAGCAAAATAGACTGCTGTAAATCAGGAGCCTTTTTTAAGGCTCCTGATTTAATACATGTGAGGCAAAAGGCTTAGAAAAGGCTCCTGATTTAATACATGTGAGGCAAAACTAACCAGAATGGAGGGAAAAAAAATCGAATATAAACACATACAATCTTATACCACTTTTCTGGCAAGCAGGTAAAAAAAAAAAAATACATTATTTTGATAAATTCTGATTTCCAGAAATCCCTAAGGGCAAGAATTTTAATAACCTGAACAAGACCAGGAACAAAAATAGATATTGCAACACTAGTTTATCTATGTGCCACAAAAAAAAAAAATGTTCCAAAACACGGAAGAGTGAGGTGAATCCTACTAATATTCATGATGATTGCTGAAAAAGATTTAGTAGAACTGAGAATTCTGCAAAGTGTGGAGGAGGAAAATTAAAAAGACATTTATCTCTTTATTATCTGTTGTTTTCATAAATGATTTTTGCTCATTTTTTTCCGATGATTTATTCATTTAGTTCTCAAACATATTAACCTACTTTCTTATTTTTACAATGGATAATGGTTAGATGCCCAATGGTGCCTAACAGACCAGGAACAGTTTAAAAATTGTAAAACAAAGACATAAAAATAAGCATGAAACACCAAAAATACTAACCTTTTCCATAGTATGACGAAGAGTACACGGATGATCTTGAATTTGACCCAGAGCTCAGGCTTCAATGGGTTTACCCCCTTAGTCACCCTTCTCTTAAGACATATCATTGAGGATCCTTGTACTCTTCAGCTCTGCAAACATCATGGCATATTTGTGGTCGCGAGTGAGCCTCAGACAGAGGCGAAGGGTGGCATGCAAAGTGTCTGGGTCCACAGGGACTCCCAGCATGCTCACACAGGCTCGGATTAGAATTGTCACCATATCTTCTGTCAGGCCCTGGATTACAATCTCCCCATTTTTTGTTTCTTCCAAGCTTGTTTCTTTTTCAGTGTTTGTACTCTCTAGAGCCACTGGGATATCTACAAATGGGGAAAAAGGGTATATACAGTTTGCTATTTCATCTCACAACTCTCCTTCCAAAACAATCAGCTATCACTTGGGCTGAAAAACAAAAACAAAAAACCAAAACAAACAAACAAACAAAAAACAAATAAAAAACCAAAACCCAAACAGCTAAATCTAAGACCAGATATAAAGATGGGCATAGGAGAAGACCATCTATCTCTTACTGTTCCTTGGAAAGGAAATCATTAGCCACAAAACCGGCTATGTTAAACCAGGTAAAAGCATATCAACTTTAGGTTAAAATTTTTTTTTTTAAATATTTAAAATGAGGAGACTGGAGTATGGCTCAATGATCAAGATCATGTACTACTACTCTGGCAGATGACTGAATTCAGTTCCCAGCACCAATGTGGGACAGCTCACAACTGCCAAGCTTAAAGAAGATCTAATGTCATTTTCTGGCCACCAAAGATACTGCATTACCCTAAACAAACTCATTCTTTCACACAGTTAAAAATAGAAATCTTTTCTTAAGGATTAAAAATTAATACAGGGTATAGAGGCACACACCTATAATCCCAACTAATTGGGTAACTGAGGTAGTAGGATTACAAATTTGAGACTGGCTTGGGCTATATACAGCAAAACCCACCAAGTGAAGGGAAAAATAGATGGGGAATGAATGCTAAACATATACCATTGCCTTTATTTTCTTTACGTTTGATATCGGTTTCTTTGCTCTCTTCCAGTGTTTTCTCTAGTTCCTGTCCATTGCTGCTTTTTGAGTTTTTACTCAGTCGTGGTACCCTGAGGAGAGTTAGCATCACAGGGCGTCGGTTCCCCGTTTCTTCATTAACCTAGGAATTCAGACAAAACAAAAATCTCTATGTAAAAAGGAGGGTGGGAAGACCTTCCAGGCAAGATGCTGCAATATGTAGGAACTACGACAATTTATCCCATCTCTATAATGTAGAAAGATTAAAACAGAAGGCCTTTAGAGATAAAAGGAATACACATATATACCTATACTTGCCTGATTCTAAAAACTCATTTCAAGGAAGGACAGACCTATGTTCTAGCTACTGATTATTAGAAAGACTCAGCTCTCTGAAAATTTAAAGCTGTATTTTGAAGTGGACATTTTATTCCTTAACTTGACAGGACTGGTTCAGAAAAACAACAACAACAACAAGCAAAATGCATGCTGAGTACAATGCCTTCTTTTCAATAAAGTTTACATTATTAGATGAGCATGTACCTGCACCATTGTAGTAAACTGGACAGTGTATCTTCGTCGGCCTGCAGTGAATCTTACACTTGTTTCTCCAGATTTCCAGGCAGAATCAATGGTGCTGTTGTTGCTAGCACTATAACTACACCAACGTCCAGAACGGTCATCAAACCAACGCCAGTTGTTGTTGTTGGACTGTAGGTACTAAATAAAATGCAAACGCATAAAGCTTCTTCATATTTCCTGCAAACTTTATTATCAAAACAATCAGTAGACACTGCTTAAAACTAATGTAAAAAGAAGAACTGGGTATTTAATATATTTCTAAGAAGCTTTCAGACATGTGTGTTTTTAAAAAGTATCTCTTTCCAAGGCAAAAAATCAATCAAACAAACAAACAAAAAAAAAACCTACCCATTTCCCTCTTGCCATCATCTACATTCCTTTTGTTTTCCCCAAAAGGAATATGATCACGAGAGACATTATCATGAGGTTTTTACCAAATAGCAGCAGCAACAGCACCACCACCACCAAAAACAATTTGAACTCTCCATTTAAAAGAGAACTAATGAAATCCCTCAAGAGTTATATTTTGGTGGGATGATTATACACTTTTCATTTCTTTTCTCTTACTCTCTTTAGTTCTACTGTAAACTCAAGAAATGTAATGATAAAAACACAGACATAGTACTTCACACACCTTAGTCATTTGGGCTCTTCTCTTTGATGAAATGGCTGTCTTTTCATAAAAATCAATAAGGAGCAGTACTGGAGTGATCCACCTAAGAAGAAATTATTTTTTAGGGCAAAGCACACAAACGCACAATTTTGGGAAAAGGTCAGGTATCTTACAACTGTCTAACTATAAAATGCTCAAGGTTAATTTAATATATGCTTCAGAAAAGTGATTTAAGCCCTATATTCAAGGGCCAAACCCCAGAGAAACAACAGAAATGAAACCAGGATAAAAGAAAGAGATGAGGGACAGTACTACAACCGGGATGCAAAGTGAATAAATGTAATAAATAATAAACTTAAAAAAAATACTCACTTTGGGGTCTGGACTTCCTTTTGCTCTTTGGCAGCCTGCAAGCAGGGCTGAACCACTTCTAAGAGCTTGATTAGGACATTAAGGATGCCACTTGATTCAACTACCCAGGCACAAGGGAGCTTCAACTCCTGATTTAAAAAGACAAAACCAAAGGTTAACATTTACAAAACTAGTTAAACACAAATTCTACTTCATATCACTTATGAGCGATGTGATCTCAGATGAGTTACTTATACTTTGAGGGTCATAGTAATGACACATATATAATTAGGGAGTCAACTAACCTATGCAGTCTTTTTGTTTTATTTTTCATGACAGTGTTTCTACATACAGCCTTGGCTATCCTGGAATTAAGCTCTGTACACCAGGCTGGCCTTGAACTCAGATATATGCCCGCCTATGCCTCCCAGGTGTTGAGGTTCAAGGTGTGTGCCACCACAACAACCCAGTAGCTGTGCAGCCTTAAAAACATTTAAGTTCTAAAATTTTTTACTTACATGGAAGTTTCTTAACAGGGACTATACTGAAGTGTTGGATTTTAAAAGAAAATCACCTTGATTGTTCAATAATAGGTGGTTATATGGACAAAATAGGGGCCTATGAATGACTTTTCTTTAAACTGAAGTGTCACTAAGGATGATAAACATTCAGTTCTTCAAAACCTTTCTCATAAGTATCTATTCTCAAAGCATTATACAAATTATAACTCTTGAGATGGGCCTAGCGACACAAACCTTTAATATCAACATTCAGGAGGCAGAGTCAGAGTTAAGTTGGATCTCTGAGTTCAAGGCCAGCCTGATCTACAGAGCTAGTTTCAGGACAGCCAAGGTTGCATAAAGAAACCCTGTTTTAAAAAAACCAAAAATGAAATAAATAAATTGTAACTCGTATTCTACATGAAGTTTTAAGACAGTCTGACATAAATATTAGACTCATCTAAGTTACTGTAAAAGTTTATTCTGATAAATTAAGTTTATTCTGATAAACAAGATGACTTACAATTGAAGAGCCACTTCTCCAAAGTCAATTGCCTTCTTGTTCTTATTTTGTTAAGAACAGTAACATATCTTGTCCCAACTACCCTTTTACCTAAATAACCAGCTAATTGATATGGTAAGGAAAGGAATCTGATTCTAATCACCTTAAACCTAACAACATCCAATTGTATGTGAAGCTCCTAGTTAGGATTCCTCAGTATTCCATATCTGCCATGATTATCATTTTAATGCCCTTGTAGAATGACATCTGACTTTTGTGCACACAGTTGAGTATGCACAAGTATAAAAGCCAGAGACACAAACGGAGTATCATCTTTTGATTCAACACTTTTTATAAGCAGCTCTTTTCGCTTTATTCACAAGTGATACACATAAACTTTCCAAACTCAGAACCTTCTACAATATTATACTTCATTATATACATTGTAGCCTATTGGGAGATTGTAGGCTTATATCAAATACAGGGATCATTCTTTGTGCTTCTCCATAATTCAATGTATTGGTAAGTGCTGGTTAATTCTTCAGTAAGTGAACTGCATGGGCCAAAAGATGTATATATTACCTCAAAAAGTAGTGTTAAAAGCAAGATTCTAGTAGCCAAATTGGAAGCCTGTGGCAGGGTAGCCATTTGACTGATCCATTCTGACACTGTTTTTGTGTCACTTGTTGTTAGAGGAAGAGCAGCTTTGATCAATACATCAGCAGCTTCCCACACCTAGAGAGCAGAAAAAATGGCCAAGTCACATTAAATACAGAGTAATCCAGAATCTGCACAAATATTCAAAATATTTAAACATAAGCCCAATCTCAACATATTTGCTGAGGAATAGAAATAACAACCAATTCATAAAAGAGATTTAAGGTATCAAAAGAAGGCATAATCATTAACAATCAATCTAAACACCTTTTAAAATTGGTATTTGTGAGTACATGCACAAAAGGAAACTTGTAAGAATGGTACTCTCCTTCAACCACAAGGGTTTTTGGCACTACACTTAGGTCATCAGGCTTGGCAATAATTGTCCTTTACAATGAACCATCTTGCTAACCCAGTTATTCTGAAATTATACTACAGAACTAAATCAAAGGAAATGAGCATACATTAAAAAAAAAAAAAAAACACCTCATGGTGTTCATAGTCAACCTTCAAAATGTTCTGTCAATTTTTACTACATCTCCCCTAAAATTACTTTATCAAAGTCTACAGTGTTATTAGACTATTAGCCAGGTTTTCGTTTTCAAAATGTTTGAAGAGTACGGTGGTATCACTGCTCTTCACTATCAAATTGCTACCTTCCTTAAAATACAATGTATAAGCATATATTCCAGTAAAAGATTTTGTACTCACAGTTTTTTTTAAGGTTTATGAGCTTTAAAAAGTTATGCTTTGGTCAGCTGCCCAGAAAAAGTAGAGACCAGGGAGAGTGCCTGGAAGGTTCAGTCCAATTGTTACTTGGAAAGGACAATTTCTAGCCTGGTATAGTGCAGTGTGTTCTAGGTTTCCAGCTTTTGTGAGCTATCATTCATGCCAGGGTAGGATTTAGTGATGTAACAGTCATTGAGTCATTTCTGCTCCCGATTGTGTAAATCATATAAGTGACTCCACCTCAAAACCTCACTCGTTCATTAAAACAAACAAACAAACAAACAAACAAAAACACATACACACAACAACAATAAAACCTGTATGGTCATATTGTCCCCAAACAGGTTTTCTTCTTTTAAAATTTCCTCAATCTTTTTTTTGAGACAGGGTTTTTCTGTGTAGCCTTGGCTGTCCTGGACTCTCTTTTTAGATGAGGCTACCCTCAAACTCAGAGAGATCCACCTGCCTCTGCCTCCCTGAGTGCTGGGATTACAGTCATGTGCCACATTGCTCAGCTATAAAACAAAATCTTAATGATTTAAATATATCCAATGATACAAATTTGTAAAAAATACAAGTAAATTTGATATTTCTAGATGTAGAGATTATGGATGATTTGTTTGTTATTCCATTCCAACAATCAAAATACATTAATGTTATAATGGGAGAGGAAACAAACACTAAAAGAGTAACAAAACTGGGTTATGGGTATCCATCAGAAAGTCAAAGGAATAAATACTTATTTTATTAACATACTAATTTAGCTCAATATTCTACATTAATCTGATGGAAAGCTTTGGTTTTCCCTTCTAAAGACTATTTTTGTGTGTGTGAAATGGAAAAATTAATTGATAGACAACCAAATAGAGCGAGACTGTAACCAAAAGAATTCAAATCCAGAAAATAGACATATCAGGTAGAACGCAAGGCTTTTCAAAAATATAGTTTTGAGAGAAAACAGGAAAACAACTTTAAATACTCCCAACTTCAGGCACCTGAGAACTTACCTGGTTGACAACCTGCTTCAAAATCATATCACGATAATCTGATCCATTACGCTTGATAGCTGTCATGATCAGATCACAGACGCGGTACACTGTATCAGGCAGCTCATCAAGAAGATGGAAGCAGCCTGGTAACATTCTATCTGTGAAAGTATGGAGCTCATCTTGTTCCAATGGGTCAGCATCTTGAAACTTTTCTAGGCATTTAGCTTCTTCCTCTTCTTGCTTTTCTCGAGCTTTCCGTTCCTCTTCCTCCTTCCGGCAAGCAACTTCCTGGAGGCAGGAAAGGATGCATAAAAACATAGGCCAGAGGTGAAGCATGAAAAATGAGTACTTGACCCAGTGTTTGAATACCATTTACCTTCTCAAACAGCTGAAACGTTCAAAAGGGCATGGGAATAAATGTAATAATAGTCACATAGATTAATGCACAAAACAGGTGAGTACCCAGAAGCACTGTCAGTTTTAACTGGCAACATCCTATGTACTATTCTCCAGGAAACTCATTTTTAGATCCTATCCAATATATCCTTCCAGTGTGATAAACTTAAGTAGTATTACCAAGGAACACATAACTAAGTTTGGACTATCCGTTACTACCAGTTACATTTTGGGTCTTATTTTAATGAAGATTAATGTTTCATTTGAATCATCTAATGCTTCATTCTCATCAATACAAGGTAGATAAAAGATAGAAATAAAACATTGAGATGAACAAGCACTCCCCTGACTTTCTCTATGATTATGTAGTGATCACAGACAGAACTCAGAACTACTGTTTACAAAAATACAAATTAGTGGGGCAAGAAACTTTGGATGCTAGACTTCAGTTACCTCAGGTGACTCTGCCCTTTGATCCATTGGAATATCCTGTCCCAAAGACATGGCAATTGCTCTCATCATCTGGTCCTCTTCGGACATGCTAAGATCCTACAGAGTGACAACAGAGAATCCAATAAATATACAATCAAAATCCAAAGAAACCTAAATAGGTAAGACCACTTCACAAGGAAAGGAATGAGCTGGAATGTTATTCTCTCCAACTAAACCCAACTAAGGCATATATGGTTACCACTACAGGGACAATAAGAAAACTTAAAAGGAAAACTAAGTGTAAAACGAGTTCTTCTGTGAACAAAATGGAGCATGGCTAGGGAACAGAAGTTTCTTGAAGCATATTCTGAAGCTTTCAGAATTAGTACATGAAGCACTGGTATAGAAGATGGAGAAAAAAGGTTATCAGCAGCAAAACTATATTAAGTCTTTTTGTGTCTACTCACCCGAACAACTCCTCCTATAATTGGAGGAGGATGGGTTAAAAGGTACTCTGTTGCTTGTTCCATTGTGCTGGTGTTCAACAGGGCCTCCATGGCATGTTCTCTTGTGAAACCCATGTCCATGAGCTATATTTAAAAAAAAGCAAGATCCCAAAAGACATTAACAGAAATATAAAAATATACTTCAAAATAAAAACCAAGGAACTTAAGTTTTTCTAAGTTTACATGAACAAACAATACTTATAAGTCAGGGCAGTAATTTTTCATGAATGTTCTTTTCTCTTTGGTAGTTCTATAATATTTAAATAGTAATGTTATATATTGATATAAAGAACCAATATATTTCTCAACTTTAACATGTCAAAATGAAGGCCAGGGTTGGCATTTATATTTTGGAATAGAAACTTGTTACAAAGAAAAAGGAAACGACATCACAGCTTTTTAGCATCTATTAATAAAACAATTCATGAATGAGACTAATACACACACACATATACACACACAATTAGCTGGGTGCAGTGGTGCACATCTTTAATTCCACCACTTCGGGAGGCAGAACTCTTGAGAGTTTGAAGCTAGCCTGGTCTACAAAGTGGATCCAGGAAAGGCAAGCCTACAAAGAGAAACTGTATCTCAAAAAACAAACAAGCAAACAAACCTCCAAAACAAAAGGAACCCTCCTCAAACCCAATCTGTTATATATATAATGGTGTAATAATTCAAACTCTCTAAACAAGAACTTATTTTTATAATAAAAAGTAGAAATATATATACATATATAACAGATTTGATTAAAATATGAGGACCTTCATACATAAAAACAAATTTGAGGAAGACAAATGTCAAGTACCCAGCATGGGTGGAAAACACTGCTTCCAGAAACAATGGATCATTAAATAAAACATCTCAGTGCCAGGCATGGGATACCACCCTAAAAGCTATTGTTCAAGGAGTCCCCAGTGTCCCTTTAAACAACACAGGATATTACCTTTGTGACTGGTTGCCAATGATAAGCTAGGCTGTTAAAACCCCATTGCTGAAGACATAACACACTCTGGTTGCAGGACACAGAGAAACCAAATTATGATGGAGCTGGAATATGCACATGTCCTTGCTGGCTAGGTTTCATAGTGGCAGAAAGTGATATGTACGCTACTTGGGGAGAAAAGCAATTAACAGACTTCCCCAGCTGTGAATCCAGGCATGCTATAATACAAACTTAATGCAGTGATGGAATGATTATTATGGAGGTAACTAATTGCTTTCTCAATGAATCTGAGGCCTGCTCCACAGGAGGGAACTCATGCCTGGTACTGTATACCTGGTCAAAAGTCCATTGACTTTTGAGTTGACGAGGTCATGTTTTCAAGCTGTCTTCTAAATATATATATATATTAGATTAGTTCTGCACCAAACCTTTGTCAGAAGTTTCTTTTTGTAAGAATGGTTAATGCAGAGACTTTTAATTGTGCTGAGTGCTGAAAATAAGATAACCTTATAATGATTAGGCCATTATGAAGTCCACCCTCGGAAATCTCAGGGCATATGGTGTAAGAGTTAAGTTAGAAAGAAAAATCCTAAAATAGAATATGGGATGGACTACTTTTCAAATGCTTTAGGAACATGTGTGGCTTCTGCACTCATGAACTCACAATAGTTCCATTACCTGGACAAGACAAAACAACCATATATTCAACTAAGGACAGTAAAGGGTTCACAAAGCCACACCGAGGAACATTTGAATATGGCTGCTTGGAAAGAGACAGTAATTCAGGATCTGGCCACTGGTCAAGTTTTCACGTTTCAGTGGCTGGTCATATACCTAAATACATACGGTCAGCACTGACTGGACTCAGTGGGTTATTAAAAAAAAATAAGAAGAAGAAATCAGACATGAAGGTAGGAAGTAAATGGGTTGGGGAGACTTGGGAAGGTGGCTGAAAGGGTTGCTATGAACAAAATACATGTATAAAATTCTCAAAGTGCAAAATAAAAATTAGGGAAACAATGTTAAACTATCCTTTGAATCTTCTCCCCTGTCTAGTTTATAATTTTCAAAATGTAACTATTTTAAAGTGATATAACTTTAGAGATGAGCACAGTTTTAAAAAGCTTTTATTGGAGAATAAATTTAACCACAGTAAGTTTGCCTCATTGTTTAACCAGTAGTAACTGAAGACCGTTTGCTTACCAAAAAAAAAATATCTTAGCTGATCCCTAAAAACAATGTAATTAATATACTTATGAGAACACAAATGGGTCACCTGCACACAGTACTGGGGCCACACTCTTTACCTTTCTTAAAGTGAAAAGATCTCCAGGCCAACAGAACGATGGACTTAGTGGTATGGAAGCTTAGAAATTTTGTAAGATAGGTGGCAAATCTCAGAACGTGGGAGGCCTAGACAGGTTTCTGAGTTTGAAGTCAGTCTTGCTTACATAGTGAGACAAGGTTATAAAACAAAAGTTATGAGCGTTAAATTCTATAAGGTGCAAATAATAAGGCCCAGAATCTGAGACACTCTACCTGTTGTAGCTGTTGTTGGTTGACTTGAGGTTCTCTGCGGGAGCCACCTTCTTCTTGGCTTCCATCTTCTTCTCCTCGAGATCCTTCCTTCTCTTTGCTCAGTCTCTCTCGAATTACAGGTTCTCCTCGAAGAATGTGACACAGAATGGCCAGCATAGACTCAGCCATTCGTCCACCATATACTTTAAGGGGTTTCCGGTTCCACAGGTTCTTGATGCAAGTAAAGGCTGCCTGTAAGACATTTGAAAAGCATATGATATGAATATTTCCCCCTTCAATTCAAATCCCCAGAAGGAAAAAGAAAGACTAACAGACATTCCTTCCACAATGAGTCAGTTACACAAAAACAAACTTCAGATTGGCACTGTGGTGGTTTAGCAAAGTACAGTGGACATGGTGGGGTGTGGACATTTAATTCATCTAGAAGTACCAAACAGAAGCTTAAAGTTCATGTTTATAGCAGGAAAACAATCTGTAGTCTCGTCTCTATTCCTTTTGGTAAACAACCTTATCTGGAAACCTTAATCCATTTACTTTTCAACAATCACATTTTATTATGGACAAAGCATAGTGCAACTATTCAGTTGGCGGGAGGTTTTAAAATGGAGAATACTCACTTTTTGAGTTACTACAAGGAAGCGGAGGGCACTGAATTGTGGAAAGCTCTGGACACCTCCAGGCAATTTGGCAGGCAATGAATGTGGAGATTCAAGCACTGTGGTGGGATTCACCATCTTTTCTACAAGCATAAGCCAGGCATCTAGGAATTCTCCTGTGCCATCAGGTAAGTCTGAATGCTCCAATCCCTCAGAAACAGGAACTTTTCCTCCCATGGACAGAGCCCAGTTGAAAGTTCTAAATTCAGTAAGACAAAACATATGGATAGAATATTAGCTAGTATTTTATATACAGGAAAACATATTTAAAGGATCCCACTCACTACCATACTGGTACCATATTTTCTTTACTTTTGTTATTACTTTTTGTTTTGCTTGAGATTATAATTGTATTACTTCTTCCTTGACTTAACCCTCCATAAACCCACAATAATCTTCCTTGTTCTCTTTCAAATTCATGGCCTCTTTTTTCATTAACATGAATGTATACACATATATATTGCTAAATGTAACCTATTCAATCTGTATGTTACTTGCACATATATTTACAATGCTGACCATTTGGTATCAGATAACCAATTGGTGCACTGGTCCCTAGGGAAGATTTTCTCCCACTCTCAGCATTCCTTAGTTGCCTGTGTAGATCTTGTGTAGAGTTGAGTCTTTGTGGGCTTATCCCCCCGATTTTGGAATGTCTATTGTCCTTGTTCAGTTCATGTTTAGGCTGTTAGGTTGGTGAGATTTTATGGAAGTAGTTTCTGGAATTACTAGGAAACAGTCTGAAAGCAAAGTCCTTCCTAAAATTTTTTCCACCCACTATTTCATAATGTTCCCTGAGCTTTAGGTACAGTTATTTTGTAGATGTAACCAATGGGACTGGGTTTCACAATTCTGAATTTTGATTGGTTGTGGTTTTCAGTAATGGTCTTAATTTACTGCAAAAGAAGCCTTTCTTGATGAGGGTAAGGACTACATATGTCAGGCTAGACTCAACATCCAGTCAAACTGGTTACAATAAAATCTTTTGGCTAAGCAAAGTAAACAACTAACTTAGTGTATTCAAAGAAAAAAATAAAATCAGGTTTATTAAAAAAAAATGTGTAATTAGGAATGGAAACCCAAATATATAAAAAAAGCAGAGATTCTTTATACACTCATGGACATACATGTTTTTAATTTTATGAATGTTTGCTAACATGTATCTCTGTACACTCAGATGTGTATGCCTACTGCCAATGGAAGAGGGAATCAAATGCCCTACAACAGGAATTACAGATGTTTGTGAGATGTTAAAAAGGTTTTGGGAATAGAACTTGGGTACCCTGGAAAATCTTCAGGAACTCTTAACTGCTCAACTACCTCTCTAGCCCAAAAGCAGACTCTTACTTCTGAGGGAAATAAAGACATACATGGCTTGTTTCTAGAATACAAAATAATAAAGCTAATGGCTCTCTCTATCCTACAATCACAGGATAAATGACAAGGCATGTAGGAAAGAGCAAATACAAGATTCTTGGTGAAACAAATAATCCTTACTCAAAAAGAGCATTGTGACCACCAGAGCAGAGAAATTTCTGCAGCATAAGGTGGTAAGGATACTTTCTCTCATCAAACAGCATTGGAGATGTGAATCCAACTGAACAGATGAAGAATGTCAGCCTAAAAAAGAAAAAGAAAATAAAAAACAACCATTTCTAAGATACATACAAAAGCAACAGAAAATTAATTAAAAAAAGTTAACAAAGCATTTAGGTGACAGATTGGTTAGGTAGCTGGATGACACTTGCCACCCACTTAAGAATTAAAAGGTTACTGAAATGCAGTTTATATTACTGAAAACCTTTTGGAAATTTCCACATTGACTCCCTTGCCAGCTTTTCAATTACTTCCCCCTGGAGGGACTGCCTTGCCAGGCCACAGAGGTAAGAGGACAAGCTCAGTCTTGACAAGACTTGATGAGCTGGGGTGGATGAGAAGGGGGAGCTCCCCATTTGGGGGAAGAGGGGAGGACAGGAGAGGTAGGGATAAGATCAGGATGTAATGTGAATAAATAAATTAAAAAAAAAGAAATTTCCATGTTGCAGATTAAGTACAACAAAAACACTTCATATGCAATATATATAAAGAGAAAACAAGAGATTCCCATGTTCTCCGTAAATAGAATAGGAAAAACCATACATTATTTTTTCTACTTCCTGCTTCTCAAATAGGAACTCACCTGAAGCGAGGAGTAGGTGTATATGGTGGGGGCTGCCATGACAAGCCTTTTGTGAGTAGCTTAGTGAGGGCTGAAGCTGTTGACCTAGCAGCAGGTGTTGGCGCAGTAGTGGTACTGGCAGCATGATGGCTCCTTCTTTGGCGGACAGGAGAACCCACACAAAGCTTAACAAGGAGTCCAAAGAGCTCAGCAAGTGCTCGGCCCAATCTGGAAGAAGCTGAAACCCAGAAGGCAGTATAATGCTATAAAGTACTCACATGATTTAATAACATGTCATTTTAAAAAATAACAATTTGTATTATTTATAGTGTGTGTGTAACAGGTCAGAGAACAACACTGAGGAGTCAGTTTTCTTTTTCTAACTTTACATCGGCTCTGGGAACTAATCATAGGTCATCAGGTTTGCATAGAAAGTACCTTTACCCATGTACCCATCTCACTAAACAATGTTTTTTTCATGATTGAATACTTTTTCTAAACAATAGCAAAGAAATTATTAGACTTGCCTCTTTATGTGATAACCTAAATAAGAAGTTTCTAAAAAATATATATATATATATTCTTTGAGGGCAGGAAGTAAAACTATACAGGCATTCATTATATAACATAAGTGTAAGGCTGTTGTGGGTGGCTTTTCCTCCTGGGCTTAAGCTCCCAGAAAAACAGCTCTTGAGACTCAAGATAGTTATTTACAAATACCTAGGCCATAAAGCTAGGCTCTTCTCTGACTAGCTCACAGCTTAAAGTAGCCCATTATTTTAATCTACATTTTGCCATGTGGCTGGTTACCTGAGCTCAAGGAACCATGCATCCATCTTCCCCAAATCTTGTTGGCTGAATCTCATGTGCCTATCCCAGAATCCCTTCTGCTTGCTGGATGTTTGACCTCCTACTACCTGCCTAAGCTATAGGCCATCAGAATTTTATTGACAGGCACTACATCCTTACAAGATATTCCTTCTACAAAAGGCATGTAAGATAAGGACTTAGACTGCTAAATTAAACATAAACTGACACTGACTTTGCTGAAACAATATGGCAGTAAATACAGGCAAATGAATGATACATTTGCTGGATTTAAAGTCACTTAAAATGCGTACACATAACTTTAAAACAGAAAAAAAAATGTTTGATCAATTCAGTGCTGTGATGCTTTAATACAGTTCCCCATTTTGTAGTGACCTCAAATCATATATTTTCTTTGCTACTTCATAACTGTAATTTTGCTACTGTTATGAATCATGGTATAAGTATGTTTTCCAGTGCTCTTATGCAACCTCTGTGAAAGGGCCACTAGACCCCTAAAGGGATAGTGAGCCACAGATTGAGAACCGTTTAATCAATTGACCCAGAAACACGTTATAATTTAAAAAGGTTGGCATGAAAGGCATAAAAGTTTTACAAGTGGATTATTACAGAAAGAAAATATATTCAAACATTGTTTCCCTTAAGCATTTTTTCTCCATTTTTGGTGGTATACTTATGGTATATGCATGGATGTATTAACTGTGTGTGCATGTGGAGGGCAGAAGTCAGTATCTGCATGTCTTCTTCTATTATTTTTTCTTTTACTTTTGTTGATATACCTGAGCGAGCAGGAGTCATACTAGATGTTTTGTTCTATGACTCAATGAATCTGGATTGGTTTGACTAGAATGGCAATGCACCTCAGGATCCTCCTTCTTATACCTGTCTGCCTGCCTGCCTGCCTGCCAGCAGTAGGATTTCAGAAAATGTGTTGTCACACTTGGCTTCTGTCTGGGTGTTGGGGATCTGAACTGGGGACTCTAATTTACCCAGAAGTCACTTTGGTCATCTCACTATGAATGTGCATACATATACACAAGCATAAACAGAACACAAGTTATAAATAGAAAAATATAAATTATGTAATATTATATGAATATAAATAGGACCTTTATATCCTATTCATGCTTGTCTTAAACATCAAACACAAACTTACATGAGGCATACAGCACAGAAAGAAAACAGTTATTTCATCTTCCTGTTCTATATAAATTAACATTTCATAATTTCAATTATGGAACAAAATGCCTGTTCAGCACAGGAATAGATGAAAAAAAGCATGGTTTGGGCCCACCACAAAACACCCAGAATGCTCAAAGGTCACACTACTCAATTAGATACAGTAATAAATGAGAAACAGAAACACCATCTAATTTTGCTTCAATTTAGGAGTAACTGTAAAAACAAACATAAATAAAAGACAAAATCTTAAGGCTTTGAAGGTCATTTTCCTTGCTTTCATTCCTTGCCTTGGAAGTTGGGTCTTCTTTACTGCCTCCCCCCCCCTTTTTTTTTTTGTTTTCAAGACAGGGTTTCTCTGTGTAAAAGCTCTGGCTGTCCTGGAACTCACTCTATACCAGGCTGGCCTGGAAGTCTGAGATCTGCCTGCCTCTGTCTCCTAAGTGCATCAAACAAGTGCACTACCATCACCTGGCTTCTTTCACATCTTTAATACAGTTTTGTACCCTGCTAATGCAATCTCCTTGAAGTAGCCAATATGACTTTAATAAAACACAAATGTTACTAGATAATCAAAGCAAAAGGAGAATGGTAACAACTCTGAGTGTTTAGTCATAAAAACCAGAAGAGTTATTTATAGAAGTAGAAAGTGAGTCAACTATCACTTCTTAAAATAAAAGTATCTGGCAGACGCAGCAATAAGGTACCTCAGTGAGACATTTCATCAGAGTAGTAAGAACAAAAGGTTAAGAAATTTTAAGGAAGGTAGCTATAGCTCACGAAGAAATTTTCTTTTATATTCTTAGTAACTAGTATAGAGTATGTCATACAATAGGGATTCAACAAAGTACCTGTGAAAGATACATTTCCACAACTTTGTCTTACTGCAAGCAATATGGTTTTGCCAATTTAATTTGTTTGATGACTGTTAGAGTTCTAAAGTTCAGAGAGGGAGAAAGAAAGAAAGAAAGAAAGAAAGAAGGAAAGAAAGAGAGAGAGAGAGAGAGAAAGAAAGAAAGAAAGAAAGAAAGAAAGAAAGAAAGAAAGAAAAAAAAAAAAAAAAAAGAGAGAGAGAATCACTGACCGGACAGCAATGGCTTGATTTGTTTAATTCTGGCTGCCATAGCTGGTGTGATTTTAGATTTGCCTTTAGAATCCGAAGAAGAAGGTTCATCTGTCTCCATGGGAGCCAATGTGTCTCCATCTAGCTCAATTCCTTCCAATAAGCCCTGGGTAGAAGCATCCATACTTCCAGCTGTCCCATCCTGTTCTCCTTCTGCAGATTTAAGAAGGGAATAATAAGATCGTACAGAGCAAGCACTTACCTGTATCCATGTTTTGAAGAATACCAAGAGAGAGTTATCTATTTTGCATGTTCTTAAATTTTAATTAGGAGATCAAACCAAACCACCGTCCAAATCAAAAGCAGAACAACAACAAAATAAACCTATACCAATATGCCTTTTTGTCTGAAGTTCTACAAACTACATACTTGCTTGAATCTTCAAATGAAATATGAATCATCTTAACACACAGCACAATGTATCAAATTTAAAGCTATCACTAAAGATGCCCTGCTAGATTATAGCTTGACTACCAGACAATTTTATCTCCCAGTATTTAAGAATTCTGCACTTGAATAAAAATTGTGTAAGTTTTATTTTTATGCATATGGGTATTTTGACTGCATATATGCCTGTGCATTTATTTATATATATGCCTGTTGCCCACACAGAAGAGGGGATTGGATCTGCTGGGACTGTAGTTAGTGATGATTGTATCATGTGTGTACTAGGAATTAATCCTGCGTCCCCTGGAAGAACAGCCCGTGTGCTACCACTCAGTCATCTCTCCCCAGACCACTATGCATATTTTTTAAATTAAAATAGTTTATCTATTTAGTATGTACTAGTGTTTATGTGTTGGGGGGGGGTAGGCACACATGCCCTAGAGTACATGAGAGGAAGTCAGAAAACACTATCCAGGAGTCAGTTCTCTTCTTATTTGGGTCTTAGAAACTAATATCAAATCATCAGTCAGGATTGGCAGCAAGGGCCTTCAACCACTGAAGTACCCATTTTTGATGATTTATTTACTTATTTATGTATGCCTGTGTAGGTATGCAGACAGGCCAGAGAGTGTCTGTTGTCCTCCTCTATTTCCACTTATCTGTTTGAGGCAGGGTCTCACAACCTGGGGTTAGAGATTTACCAGCTAACCTGGAAGCCAGCACTTATCTCCAACCTGTTCCCCTTTAAACTGAGGTTACAGGCACACCTGCAATGACAGGCTTATTGTATGTATGCTGAGATGTCCAAATTTGGGTCCTCGTGATGGCACAACAGTGTTCTTAACCACTAAGCAATCTCTCCAGGCCCAACCTCCCTTTGGAGGCAAGTTCTCATGCTGGTTTCAAACTCATTATGTGGTCATAGGTGACCTTGAACTCTTGATCCTCAAGCCTTTATCTCACGATTGATAGGATTACCTGGCTTTGTTTATGCATTCTTCAACCTCAGAACTAGTTTTAGTTTTATGAACTTATTAATTTTTCTTTTTGATAGTTTTAGGCAATTGTGACTTCTTTATTACTGCTAGAAATGGGGTGGTGAATACACAAAAATTGACAAAGGACAGGAAAAAAAAAAAACAAGATGAAGTCTGTAAACTGTTGGCAGAAGCAATTCTTTGACCATTTCATTTTTATCTGCAGTTCTCAATAAAGTTTATTCTTTACGTTAAATTTGAAATAGTCTAAAATTTGAGATATATATTTTCTCTAAAATTAACCTTAGAGGTCTGTATATACTTGTCTCAATCTTTCCCAAACCCCATAATAACCAGCTGGTAGAAATTCTTATATATTAAGAAGATACATGTTTTCTTTGATTTGTTTCCTTAAATTTCTCTCAGTAATTTCAATGCATTTTTCTTTTATTTATTTTTGTTTACGATTTATTCATTATATACCCTGATTGAAGCCCCCTCCCTCAACTCCCTCCTTCTTCCTCTCATCCCATTCCCCCAGTCCACTGAAAGGTGAGTTCTCCACTACTGCCATCTGTCCATAGCTTGTTAAGTCTCATCAGGACTGCCTGGATCCTCTTTCTTGGTGACCTAGCAAGGTTGTATCATCAGGAACAAGTGATCAAAGAGCAGTCAACTGAATTCATGATAGAAGCAGTCCCTGCTCCCCCTCATGCAGAGATGTATTTTAAAGAACATCTGAGATATATATATATATATATATATATATATATATATATATATATATATATATATATGTATGTATATATATATATATATATATATATGTCTTTATTATTTTTCAGCTTTATGTACTTAAAATAGACTCCAGGTATTAAATACGTGGAAGTTTTCAATTAACAATCATTTAATTCAGCATGAACAATATTGCTACTCATAAAATTAAGAAAAATGCTTTTCTCAACAGGTGACAGAGAATTTATACTAAAAACTAAAAGTCATACTATACTGAAATTAAACTATAAGCATCAGTTTTTGGAAAAATTTTTATGGCTCAATCTTGTATTTATATTAAACTACATGCAAACACTTTCATTTTTCAAAATAGCACTTTAGAAAGCAAGTCAACTCTTGATACTTAAGACACAAATATAGATATTTTTATCATTTTTAAATATCCTCAGGGAAAAGATCAGGCAGTTAACTCTCAAATGTTGTGTGTTATGTGGTAGCAGAAATACATGTTCTCCTGTTATGCTAATTTTATTATAATATATATATGTTTTTACAGAAGAAATGACGAAATCTAAAGTTAGAAATTAAAAACCAGTAAAATGATAAAATCTGAAGACTAAATATGACAAACAGCTAAGTTTCACACTAAGCTTATGAAGTCCCAGGGACAATACTAAGGAGAAGTAATGACTTAAGATTTTAGTTTCTTAGAGTTACCTGATCTTTTTCCGCCCTGGCTCGTACCTGCCTTCTCATCCTTTGGAACCAGTTTCTGCATGTCCGCTTGTCCAAATTCACATCCAGATGGTAGGCTACAACAAGGAAAATAGTAAACATATAAAAATCAAAGCAAAAGGAAAAAAAAAGCACAATTATAGTTTCCTTGTTTTCTGCATGGTCTCTGACTTGCTTGGCCAATACCTTCCAGAGAAGTTATGTTTTTCTAAATTCAATAAAAACATCCTGAAGTAGTAACAAACAAAATCTGCGTTATGCTAATACAACCATCCCGAGGAAATCAAATTACACATGAACAAGATGTTATAATTGTCAGTTAAGGTCCTAGTCTAAAAAGTGGGAAGGATAAACCACTGGAACTTTTTTTTTTTTTTATCAAATCTGCCCACCCTGTTCAAAGAAATCTTGCAAGCTTTTTATAAACTTTGTCTGTTAGAAAAACCAAGAGAGATATTAAGAGAAATAATCATTCTCTTACCTGTTGGGAGTACACAGTGAGAGGAGGACAGTGCTTTCCCACACCAGCGAACAGTATAACTGACTCAGCTTGCTGAGAACACTCAAACCCAACTGAGAACCCCACTGGTTTACGGAGATAGAACGAATTTCACTCTGCAACCAAAGGAGAAGTATTTTCATATTTAACATGGTCCCCAAACCATTTTATTTTAAAAATATCAACCTTTAGCTATTTTAGAAAGGTGTAAGATAGTATTTTCCTGTTTGGTATGCTATCGCTTGCCTATAATCCCAGTAATTTTGGAGGCTGGAGCTGATAATGAGTTCAGGCATGTCTGGACTACATAGTTAGCTGAAAGAGAATGTACTCTTTCCCAAAATAATGTTGTTGAACTATTAGACCGTTTATTTTTCTGATAACTTCTTGAAAAATAAAGGTGGCAAAATAGTGACCACAAATACCCAGAGGCAGGCTACTTACTTTCTTTTATCATGTGTGTATGGGTGCCTCTACTTGTGGAGTTCAGCAAACAATCTATTCCTCTGATGCTGTCAACCCCACTTTTTGAGACAGGGACTCTCTCGACCTAGAGCTTGTCCATTTGGCCTTTTGGGCTAGCTCACAAGCCCCAGGAATCTAACCTGTCTGTTTTCACAGTGCTGGGAAATATAAGCACGTGCCATGTTTGTAGGTACTTACATCTAATTTCTGGGGATTAAACTCAGGTCCTCAGATTTATAGAGCAGGCACTTAGCAACTGAGTCATCTTTCTAGTCTAGACAGCCATTTTCTTTACGGAACAACAGAGATCACAGATTGCAGGCAATATAGCATTGATGCATCTTCTTGTTGCTGTCTGCTAACTATTAATTTAAATGTTTGTGGTGAAATAATTTTTGCCACGCCACTGTTTGATCTAAATGTGCTTGTATAGAAATTAGATAAACAAAAGCTATCAAGATGGCTCAGGGATAAAGATGCTTGCTATGCAAGCTCTGTAACCTGAGCTTGATACGTAGAACCTCCATAAAGGTGAAAGAAGATATGAAATAAGTTTCATATGAAATAAGTTTCATATCTGCTATTAAAAAAAGATAGTGGTAAGATAAAATGGACATCCAATAAATTTTTGCCTTCAGAAGCATCAATTCAACCTTTATGTTATAGATATAACAATAATGATTCTTCTTAAAGTTCCATTCAAATGAAAAATTATATGGGTACACAAATGCTAATAAAAACTAAAAGAGAGAATGAAACCACATAGCAATTTAAAGCACAAGACATCAACCACCAGATGTACTGTCCAACAATTCTCAATACTAAATAAGACTATTCTTTTAGCTCTGGATTTGTTCCTAACCACAGTAATCTAACAAGTATATATAGGCCCTTGGCATTTTACTGGCTTTAAGCTGAAACCATAGCTTCACGATTATTCTTACCTGCCCAACTCTGCAGGTGTGAACAAACATCATGATGTAGGCATGGGCAGCAGTGAGTGCATGCAACAGAGGTGTGGCCTGAGCTGAGAGGGTAGCATCAGCAACATTGCCTGCACATGCCAGTTCTCGCAGTAACACAGAGCCCCCAGGGGATTCAATGGGCCGGTGTAAAGGTTCCAAGGAGGAAAGGATAGAGTCTAACTGAAGGAGACCTTCTTGAAGAACTTTAGGTTCATGTGAAAGGGTCTGAAACAAGAATAATGCATGTGTCGCACTATGTAATGAAACACATATACATTACTTTTTTAACATTCACAGTGAAAGTGACTATTACCTGAACTCTCCAAAATTTCAGTCAGTCATGTCCCTCACTTTATAAATGGCAATTCTAAAATATGAAGCTAGTAATGATATATCTTATTACCTTTGGTAATAGCAGACTATTTTTAAACCTGATGAGCCAATCATACTTAAAGTATGTAAATATGAAACAGGACTGTCTGTTGTACTGCTATAGAAGAGGTTAGTTTCATATTTTGCTTAGAAAAGAGCAATGATAGGCAAAGTTCCAAATCTTGAAAATGGATATTACAATGTTGCTTTCCACTTATTTCTAAAGAGTAAATTGATATTTTAGTAAAACACAAGTAAACACTGGTAAGTAAGGAAGCTGGGATGGCATGTGAATCCTCACCTCATACAATGTTATATAAATTGAACAGTCGTATACATATCTAGTGGTACAAATGGAACAGAGAGAAATAAAGGAGAAAGCAAGTATTATAAAAGCTATTGACTAGCCAAACTCTTAATAGATAAATTATGTTTTCAGGTCATGAAGTACTTAAGATATATGCTGTCTTCTCTCTAAGACAAGAGCACTGACTCTATAAGACTGGCATCAGGAAGGCAAATTATTTTAATAGACAACCCAAGTATTACATTTCTTTTCAAGTTAAGAAAGAAAAAATCTGGCAATTAAAGATTACCACTTGTTACGCAAAGCTAGAAATTATTTGCCTTCCTATGGCTTGAAATAAATCTATCCCTCCTCACAGAGCATCTTTGAGGTGGGGTAGTTAGATCAGTCCTTTCCCCTTGTTCTCCTATGAAAGCACTTTATACCTGCAAAGAGTGAAACAAAATAAACCATTAAATTGTAGTTTCTAGAAAAGATTTATCACTGCACAAAAACAGCTGACAGGAGCTTTATTGTAATTATTATCAAAATTCCAATCTTTCTTATGGTGGGTTGGAGGCAGATTTTTCTCATAATTCACATACAACTTTTCAAGGGACTTGAAGCCAAAATAATCTTGGGTTACAGGAACCAATTGAATTTGGAGTTCTTACACTTCCTGGTTTCCAACCCTATTACAAAGTTAATAGTAATCCAAATTGTGATACTGGGCAACCAATGGAAAAGAATAAAGCCCAGAGAGAAAACTTCACATTTTATAGTTAAACTGTGTTTGAAAGAGTGACAGGAGATGGTTTAATAAAAGGACAGTATTTTCAATAAATGATATTGGAGGGGAAATGTGATTATGCACACACATACAAAAAGAAAGTTAAACCTTCAGAGTCTCCAAAATCTCCAAATGTTCAAAGACCTATGAACTGAAAACATATAATTCCTAGATTAAAGCATAAAAATAAAATTATCTAAATTTTTTTGGATCAACACCAAAAGCATAGAAAGCAATGATGACAACAACAAAAGATAAAATGGGCATGGTCAGCATAAAAATCTTTAGTATGTCAAAGATACTGTCAACAAAGAGGCAACCCACAGAATGAGAATATTTTCAAGTGATGTATCTGAAAAAGAGGGTGATATTCAATATATACAGCGATATTCTACAATCAACAGCAAAACACCTTAATTCGATTAAATATATTCTAAAGGACACGAATATACATTAACAAAAGATACACACAGACAATAACTCAAGTACACAAAAAGAGAAGCTATGCTCAATACCACCAAATGCAAGTCAAAATGAAAATGAAATACTACTTTATAATCTCAAGAATGGCTAGTATTAAAAAAAAAAAACAGAATGATATGATATGGAGATGGTGAAATTACAATCCTTATATGTATGTAGGTAGTAGGAATGGAAAATACACCTTGATGGTTTTCATGCAGACACGAAAAAATAGAATTATCATTTGATTGAGCTATTTCACTTCAAAGTACACATCCAAAAGAATTAAAAGGCAAATATTTAAGAGCTATTTATACACTCAAGTTTACAACAGTATTCATCATGGGCAAAAATAGAAGCAATCTATATGATGTAATGTGTATACAGTGAAATATCAATTAGCTTTAAAAAGAAAATCGATAAAACTGACAAACCTGATAAACACTGATTTCACCACAACAATCTCAAATACTATACAATGCTATTACATAAGGTACCTAGAGTACCTCAAGCTGAGAAAGCTTGCTAAATCAAATGTGTTTTGGAAATAAACGCATTTTGTTTTTGGTAGAATTTGAGCAATGAATTACAGATCAATTCATGACTAATAAAGGTTTGGGAAAAGGAAAATACACTGCAAAATGAATGAGCATACTACAATCAAAAACTTATAACAAAGCATAAATAAAGCTAGAAAGTTTTCTTGAAAATACACTTTACACTCATATGAACTCAAATGGCAGTACTACACGACAAATGCAGAAACAAAAAATATTTTCTAAGAGAAATATTATAAAATATATTAAGTAGAACAGACACAAATTTATCAGTTTTTAACTATAGGTAAGGGAGAACACGATGAAAGTACATACATAGATGTAAAATAGTTGGCTAGATGTCTTACCAATATGGATTTGCAGACACCTGCAACAGCCTGACAGGCAGCAGATGTGGGAAAGTCAATGGGCAGATTGGGAAGACCCAAAATGGTAACCAAAGGTAATAGTCCCTTCTGATTTACAAATTCTTGGCAGTGGTCATCTGTTGTATTGTTGCTCAGAATAGACTCCACAAATTTCATCTAGGTAATGAAAAGGTTATATATATATATATAAAACAAGAAATTATAACTTCTCAATCCACTTTTTCAACCACTCCAGAAGTCAAACAATTTGAAAGCAAAGAGAAGTTAAACTAACTTGCTCAGAGGCACACTTTGAATTAGTGGCAAAAACAGATCTAATGTCTTAATTGTCTTGTGTATTCCTTTCGTTTGGCTTCTCACACATAAGAGTACTTACTGATATAAATAAAACATGAACTCTAGTATTGTGATTTGAAATAAATCAAAAAAATTAAGGAAAAAATGTTGCAACAAACACATAAGCACAAAAGAAATGATCTGTGGAAGTTTTAGAAGTGCTTAATAACCTAGAATAAATACTAAATAATTTGGGGAAATAGCACTCTTTGCATTTTCCCATAACAAATTAAAAAGGTTCATAAATTCTTTTTTAAAAAAGGGAAGTAAAATTTGTGTATGTGGTGGTGGTGGTGGGAAGCATGTTGGACAAATTCAAGTAATACTTGCTTAACACACCAAATCTTGTTAAAATTCAAATGTACAACAGTAGCAGTTAACAAAAAAGTGAGAATATAAAAAGGCTGAGAGTACTGGTTATTGAAAAGGGGCAAGAGCAAAGTATTTTCAGTTCTGCACATCTTCCCCTCTGTACTTTAAAGGCCCTACAGAAATCAAACATTAAACGCTCTGATAACCTTACACATTGTCCTGAAAAAAAAAAAAAAAAAAAAAAATCTATACGATGAATCTTACCACATTAAGGATGTAATCCATGAGGGGGATAGGAATACGTTCCTCTGTACCAACAACCCTGTTAAGAACAAAAGAGTAAGTTATACAGAAATTCACGCTAGTGAGAAGAGAACAAACTGAGGAAAAGTGACAGATGGAAATTCTAGTCCTTTTTCTAAATGATAGTCCTATCCTTTAGTATATGAACCTTAAGACTCTGAAGACAGAAAGAAAAAAAGAGCCAAAATCAATAATCACAAACAATACAGTTCAGAGTATAAAATGAAAAACCAGTCCTTTAATACACACACACACACACACACACACACACACACACACACACACACACACACAAATGACATTATCCCACCTAAGGCAAACCACTGTTAGAAGAATTCAACATGAAAATATTTAAAAGGAATTCAATTAGAAGACCAAACATTTGCTTACTGAAAAGGACCAAAGAATCAAACATAAAGCATAGCCAAATTCTTTTTTTTTTTTTTCTTTTGCTGAGACAGGGTTTCTCTGTGTAGCCATGGCTGTCCTGGATTTTGAAACAGGGCTGGACTCGAGCTCAGAGATTAAAGGAATGCACCACCACAGCCAGCACACAGCCATTTAGAGGTTGGAAAGTGGACTACTAGTTTTTTTTTTTTTAAATGCTTAAATGACAAATCTTCACGAACAGTCAAAGGTAGTCAAAGCTCAAGTCAATTTCCAAGACCTCCTTTCCTATTACTTTGTACTAGCAGGATGATAACACCTGAATTATATATAACAATTGATCAAGGTTTTGTTGTTTTTCTTTTTCAAATGCTTCAACAGTAGATGACAAATGAGGTCATAGATTTAGAAAAGACATCTTTAAATTGCCCTTTGAAAGAAAATGACAGGGAGAAACAACCACAAACAGTGTACTGATATGAAAAGAAAATACACCTCAAAGATAAACCCTGGAAAAAAAGAAAACCTAAGTAAGGAAAGAGCATATGATGATGATATGGGTGGGTCCTTGGAACAGTTCTGAGCAAGAAGTGGCACAGGAGGAACAGAGATAACTATTAGTGGTCACTGAGAGAAAGATGGTAAAAATGTCTACAAGATAAAAGGCTAATAGTTCTCATCTCAGCAAGGCCATGAATAAAAGATCACAAATAAAATACCATGAATAAAATGTTGCCAGTCATGAAAACGTTTGAAAGAAAAATGAAGAAGAACAAGAGAACAGAGAAGCTTTATGAATAGCCTCAGTAATGAAACACCCAAGGCTAAGATTTATGGTTAAGGATATTGTAAGTACCTTCAATGAAAGATTTATAAAGGAGCTGGTGAGATAGAAGAGCAGAGAAAGACACTCACCATGCAAGCCTTACAATTTGAGTTCAATCCTCAGAATCCAGGAAAGGAGAGAACAAACTCATGAATGTTGTCCTCTGACCTACCACATGTGTTTGAGCTTGCACACATGTACACTAAACAAAATAAATGAAAACAGAGAGAAAACTTGCAAAAAATTTCTTAAGATTAGTTTTATTTTCAATTATGTATATATGTATAGTTTTAATTATGTATATACATGTGAGTGCAGGTAACTATAGAGGCCAAAGGCCAGAGGCACTGGATCACACAACCACAGAATATGGATGGATACTGAGAACTCAAGTCCAATCTTCCATAAAAGCAGCAAGGTGAGCCATTTTTCTAGGCCCGTGGGAAAAGAACATTCTACAAAGAAAATCTTTTGTTTGTTTTGTTTTTTGACCTTCATTAATGAAAAGATTGGATTAATTTCATTTTCCTTACTTCATGATTTTAATAAAAATCACAGCAGAGACTGAAGCTTGGTGATGATGAAAATGGCCCTTTGTACTCTCTAGGCTTGAAGCAGAAATAATAGCTTGTGTGGCAGCTTGCACCTCTTCATTCCATTCCAGAAAGTGCTGTTGAAATCAGGAAGAGGACTTGGTCAGGCCTTCTGGGCAAAGCAGGATGGTAGTGGTGTCCTTGAAGGGAACTTCAAATGGCTTCATCATGCCGGAAATTGGACACTGAGATCACTGTCCGAAATCTGGGTAGCCACTTTGGTCTTTACAATTGCAAAGTTTAATCCTTAGGTCTTTCTGGATCTCTAAACTAATCCTTGTTGTGAACAACATCCACAAGAAACAATAGTAAATTGGTATAGTCCATTCCCAAAATGTATCAGGCACTGTGCTGTGCAGTTTTCAAAACCAGCTTAAATATTTATACCACTCTGAGAACGTAAGTCCTTCAAGAATTATAAGACCTTCCAAAGAGAGGAATCTCTAGGTCAGGATTTAAAAAGATTTCACAAAAAGACCAAAAACATTTCCTTGACTATAATGTTCCTCCTTAGAACAACTGCAGCATTCCATTGACCAATTATCCTTCCCAACTAGGTCTCACCTCCTCGGAAAAAAAAAAAAAATCTAAAGATCCACCTCTCTGCAACTAACAAGTGCAGATATCGCTCCAATTCAATGAGATTCTTGCCCCTTTGCAGATGCCAAATATGATTGTGCAGAGCCTAGGTGATACAATGAAATGAAACCCAGATGGCCTCTTGATTGGTGAAGTTAGAGAAAAAGAAAAACAAAACAAAAAAAAAAAAAAAACAGGAAAGGCAAGATGTGCTCTTAACACAACTCCAGGAACAAATTCATTCAAACATCTACTTTTGTTCTTTTCTACATCTTTTAGTCATTTAAGAATACTGAAAATGATCAGTTTCATGTTTCATTTCATCTGCAACAGAACTCTACCTACAAGCTAGTCTCAAGAAATGCCTCTCTAAGTTTAACCTTATTTGGAACAGACACATCTCTGAACAACAAAAACCTGGTTTTAGTAATGAATCAATTTATCATAACTGTCAAATTTTCCTTTGGCCAAGTCAGATTTTCTTAGCTCTTGAAGAAACTGCCTTTGACAAAGAAGCTGGCTCAGTGGGTCACACTTCAGGCAACAAACACTCTCTACACTTACAAGCTTTAAATACAAACAATTGCTATTGGGTCACAAAGACCACAACAGACTATGCATATAATTCAAAGTTTCTCATTCTTAGGTCATGGATCTGTACTTTAAATTGTGACTGCTCTAAGAGACTGAACAGCCTGGGGATATCAGGCCACACTCCCCCACATCCCAGCCTATCCCTTAGAAGGAAGAACTGACAGGCATTTCCTGGGACAGTTAGAGAACAAAGGCCTTGGTTAAAAAGCAAGTCCAGCCCTTCCTTCTCCCAACAGTCCAGGACCAAGGCAACTTTGAGGTACAGTCTTTATTAGTGGCTACCCAACTCATGTGGTAGAATGCCCCACTATGCCATGAAAATATGTAAGAACCCGGAAGACCCTCTGGAGGGATTAGAAGACTTATTTCAGAATTATTTATAGTGGCCAATACCAATACATGCATATAATCCCCAATATTTAGAAGGCTGAAAACCATGAGTATGAGGATATTGCACATAAATTTCAGTATATCGTTAAATGCATAGCAAAACTAGAGTTTCTGGATGTAGATTAGCAACCTAAGAATTTAGGATAGACTATACCGCCTAAGCTTTTTTATTCCAGATTTCCAACATAAAACTACACTTCAAGATATTCCATAAGCCACCATCTTAAAAAATAAGAAAAAAAGGTACCATCTTAGCCCTCTCCCCCCAGCAAACAAAAAATCCAAGTTTATCAACAGGAAAACTAAATAAATGTAACCATAATTAGACAACAGAAAAAAAAAAAAAAGAACAGTAGTGACTATTGAGACCAGTTGATACCATGGATAAATCCCCAAAACACAGTAAGTAAAACCAAATAACAAGAAACTATATTAGATGCATATTTGTATTATCACTGTAGGTATAGGGTATTTTTAAATATGCGAAACTATTTCATGCACAGTATAAATAAGATCAGTAGCTCTACTTTGAGGTGGAAAAATGCAGACAATAAAAACTGCAGTTCACTATATGGAAATTATATTCACACATATATGAAAAATTCCCCTGAATATGTATGTATGGTGCTGGAAGATGGATAGAGGCAAGGAAATAAAAATGGATAGGTCCACTAAAGAATGTTCAAACTGGAAAGGGGGCAAATGAAATGTTAAGGAGAGGAGTGATAGGTACTTAATCTAAAGTTCTTCAATTGTTCTATTAAATAAACACATAGATAGGAAGTAACTGCTCAGTTAAATAGAAATTTATATGGATTACAACAAAAAAGAATTAGCATACACAATTATTGGGAGAACATATGCTTTCTATCCCAAATGAAGATATTCTGGAATAGGGAACAAATGTGGTAATGATATGTAATACCTCATGTAAAGAATATACTGTGAAGAAATGAGCGCTATTATGAAAATGTTAATTTACTCTAACAGCAGCTTGAATTCTGAGCATATTACATCTAAGATAATTGTAAGACATCCATCCAGGTAAAGAAGTTACACACAGATAGAAACATACACCTTGACTTAAAATCACCACCAATCACTTCCCACATTCCATCTTTTCTCATTTGTAGACAGGAAAAGCAATTCAACCCTGCAGGGTTATTGGCAACTAGGGTAGGTTGGAAGGAAAACACTGAAGCTTTATTCCCTTGAAGAGATAGGTCATATTTTCCTAGAGAATGGCTCCCACTTTTAGAAACATGATTTTAATGTATATTGAAGATTGCACTAGAAGAGAGGTAGGTTTGCTTCCTTGGATAAACAGAGACTTAAGTAATGCCTCCCCCAGAAAATAATTGACACCAGCAAGTACATTGTTATCTAAAGTTCCAATAATTCTTTTCTATTGCTCCTGGCTTAATACTTACTTTACCAGACTATTTTAACTCCAGTGTTAAACTAGCACCGGATCAAACTAGTCATATTCATAGCTAAAACTTTCATTCTTTTCCCAAAAGTATCTACACATCAAAGAAACACCATGAATGCAAGATTAACATCTAGAGATAGCACTTCCACTTCTGACATAAAACACTATTGAATCAAGCAACATAGGAGAAAAGTCTAACAACTTGGCATAGTGAATTCTGATTTAATATCATGAACTAATTTTTTTTAGAAAAATTTCTAATGCAACCAATGCTATTACAGCACAGCGCCATAACACGACAAAGAATCAACTACAATGCACACAAGGGCTAGAAAGAACCTCAAAATGATCTTACGTAATTTTTACTTTTTATAGACTAAAGTGACATTAGAGGTTGGGATGAAGGTATAAGCTCAGCAGCAATGCAGTTGCTTTGCTGCTTGGATTGGAGTTCCATCCCACTGATCACAAATAAATATGACCCCCACTCCCCAATGACTGGATTTCTGCTGTGTGGTACTGGCTGTCTTCCAAGTTACAAAGATCTGCCCATCTCTGCCTCCCGAGGGCCAGGAATAGAGGAATCCACCATCACCAGGATAATAAATAAGACTGTTATGTACTAAGTTAAGTAACATTGTAAGGTAGGAGAATTTGCCTTATAAACACTTACTGTTGATTAGGCTCAGTTTCATTCTGCTGGGCAGAATTAAAGCTCTGCATAGCCTGTACTTCTTCTTCTTCCTCATCTTCACTAGAGGCTTCTTCTGCAGCATGATTGGACCTTGGAGGAGGGGTATTAGCGGTACCATCTGCTTTCTGGATGGAAGGCTTCTGACAAATATATTTTGGATCTCTTCCAAGATTACATATTTCTTCAAGTAACTAAAAGCCAGAGAGCAAAAGATTTATTTGTAATGAAGCAATGGCTAACATTTTGTGAGAATTTTCTATGTGCAGTATGTGTATTAGTAATATATACACCATTGTTGAAATGTATTCATTAACTATAGTTTTACAATAAGAGAACAGAAGTTGTGTAAAAAGTTAAAAATCTTTAAAGATCACATCCCTGTGCGAATTTACCAAGCACCAGCAACTCATATACGGATTCCAATAATCCACTGTCATGGTTAAAAAATGAGAGGAAAATCCAAGAAAAAACTAACCAGGCAAGAAGCTCATACAGACAGAAGCCGAGCCTTTGTGTATCTGTTAATTTCATAACAAAACAATATACAGGGTTTTACACTAAACAGAGGAACTGTGTTAATTCAGAAAATGATCTTGATATAAAAAAATTAGAATCAACATAAATGCCTTTTTCATAAGACTTAATTAATGGTTGTACATTTTGAAAAGGCACAACCCCAATGAAAGGTTCAGAAATTAGGCAGATTTAATACAACCTTTTAAGAAAGCCAGACAACTTTCTTTTTTTTTTTCATTTTTATTTTTTTAAAGATTAGTTACAGTTTATTAACTTTGTAGCCCTGCTGTATCCTGCTCCCTCATTCCCTCCCAATCCCACCCTACCTCCCTTGTCTCCTCCCTACCCCTTCCCAAGTCCACTGATAGACGAGGAACTCCTTCCCTTTCATCTGACCCTGGTTTATCAGGTATCTTCTGGGCTGGCTGCAAAGTCCTCCTCTGTGGCCTGGCAGGGCTGCTCCTCCCTCGGGGGAGGGGGGAAGGGCAAAGAACCCGCCATTGAGTTCATGTCAGAAATAGTGCCTGTTCCCCTTAATAGGGTACCCACTTGAATACTGAGCTTCCATGGGCTATATCCAAGCAGAGATTCTACGTTATGTCCATACATGGTCCTTGGTTGGAGAAACAGTCTCATAAAAGAATATATATAAAATATATCTGTTGTCCAGATATATTTGGTCCTTGTGGAGCTTTTGTCCTCTCCAGATCATATTAACTCCTCCTTTTTTTCTTATGATTCCCTGCACTCTGCCAAAGGTTTGGTTATGAGTCTTAGCATTTACTTTGATACACTACTAGGTAGGGTCTTTCAGAGGCCCTCTGTGGTAGGCTCCTGTCCTGTTACTTGTTTTCTCCTACATCCAAAGTCCATCCCATTTGTCTTTCTAAGTGAGAACTGATCTTCTTACCCTGGGTCTTCTTTCTTGTTTATCTTCTTTAGGTGTACAGATTTTAGTATATTTATCCTATCTTATATGTCTATATGAGTGAGTATATACCATGTGTGTCTTTCTGCTTTTGGGATACCTCGCTCAGGATGATCTTTTCTAGACAATTTGTCTGCAAATTTTATTCCATTGTGTAAAAATACCACAATTTCTGTATCCATTCCTCCATTGATGGACATCTGGGTTGTTTCCAGGTTCTGGCTATTATGAATAAAGTTGCTACGAACATGGTTGAACAAATGTCCTTGTTGCGTACTTGAGCAACTTTTGGATATATGCCTAGGAGTGGTATAGCTAGATCTTGAGGTAGCAGCATTCCTAATTGGCCAGACAACTTTCTAAGTGATCAAAGCCATAGCCACTATCAATCCCTACCTTGATGATGGCAGTTGTAGCATCCGTTTTAAGAGTGGGCTGATGTCTCATGAGCTCATCAACAGCACTCCCCAGGTTGGATGCAGTATCCCCTTAAAGCAAAAAGAAAATATTTAGACTAAAAAAAAATTATATAGAGCCCCAAACTTTTTGTGCCAACCTAAGATGGAAAGAAGAAACTGACTGCTTGTTTGGATTTTCTAACACAAGTCAATCTTGAATGAAATTTACAAGCCTTATGCCTCCAAATCATTGTGGAGGAGAAAAGAAATCAGTCTAGAAATCTATACTGTCAAGATATGAGCTAGTCTTATACAGAAATGAGTAGAAAAAAACAGAACAACCCTTTGGCTGTCTCCATAAAAAATGATCAAGACAAAAGGATGGATTTAAGTATGAAATACATTTACTTATGACATGGAAATGAGCGGTAGGATATGAAGGTTGTTGTGCTGTCCCCTCACAACGTTGCCCAGGCTAGATTAAAATGCCTAGACTAAAGTCATTATCAGCCTCCTAAGTAAGAAAGTACACTTGCAAACTACAATATTTCTCAAACATTTTCTTCTACCTCACCAATCTAGACTCAAATACACAGGAAAACAAAACAAAACAAAACAACAACAAAAAAAACCACTAGTTATCTCTGACTATTTAAGAGAAAATAGAAATACCTGTGCACAACAGACTCATTTTCCACTTTTATAGACTTAGATGGTGGACTTGAAAATGCGCCACTGGTCCCTATACCTGTTTCTTACCCACTATTAGAACAGTCAACTAGTTATTTGGAATCATGGAAATACAGTAAGAAGAGAGGCTAAGAATAAAGTATTCCTTCCTACCTGTAACAATAGAATAAATACATGGGCTAACTCCCATTAGGCTGAGCACACCTAGCCAGGGAAATGATCAGCAGAAAGAAAACTTTCCTTGCCAAAACCAACTTTCTATAAAAGGAATAGTAACAACTCACCAAGGGGATCAGAACTCCTCCTCCTCCGCATGGCTGGGAGGTAATCAGGAGATAGAAGAACTTTGAAGAGACGTTCAAATGGCTGACATTGTACAAAAGACTGAAGACCTCGGGCATTCAAGCAAAGTGCACTGAATACATTTGGGAGGGAACCAAGGACTTCTCTTGTAGCAGGTACCTAGAGAAGACAAAGAGGGTTTAAACATAACTCAAAAACGGTTACGTACATATGCAAAGAAAACAGAGCTAGGGGTACCACACCAAGGACTAGAAGAGATTGACAACCAGATCACAATTGTATTTAACATACATACAAAACAGAGAATTTATTTTATCACTTGCTTCTAAACCATGTGCATATGTGTCTGAGAAAAGGGGTATAAATGAGGTACTCTTTATAGAATAGTAAAATGAACTCACATCTTTGATGAGCAGTGCATGTAGCATGACATCTGTCAGCCCATTGTCCTGGAGTGAGGACAACAGTGATGGCTCTTGAAATACAAACACAGTCACCACTTCAGTAGCTAAAAAAAAAAGTTGAGAAAAATATGGGGAACTGAGACTCTTCACAGGCATTAAAAGCAAATAAACTTAAAACATATACACTAGATGTTTAACAATTTAAACTTGAAACAAAAATAATATTCCAGTAGAATACCAAGTATAGTTCAATAAATATGAAGAATTTTAGTGACTATCCTTGAAGACATTTTACCAGCACATCTTTATATAACTGGTATATAATTTGGTATTTTCACATGTAATTAGGTCAGTTTTCCTATCACCCTAACCTCTTCAACGCGTCTTGTCTGATTAAGCACACATACTAATGCAGGCTTTCTGGGGTAAAGTGAATGCAAACCTAACTGATGAATCTGAATAAACTGTTTTATAGGATTATTTAGTAAATTTAAATTAGAAATCAGGATTCAAAAAGTACACATTAGCATTGCACATAAAACCGCATACTGATTAGACCACTTTAACACGCACAATATTCAGAAATGTGTATTCAAAATGACTATCAGATATTTTAAATATTTACAAAATGGTTTATAGACAGTTTCTCTAAACCATCTAGGAAAGAACAAACCTGCTTGTGGTAATATTTAATTCCTAAAAGAAATCAAGTTTTCATTTAAGATGGTGAGTGAAACATTTCAGATTTGCCATAAATGGCAGTGAAAAAGCAGATTATGTGACAATTACTTGGGGTCAACAGCTCTCTTGTCTTTGTGTGTGTGCATGCATGTGTTTGTGTAAGGTGTTGAATTCTCTCAAGCTGTATTTACAGATGGTTGCAAACCTCAACTGGGAGCTGGGAACAGAACTCTAGTACTCTGGAAGAGCAGCAAGTTTTTTTTTTTTTTTTTTTTTAGTTACAGTTTATTAACTTTGTATCCCAGCTGTATCCCTCTCCCTCATTCCCTCCCAATCCCACCCTCCCTCCCTCATCTCCTCCCTGCCCCTTTCCAAGTCCACTGATAGGGGAGGACCTCCTCCCCTTCCATCTGGACCCTAGCTTATCAGGTTTCTTCAGGACTGGCAGCAAGTGTTTTTAACCACTGAACTCTTTCTCTCTAACCCCATGTCTGGGATGTGTTTTCCTGAAAAAAATTTAAATCCATTTTTAAAGTGTGCTTATTTTTACATATCAAATACAATCTTGACTAACAGTTGACACAAGATATTGAACAGCTTCAACATTTTCCAGAATTGATAGAACTTTTGATTTTAAAACCTTCAGTGCTAAGAATGCTGATTTGAGAAAAGGTTTTAAGTGTGTTTAGGACCGTTTCAAGAATTGTTGGAAATTTGTCCTAATCCCAAGTCAAAATTAATTTAATATGTATTTTTATTAAACTCAAGACAGCAACTAATAATTATCATTGTTGTATTTTAGATAGGGGAGCCTCAGATAGTCTAGGATGACACTGTATCTTCTTGCTTCTACTCTACCGCCCAAGCAACAGAATTACAGCCAACAGCCACTATGCCCAGCCTTAAACATCAATTAAAATAAAACAAAACAATCCAAGCAAAACACATAGCAACTTGATAATTGTTTGTCGAGAAAAGATGGTAGGAAAATACTAAGGGTGTTTTTTTTTTCTGCCATAATCAAACCATTGTACTTTTCTGTTTAAGAGCAGAAAATTCTATACACAATAAAATATGCGCCAATGACTCAGAAGCATTTGTTAGCATTACATGATGTGATGCCATACACTTATAAAAAGTACATGATGTATATTCAGAAACAAGGTCTTGGTGAAGCACTGTGGTGCAAAACCTCAGATTCAGCACATATTTGCTTTTAAATCATTGCCAACTTTTTGTGATGCTTACATTCAGTTATGTAATCCCTCCTTAAGGAATTATAGTCTAAAGTTTAAGAAGCTATGCCTTAACTGTTTGCTCTTACTTTCCAATTTTAATAAAATCGTATTGTCCTTTGTCTTGGCTCTAACTGACTCACTAAGACTTTCTTTCTAGTCACCAAAGATCTTAGGCTATTGAATTTTAGACTAAATGTCATTAAGTTCCCCATGTTGTTGGTACTATCCAAATTCTTGTGTCCCAAATGTGTCCTATTCTAAAACTAGACTCACTGCTACTGGGAATCTTCCAACAAGTAAATACCTCTTTTACCATGGCATACTGAGGGCACCTTTGTGCCCTCAATAATGTAAGCTATGTGTGTGATCATTTATTTTTATGTTTATTCTTCTCATACATTATATAGCAACAACAGTTTCCCTCCCTCCACTCTACCTGCACCCTTCCCACTTCCCTCCTACCCCTAGATCCACTCCCCCATTTCCCTTCAGAAGAGAGCAGCTGCCCCCTCCCCAGGGATATGAACCAAACACTAACAAGCCCTTTTAAAAACATGAGTTTCTTACCATGCGACTGCTAACCCTATTTATTATTATTATGTGCTCTCATTAGAGCACATAAATGAGTCTGGCCATGTCCCTAAAAAGAGAGGTATTGAAACTCGGAGTCTTATCCAGGCAGAAAGTACTAATATAGGCATAGTGGCCTTCTAAACAACATCTGAACATAAAATGGCAAAATGGACAATGGTTTCTTAAAAGTGTCTGCATTTAAGGTAGAAGGTGACTGCCTAAGAAAGTATGAGATTAATGAAAAGACAATAAAGAGGACAAAAGTAAATATAAGAGTACAGACCAAACCTGTGTGGTAGTGGCACACGCCTTTAATCCTAGCACTCAGAAAGCAGAAGCAGGTAGATCTCTTGAGTCTGAGGCCATCCTGGTCTACAGAGTGAGGGCCAGGACAGCCAAAGTTACATAGAGAAACCCTGTCTCAAAAAGAGTGAAGACCAAGAACTTAGGATTGGGGACAGGGTAAGAAATGTCAAATTAATTATTTGGTGGTTTTCAGCATGAAATTACTGCAGGACACTCACCTTGATGTTGTATCCTCCTTAATTTCCCTTTCATGAATCCTATCTGTCCCAGATGCCTAACTAAAATCATGTACAATGCTATTCTGTTGAGCCTATGTTAGTTGTATTCTGTCTGCTCTGATAAAAAATTTTCCCACTAGAAACTACCTTTCAATCTACCATAGGCTGATTTTTCTTTGTCACAACTCCAAAGCCTTTATAGGACCTGACCTGTAGTGCTAATGATATTTAGTACCGAGAATATCATAGATCCAACTACCTAGTATACCTTATTTCATCGAGTTTCACTTAAAAAAAAAAAAAGAGTAAATGCAAACGTGTTTTGGTTCATTAACAGGGGCTCAACTCATTGAGGCTATTCAGACAATGTTCTAATTTATGGCAAAAAAACAAAAACAAACAAAAATAAAACAGAAATCCTCAGTAATTGACAATAGTGTAGTTTCTAGAATGTCTGATTTGTAGTCACTGAACTATACTTTTTCATATTGACCCATGTGCAGTAAGAGGTCCCTTTAAGATACAGACTATCTTATGCCAGCATAGAGTTCAGTGAATAACCAAAAAAACCCAAAGAGTACATTTTATTTTTAAAATGCTCCAAAAGGTCCTCACATCCACATTGACTTCTCTCCACCATCTCCTATCTGAAGTAAATGACTATTGTATTCAGGGAACCAAACTGAAAATTGGTACAATTACAGTGGGTTGACTACACACATTTTGGTCATTAGTGAATTATTTACAGGAATTATGCTAATACAAAAGATCACCAGAATAGAATGTACACAACCATATTTGATTTAATCAATGATCTAGTTTCATTTGCTGTCTACAGCATCACAGTGCTCTCATCAATACCAATTGGGATAACCTTCAAGTACATGTATTCTCTTTTTTAAAAACTTTCCCAAATGCCAGGTTTATGGCAGATCTGAAATCCTAGCTTCTCAGGAGTTGTAGGCAAAAAATTTCAAGTTAAAACCTTGCTGGAATGTCAGTGAATTCAAGACTAATCTTGGCAATTTATTGATACTCCATCTTGTAATAAAAAGGAACAGCTTAGTGTTAGGGCACTTGCCTATCCTGTACTGTACTGTACCATCACCTCCACCTCCAGCACTCTAACCCACCCGGTTCCTAAAGTAAACCAACCAAACAAAACAACTACTAGCTATGAACTTGCTACATTCTGAGCTTACTTCTAGAGAATGCCACATACTCACCCCCTAGCCTTGGACTTCCCTAACTATGCAAGTAACAAATTTTTAAAAATCATACCCAAGGATTACTTACAGTTCTACTATACCAACCTAACCTTGGAAAGACTTTCCCTGATCTGAGGTAATTCTTATAAGAAAATTTCCTAACCAGATAAGCAAATGGAAAATTTTAACATGAAATCTTTAGTTAACATCATAGTTAATGGTAAAATATTGAATGTTTTTCCCTTTAAATTCACAAAGGAGAAAGGGAAAAGGCCATACCCACTTATATTCAAACATTGCATCAGAAATATTTGTGCAGTAAGATAGGGAAAAGGATAGGGTACTAAAGGAATACTATTTATAGATAACAAAACTAGATAAAATATCCTAAGAAATCCTAACAAAACAAGTAAACTTTTCCAAGATCATAAGATAGAAACATAGAGATTCTTCGATTGTCTCATAACAAAGAAGCAAAAGTCTTAATAGCTACAAATCTCTGCCCAAACTGCTCAAACTGTTTGTAAAATGCATACTCCACTAGGTTCAAAGATTCTGCCATTATTTTATCTCTCACTAACTTCCTTTATAGAATTCTAAGTGGAATTTCAATTTGCTTTTGTGATGCCAGAATACGATAAAAATAAGGGCTCTGTACAAGTGAGGTTAAGTACTCTAGCACAATCCAGCTTTCAGGGAGTTCTAAAAGCTTGTATGTATAGCAGGCTGGCACTGAACTCAAAGATCTGGTGCCTTTTGCCTCCATGTGAGTGTTAAGATTATAGATGCATGCCAGCACATTCAGCCTGAACCCCACTTTCAATTCCACTTACCTAGGAGGAAGAGTGATGGGCCATAGTATTCTGCATTGCTGATGATGTGTTTCAGAGAGGTAGGTAGAGAACCATCCATCACTAAAAGAAATATGTACAAAGAGTGTGATCAGTCTAGGAGAGGCATAAAGATGGGTAATAGGTAACAGTATGTTAAACTGTAGTAAATAAATCTGCATTGATTCCAATCTAGTGACCTCTAATTGACACGGCCCTTTATTTTGTTCATGCAGTAAGCTTTAACAATGGGTGAAAATAAAAACAGACACGAAGATTGTGAGAGAGGTGGTGATAGGATAGAAATGATCAGAGTTTAGGTTGGGAAAGGAGGGAAAGGGGACATGTGTAAATAATACTCATGTCTAACAAACATGATAATCAAGTAACAAAAAGCTCTCAATTTACCAATAATCAAGAAGTCTTAGAAAATAGTATACATAATCAAAATACCATGCCGTATGCCATCTGAGAAAGCAGGGTCTTGAATGGCCTTCTTGAGGAAATTCAACATGGACTTGAGAAGTGCTGCTCGTTGGGGAATACACTGGACTCCTGGCATAAGAAAAAGGCAACGTCATATTGAGTTCAACATTAAATCAGTGAATAGGTACATGAGACATGTATTAAGAGACCCGTCTACATCTACTAATGCAAAACTACAAGACATTCAAAAAGTGAGATCTCTGGACATTGGACAGAGTATTTTGAAAGTGGAAATTAAATTGTCAAGGATGGCACAAGATCAGAATTAAAATTAAGAGACGTAAAATTTTTAAAAGTAGGAAAAAATATTATAAAATAAAAAGATTAAACTTTAAACTTCACTTAGCTCCTCTTTTGTATATTATCTACCCTCCAAAATGTCTATGCTTATAATCAATGTGCAAAGTGCCAGAAGACCATAAAATGTTACAGGACATGTTCTTATAAGATAACCTCAAGTATACCATTAAGTGCCTCGTAAAGCCCTCTTCTTCACTAGATTAGTAAGTCAGTCACTGTGTCTACGCACCAGGACGGGGTCCAGGGCCAGGGCCAGAGCCAGAGCCAGGACCAGGGCCAGAGCCAGGACCAGGGCCAGGGTCAGGGCCAGGGCCAGGGCCAGGGCCAGGGCCAATCCCAGGGCCAGGGCCAGGGCCAGGGCCAGGGCCAGGGCCAGGGCCAGGACCTGGGGCAGGGCCAGAGATGCTAGTGCTGCTGTTGGAACTTGATGCCCTTAATTCAACATCCAGCCGGTGCTCCATAGATATGGATGAGCCTGGACTGCTTTCCATAGTTACATCTGCAACTAAAGTACAAGTTATGATAAAGAAACTAATTAGAATAAAAGGTACCAAGAAAGATTTCTGAGAAAACTTCTTCCACTGAGATGAGATGAATGATAAAAAACATGCAACTCTGTATATTATTGGTAGGTGGTAGGTAGTAAGTAGAGCCTATTAAAGGAAGTTAATTAACAATTATAAAAAGCACTGATGATAAAAGGGAAGGATATCTATGAAACATAGAATGAGCAATGCAAGTGAACATGGCTATGCTTTCATCTTTCTGTACTAAAAACTACATACATGTAAAGGTGAGCATGGAAAGGACATAACAAGGGTGGAAAGAGCCATTAAATTAGTAACTACATTGGAGAGTTAGAGTAAGCAATTACATTTCCTTTATACCATTGAAGAAAATAATTTTTAACGTGTAAATGCAAATACTTATTCTCTACAATTTATGGGATGTATGTAGTAAGAGCCCCTTTAGTGTTTACATTTTTCAAGTTATTTTTATACATGTATGTACCTACTTATACAAGAAGCAAGCACAAACTCACAAATATGCAACCTTCTTTGCATTGAATATGTAATTTCTTTAGGAATACAACAAATCTCTTGGATTAGTTTTATATACTTGTTTCCTGGTCTCCAGTTGCAAACTTACAGAACCAAGCATTTCAGATGGTGTCAGAATCTTTACCAAAAGAAATAGTATACTATGATTTACTGTTAAGAAAATTGTGTTTTTATATTTCTATTATCTTTATCATAAGCATAATAGATACATGCAATAATAATCTGGGTCATTAAGACAAGAGTATGGCAAATTCTAAGAAAGCTGTTTTGGGGACCAGTTTTTCTTTTTATTCTATTATCTAATAAGAGAGAGTTGGAAGTGTTACAATAATACACATGAAAACTAAGATGATCTAGCTTTTTATTTCTGGTTTTATCACTTAAAATATCCACAAACAATAACCACTTTAAGTTTCCCATCTTTCTTAAATCAACCAGATACTGTTTCAAGGTCCCAGTTAAGAGTTTATAATCTCCATGTAATTTATCAAGCATATTAAATATCTAGGATATATGGTACTATAGTAGTAAAACAGACAATATTTAAACTCTGGAGATCGTATTTAGTTTTAGTGGTGTGAATAAGATAATGAACCAACACATTAAAAACATGAATTATTAAGTAATTTGCAGAGTGACTTTAGTGGTCTACCGCAGCTCTACCAACTGCTGTACCTCATACTATTCCAAACAATTCATGCATCACCTATACAAAAAAATAATGAAAATACCTGGAAATCCATGTACCTCTTAATTTATGAGGAAGAACTAAAATTGGGGCAGGATAAAGAAAAATCTCATACACAAAAATATTGACTTAATAACTTGTTAATTACCATCCATATCAGTTTCCATTTCTTCTCCTTCTTGAGTGGTACTAGGTCTCTGGATCTTTGGCTTGATCACAAAAGGACATTCTTTTCGACACAAATCTACTTCATGCTATAATCGAGGGAAAATATTTTAAAAATCCTATACATTTCAGGGATTAAAAAATTGTAATTAAAGAATATCAAGCAGATTATAAATTCAGTTAATAGAAACGTAAGAGAGATAAGGTGGTTACTTAGGGTAGTTGGGAAAATTCCTAGACTCAGCACTCACTGGAACTAAATGAAGTCTATGCAAAGTGATTCTTAAGACAGTAATACCTCAAGTCTATAGATGAAGATAGAAAGACCACTATGAGACTGAAAAGCTGCCATGTCCAGGTTGGTGATGAGGTCAACCACTCTGACAGCTCTGGTGACAAATGTTATCTGGTCCTGTTCATCACCAAGAAACTTTATGACCTACAAGAGAGAGAGAAGAAAACAGTTATTTAAAAGGGGAACTACAAAAAAAGTATATTCCTTTGCACAGATATGGTGCTCAAGTCCCTGTGAGAAAGTATAGCATGAAAACAGAGGGAAGAGAAGAACACGTGCCTTAGGTTTTGTGCTTGGTCAAATAATAGTGCTATGAATTCAAAGGCTGGGTTCAACCTCCTCTGAGGCCAGGTGGACAACATTTAATTAAAAATAAATAAAACTGCTTAGTTTAATGTAAGCCAGCAATAGACAGCATGAACCATTTCCTCAAAGTACCACCAACCAATCAAATGAAACCCAATTACAATTAAAGCAAAAATTTTCAAGTATCCTTATATACATTTTCTTTCTTAGAGTCATACCTAATGTCACACTAACATGTAGCACCATCTTTACCCAGGGCTACCAAATTATGCTGGATTATAAAAATATCTTTAAAAAATATTTTAGTATTGGTATTAGATACATTTTGATAATGTGATAACCAGAACTAGAACTATAACTCTTTTAGGATAAGCTTCCTATGCTTATTAATTATTGTAAATAAGTCACAACTTGTATTCCTAGTTGATTCAGCCACAATTACATTAGAAAAGTAGATTACCTTTAGTAAGGCTTCCATCATTCCACAGGAGACCAAGGCTTCACCACCAGCGTCATAGCTGGCCAGGTGGTACAAAAAGGAGAAGAGAGCAGTAGCAAACTGGTGGGGATATGGGTCCATGGAAGGATCTACAAAAGAAGTTGGGAAAAGGATAGTTAAAAAAAAAAAAAAGCGCCCAGAATTTGGTATTAAGCTATCACATTGTTAAACAATGAAAAGTTCAAGAGCTTCTTGTTCTTAGGATAATTACCATGCAAACTTACCAATCATAGCTTGAATGCAGTTCCGCACAAGCACAGGCAAAAATCCATGGTAGGAGGCAGTTCCAGTACAGTCAATAATACTACTGAGCTTGGGAGTTCTCTCCAAATGCACAATTGATGTTAATGTTCGTAAAGAAGCAGCTTTAATTTCCTTTAAGTACAAAGTAAACAGAGTCAAAAGTACATGAATAACTGAACCAAAGTAGTGCTATCTCAAACTCAAAATGTAAGTAATTTTACTAAAACTATTTGAGGAGACAGAGATTGGTGGAGATTAACACCACAATTCTGGTATTCGTTAATAATGATAGTTTAATAATAATCAAAGAAAGAAACAAAGGCAGATATACATATTTGTAGGTATTCATACATACTTACCATAAGCTGCTTATCTGTTATTTGAAGGACATCTACTAACTCCTCTATCAAGCCATTATACAAGATACTGTTTGCTGACTCTTGCAAAGCATTGGAATAGACTGCAAAAGAGAAACAAAGACTTTGGTAGAAATGCAGTTATTAAGCCACCATTGGATAACACCAGCATAAAAAGGTTAAAAAACATCACTAAATTATGACAGACTTTGGTAAGATCTATATACACACCTATTTCCCTACTAAAATTATAGTAGTCTTCGGGAAGGATTTTGGGAAACTTTGTAGGAAAAGAGCAAAGATTTTTCTAACATCACTACTTAATAGAACTTTGGATATAGGTTCAGACCTCGTCCTTTGTTTTCACCATAAATAGCTTTTATAACAGAGTATTTATGACTACTGTAGATTCGGTGGCAAGCTTGTACGACACTACTAAAAGTTTAGAATGTGTATAATCTAGCCAGGTGTCTTTAATCTAGGGAGGCAGAGGCAGGTAGTATCTCTGCGAGTTCAAGGCCAGCGTGGTCTAAACAGTGAGTTCTGGGATATAGGGTTATATACTGTGATCCTGTCTCAAGAGCACTGTCTGCTCTTCCTGAGTTCAATTCCCAGCAACCACATGGTGGCTCACAACTATCTATAATGTGATCTGGTGCCCTCTTCTGGCGTCCAGATGTATATGTAGATAGAGCCCTCAAATACATAAAATAAATAAAACTTTTTTAAAAAAAGAAAATGCAATAAATAACTAGGAATGGGATCAGTAGGTCACCTGATAAGTGGACAATGGAACTGTACGTAGCACATAAACACAAAAGAATTTTATTCAGCTGTTTTGTAAAAAAAAAAAAAAAAAAGAGTTATTTAGGGGCAGAAGAAAGGGGGGGGGGGCCCCCCCCTATGGGGGAATTAGAGGGGAAGGGGGGGGAGGGGGGGGGGGGGGGGGGGGGTTGGGAGGGAATGAGATAGAGGGCCACAGCTGGGATACAAGGTAAATGAACTGTAATTTATATAAAAAAATAAAAATTAAAAATTAAAAAAAGAAAATGCATTATTACACTTTTGCTGAATTATACACTGAGGTTAATACTGAACATACACTCTAAGAAAATGGTTGAGATGTGAGTACATTAAGTTCTTATTAAACATTTTTAGGTAATCATTAGAATTACATAAGTTATACTAGATATGGACACAAATAAAAAAAAAGATTTCATGACAAGATGCTCAGCTTTAAGAGTAAGTAAGCAAAAACTAAATGAAGGTAGGTAGTAATAGCTGTACTTGGCCTTTTATACCTTCTAATGTGCCTAGCACATGACAGGCTTTCTTTCAATTCTTAGAATAGCTTAGAAATATAGTCCCAACATAAAGTACTGAAGTTGACTGAGACAATGCAATGTGTGGCTATACAATCTTCAAAACGGTAAGAGCCACAGCTGGGATACAAACTGAATAAATTATAATAAAGTATAAAACAAACAAACAAACAAGCAAAAACGAAAATAGCGGTTTCAGCTGAGTGGCAGGGGTGCACAAATTTAATCCCAGAACCTTGAATTTGAGGGTCAACCTGGTCAACAGAGTGAGTTCTGGGACAGCAAACATTACACAGAGAAACAGTCTCAAAACAAACAAGCAGCTGAAAAACAAACAAAAACCCTATGATTTCTATATAAAGATCATGTGTCATTTACAGGAAAATGGATGCAACTTGAGACAACAGGTAACATGTCTTCTCCCATTTGTATGTCTTAGACTTTAGATAAATAAAATCATTTGTGTACTGACGATATAATAGTCTAAAAAGAAGTCTAGGGAACAAACAGAAGTGAATTTGGCCAAAGAGGAGTGCAATCAGCTATAACAATTATATGCTCAAAGTACATTATATGCTCATATGAAGATGGCCTTTTAGAATCCTGCATAATTAAAAACTAAAGAACACCTGTGTTTTTTTCTAATCTACTATACCAGAGTAAAAGTACAGAGTATTTATCTTCAGACTTCAAAGTTATACCTATGAAAAGATGGGAAAACTGGAAGAGGAACTATCAAGAGGAAGGGTAGGGACCAGTAAGATGACTATGTGTATATTATACATTTTTAATAATGATGATGCCAGGGGACTGGAGAGATGGCTCAGAAGTTAAGAGCACTGGCTGCTCTTCCAAAGATCGTGAGTTCAATTCCCAGGAACCACACCGTGGGTCATAACCATCTATAATAAGATCTGGTGACCTCTTCTGGAGTGCAGGTAGAATACTGTGTAAATAATAAATAAATAAATCTTTCAAAAAAAATGATGATGACAACCAAGCCCATGTGACGTGGCAATAAAGGTTTTATTTTTCTGGTACATAAAAAAGCTCAAATTGATGAATGATTACAGTAATCCTTGTGAATGCAGATAATTTTATAATTTAAGTTGGCATAATAAAGCCTTATAATAGTAAGGACAGATGACATTCATTAGAAATCAAGTTCAAACTGCCTAATTAGGATCATTTAATTAGTGTGTTCTTACCTAATATAGATATTGCATGCAATCTGGCCTGAACAGCTTGTAATCGCTTCCTGTGATTAGAAAAGCCATGGGCCAGCCTTATATGAGTAAATAACAGCATCTGTAGAGATACAAAACTTATTAGGAAATCACTACAAAGCCCTCCCTCCAGCTGTTATCTTTTAGGCTGATTGGTAAAATGGTTTGTTGCTATTTGCTAAGGTAAAACTTAACTAGTATCACTTTGAGATTAGTTGACAAAACCAGAGTAACAAAACAGGGATTCTCAGTATCCTAATATTTCAAGGTAAGCCAAGAACTGTCACTACACTGACAGAAAATAACTAAGAATTCTAATTTTCACCAGGCATGGTGGTACATGCCTGTAATCCCAGCACTCTGGACAGCAGAGGCAGGCACATCTATTGAGTTCAAGGCCAGCCTGGCATACAAAGTAAGTCCTGGACAGCTAAGTCTACACAGAGAAACCATGACTCAAAAAATTCTAATTTTCAATAAAGTAAGTATTTAACCATTGCAAAAATGAACAGAAAAGGCTAACACAAATTCTCAAAATGTTGAGAAACCTACCACCACTACTAGATAATCATTTGAGCCATCTTGCAAGTTTATTTAATGTTTCCAATCTCACATAATATGGCCTTAGGAGAAAAAAAAAAAACAAATCTGGGTAGCTAATTTGCTATGGTCAGACTCTAAATGTACATCAACTTTGCTATGTCTTCTTGCTTGCCCAGCACATATCATCAGTATTTGGAAAACTACCATATGATGGTAGGTATTTTTCAATATTGTACCTGCTTATCCTTAGGAATGCTGTACATTTTGGTAAGAGATTCCATTATTTCAGAAGGGCTTTCTGAAATCTGTATTAGAAAAAATTAGTTAGGAACAAAGCTACCTACAACCAAAAATTAACTAACCAGTTGTCAAAGAATTCTCTTACCTTGTCAAGTTGTTCTATGTGAATATAATGTAGTGTATTACTAGTTGTCTGGAATTAAAAAGTTAAAAGAGCTGTTAGGGGTCACGAAATACCCTGTAAGAGCCACCTGAGAACAAAATGTCTTTCTAGGTTTAAGCCAACCTCTTTAAAATAAAGGTAATTTCAGAGTCATCTAAACCATCCACTTTCCACATACAATAGTCACAAGATTGCTTCTTTGAAAACACTAGTATTAAATTGTAACATTGTTAGACAGGCATATATCCTATTTTGTGTTCCTCCAAAATTTCAGTATTTACACCAACGAGTGAATCCATGAGACTGGTGTTCTGAAAACAACTTTAATCTATAATCAAACTGGAACAAAGATCTGATTCATTAGGGAATTTCTACACTAAACAAAATCTTAGCAGCTTCAAGGAATTTGAAACAACCACACCATTTAAGTAAGATTTTACAAGCAACATAAAGAGCGTTTTACAGGCAGGCTGGCTTAAACACAGAAACCTGAAACCCAATTATCCAAGACCATTAGGTTGGCTTGCCAACTGAGACTATGAGCAAAATACACGAATATGGCAGTGATCAATAAAAGGGGCTTTATCTTTTGGCAGGTTCCTACATAAAACCTAATAATGTGAGGAAGCATAAGATTAATTGCTGAAAAGCTTCTAAGTACATCTAGCTTCATAGGACAGTGATACAGAACAAAACATTCCCTCATTTAAAGTAAGAGATTCTATAAACCACAACAAAACAATCAGACTCACCCTCTTCTCAATTTTGACCTCAGCTCCAGAATCTGCATAGAATTCAAAGTGTAGTGTGGTTGCACTGGGTGGATATTTCTGTGTATAAAAGAAAAGACATAGAGCTTAAATTGACTTTAGACATAGACATCTCCAACGCCTTCCTCAAAGATCTAGGTATTTGAACAACACATCGCAACGGCAGTATATTCTACATCAATAGTGCCATTAATCCCTTGCCTTGACCACATTTTAGATGACATTGGTTGGAAGCAGAATGAGAAGGGTAGAAAAATCTGTTTTTACTTCTAGGTTACCTTTTTCTCTTTTAATACATAAAGTTTAGCTACAGTTATTCTTGGTGGGGTAAAGACTTCCAAGTAGTAATGCTTTTGAATTTAAGAAATAATGAGAAACAAATACCACAGTCAAAATCTAAGCACCAGATAAAGAATGGAAAAGGGAATTCATGTGAAAACTTATTACACTTTTTCTATTGCATCAAACACTCATTTCTCATTTCTATACCATTCTGGAACATGTTACATGTTCTTCTGCATAGGTACACACCAAATCAAATAATCTATACCCTTAAAGTACATCTTCCTATGACTTTACAAAAGTAACCCAACAGATGAAATTACAATAATAGCCCCCTGTCCATTAAAACATTCCTTTGAAAGATAACACAATGATGTTATCACTATATACCTTTTAAAATGATTCAGCAAGTGTATCTACTACTTAAAATACAAAATGTTCAAACTCTTAACATGTCAGATCTCAACCTTAATGTAGGAAAGGACTGAAAAAGCTAACAGACACCACAGAAACCAACAAAGTATTTATATGAATAACAAGGTTTAGAATTGACCGACTCTTCTTTAAAATAAAGTATTATGTTCTCAAAATTGGAACACCAAACTGAATAGTTTAACATACAAGATACGCCTCCAATATTACCAACATCCATTCACGGCTACTTACTAAAGAATGCCAGCTAAGGTAGGAAAGAAGGTGCTCTAATATGTAGATTTCTGTGACTAGAAAAAAAAGCTATACTAAGGTATAAAAATCTCCAGAAGATATATTAGCTAAATTTGATCATATCCACTTGGTGTTAAACATGAAAACCTAGGCATCAAGTGTGCCTTACAGATATCTAGTTCTACTTGAAATACAGCAAAGCAGTAGGAGGGTAGCCTAAATCCGTAACCAGAGCATGAGTGAGAGATAAGAGGTAAATACGAACAAATACTGATCAGCATTAAGATTTTTTAAAAATATTGTAAAAATTTTATCTGTATGAGTGTTTTGCCTGCATGTATGTCTACTAGGCCATGTGAGTACTTGGTGCCTATAGAGGTCAAAAGAGGCTAGCAGATGCCCTGCAGTTACAAATGTTTTAAGTTGCTGTGTAGGTGCTGGAAACCAAATGTGAGTTAACTGTTCTTGATCTGCTGTCTCTCCAATCCCCTGTATTACGTTTTAAGTAATCCTAAAAACAAAAAAATAAACAAAACTACTTCCAATCAGCACTGCTCCAAGTTCTGATGTGTGAGGACATAAGTGAATGTGCTTTTTGGTTTTTGTTTTGAATGTTTACACAGATATCATGAGGTCAAAGCTGCTCTTGATCTGGTAATCTTCCCACAATCTCCCCAAAACAGAAATTGCAAATATGCACTACATACTCCCAGACTTTTGGTGTTAAAACAAAACAAAATAAACAAGAACAAAAAAAAAAACATTCAATTTGATTCAACAAATTCACCTTATTTCAGAACTAGGTATATGAATACATACTACTCTCTCTTTGAGACTCTCTTCTCTATAATCAACAGTAAGAGCTCACCTTTCCTAAAGCCATTATGTATTATTTTTTCTCAGGTTGTACAAAAAAGACCTGATATTAGGTATCAATTTATACCCATACATTCATTGTTAAATAAGGCAATTAAGAGACAATATTATATCCTAAACAATTACTCACCAACATATGCAAGTCTCTGCAACATTCTGCAAGTCCAAATCCATTCTCCTTTCCACCCCAGCTCTTAGTAAAGAAAAAAAGACAATGTTAACACAATGGTCATGCTTATAAAGTGTTTAATGAAAAAATACTCAACTCATTTACAGAGCAAGACTTTGAGACTCAAAGCAAGGTGGTGTCTCTAATTCTTGTTTCTTCAGTAAAATCTACGTCATGGTTCTTTGAGAGTGCTTAAGATAAGAGCACAAAGCAGCAAGGCCAGCTACTGCATTCTGTATATCTGAATTCATGCTTGCTGACATTCAGTCATAGCTAGTCTTTCTCACCATTTTGATTTTTCATCCTTCTCCATCCTTCTCCACACTTTTTCTTGACAAGAGCCACATTAAACGCTCTAAGCATCTATACCCTTTTTTGTATTGGTTTGAGTAAGAATGGTCTATATAGACTCATACAGAGTAGCCTTGTTGAAGTAGTTGTGGCCTTACTGGGGTTAAACTTTGGGGTTTCAAATGCCCAAGTCAGGCCCAATGTTCTCTCTCTACCATCTGCCTTTGGGTCCAGATGTAGAACTCTCATGTTCCTTCACTAGCACCATGTCTGCCTGTATGCCAACATGTTTTTCAACTAAACCTCTGAACCTGTAAGCAAGCCCTAATTAAATACTTTCCTTTAAAAGAGTTGCTGTGCTTATGGCGGCTCATCACAGCAATCAAACATTGACTAAGATGTTTTTCTACCAAAGTATAAAAGCTTTCAAACAAGTGTCTATGACAGTAAATGGCACAATTCCCAATAACGTCCAAACCCCAAATTCCAGCCATATAATTTTGCTTATAAACCTGTCTCTATCTTCTCTGGCCTTTGCAATATCAAAGATGTTAATAGCAATTCATTTTTTTTTTGAGACAAGGTCTAACTGTGTATGGCCTAGAACTCATATAGATCTACTTGCCTCTGCCCAATTATTGTTGGTATTAAAAGAATACATGCCACCACACCTGACAAGAACAGAATATTTTTAAGTTTCAATAATTGCTAGTCATCTCAGCTACAACCGTAAATTTTAATAAGCTACTTCTACTCTTGCCTTAAGGTAAGTCATGCCTGGTCCAGGTCAAACACAAATGTCTTCACCTAATTCTCACAAATCCAGTATGGGTCCTAATCACAACTGAACTGTCTGTCTACCAGGAAAAGTTGTATACATAGTAATATCTCTATATATAATCTCATTATGTCCTTCCTTAGAAATACAATCATGTCACCACATCTGTAGTAAATCTACAAAACAGTGTATATATCACTGAAGTGGCCATTCAGAGATCTCCAATACAAAATACTACTGGTGAATAAAACAAAAATCTACCTAATCCCAGAGAATTAAGCTTTTTTGAAGTCTTTATTAGCACAGAATACAGAAAATGTGGGTCATTTTTATTAATTCTCCAGATGATGGCAGCAATTTTGAAATTTTGTTATACATAATAGATTATTTTTCGGGCTTTATATCTCAGGTTCTTCAGTGAAAACCATACTGTGAATGAGAATGGCCACCACAGGCTCTTATGTTTGAATACTTGATTCCCAGTTGGTGTACCTGTCTGGAAAGTAGTTGTTGATCAAAGGGATGTATCACCAGGGGTGGACTTAGAGATTTCAAAAGCCAATCCCAGTCCCAATTAGCTCACTCTGCCTCATCACTATGGGTCAAGGTATAAGCTCTCAGCTACTGCTCCTACACCATGCCCGCTTGCTGCCATGCTCCTTACCAATGATCATGAACTCTATCTAACCCTTTGAAACCAAGAGCACCAAACTAAATGTTTTATTTTATATGGTGCCCCTGAAGCCAGGTTTGTGGCAGGGGAGTTCTCTGAGAAGCCACAGAATGGGGCTGTGAAATGTCTGCCAGGGAGAACTGCATACAGGAAGTAGAACCAAACCAAGAAAGAAGTATGTCACAGTCAGCAAAGTTTTTAGGGCAGAACCATGTAAGTTCTTTGACATGTTGTTCAAGGATTTTGAGTTTGAGCTGATAATGGTTTGATCCAGTATTTCTTCACTATAACCTACATTCCTCCATTTTGCAGTGGTAATGTATATTCTATGCCGTTGTATGTTGTAACTTGCTTTGATTTTGACTTCCTAAGGGGTTACAATTAAAGAGATTTCCCTGAGTCAGAGAACAGACTAGACTTTTAAATTGTGTTGACACTATGAAACACTATGGAGACTTTAAGAAGTTGTACTAAATGCATTTTGCATTACATGGCCGTGAGCCTAAGAGAACAGAGTAGAAAGTGGTAGTTTGAATGAAAAAGGCCCCTGTACTACAGACTACATTTGAATACTTGGTAAGGATTAGGACAGATGGTCTTGTTGAAGGAGGTATCGCTGGGGATGGGCTGTGATATTTATTTTACAAAAGCCCACATCAAATTCAATTAGCTCCCTCCATCTCTCGATTGTGGTTCAAATAGTAGCTCTCAACTACTTCTCCAAGTACCATATCTGCTCACTGCCATGCTCCCAGCCCTAATGGTTGTGGACACTAACCCTCTATAACCATAAGAACCCCCCACCAAATAAGCTCTAATTTACAAGTTACCTTGGTTGTGGTGATTATCACCGCCATAGAAAACTAAGAAACAAGCTAGAAAAACCTACTAAAAACTTTACCTCTCAACAGGCTAGTAAGTATTTTCATAGCAATGATAATAATGAAAATGGCAGAGCACAGAACTCCAAAAGCCTACCTGTTATAATACAGGTGTGAATGCATTTGACAAACAGTTTGGAGTCAACTTGTAAGAATTTTGCAAACTAGCACTTTGATATTTAACATGCCCTGACCCTGTCCTATATTCACTCCCCGTAAACAATAGTTCACATTCAGGACAATGAATTTTCATGCAATAACAGTATTTGATTGTTTTAGTTTCTGAAAGACCAGTTCAAATGGCCTGCTATTTTAAGTTTGCTTAATTTGGAACTTTCACAAGGGCAGGAATTTGTTGAAAACTTTGAATGATAAATACGGTAAGTAAGTAGCCCCTGCCTTTCCAGGACAAGGCACACAATTCTGGTTAATTCATGCCTGTGGAGGGCAAAAGCCAAAGCTGGGTTTTCCTCGGGTGGTATCTACATGGTTTTATTTGACACAAAGTCTCCTGCATTAGCCCAGAATTAATCAAGTAAGGCTTCACTGGCTGGCAAGTGAGCTGTAAATATCCACCTGTCTCTATATACCAAGTGTTAGGATTATAAACTTTCCCAACACTCCTGGTATTTTTATGTGGGTCTAGAGATTCAATTCAGATCCTTATACTTGTAGAGCAAGAATCTTCCTGTGAGATATGTCCAATACTTTTGATGTGCAACTTGTCTTTGCAAAAGCTAACTACATAAGAACTATACATCTATGTTGATATAATACATACATACATACATATGTAGTTTGTAAAGGGAACAACATTAAAAAGAGAGTAAGAAAACATAGAAATAAGAGCAATGTTTTGTGTACGAGGTGTGGTGGTACACATCTTTAATCCTAGCACTCCGGAGGCAGAGACTAGTGGATGTCTGTGAATTAGAGGCCAGCCTTGTCCACAGAGTCCAGGACATCCAGGGCTATTACATAGAGAAACCCTGGTGGGGGGGAGGGGTAAGGATGTAAAGCTCACTGGTCGAGTGCTTACAGAGTATATACAGAACCCTAGTTTCTTCAATCCAATGAATCACATGATCAACAAAACAACAATTTAAGCTGGTATTAACTTAAAGTATAATTTGTAAAATAAGATATCAATTTTGATTCCCAGGCAAGAAAGAAAAAAAAAAAAAAAAACACTGAAAACGTGAACAATGCCAAATTAACTAGACCAAAAAGGAAAACTGAAAACTTGAACAATGCCAAAGCGTAATTAACTATACCTAATACACATACAGAACCTATAAGACTAGAACATATATTATTTCCATGACGTTGAAAACACTCCCAATAGACCTTAAGTTAGGTAGCAAAACAACTCTAAATACACTTAAACCAAATCTCTACCAATGACAGTGTCATTAGATGTGGAAAAAAAATCAGAATCTATCACAAAAGGTAATCTGGAAAATTCACAAGTACATAGTAATTAAACAGTTTTCTTAACCACTCCAATGAGTCAAGGAGAAAAAAAAAAAAATCATGACGCTACTTGATCATGAAGTTAAAATACTTGATCATGAAGTTAAAATGAGAGCACAATCCCACAAACTAAAATTAAAAATTATGTATCTCAACACTCTCATCCTAAATAAAGCATAGTCAATGCAACCCAAAGGAACATGGAACCCAAAGAGATAGAGTAACAATATTCAACAAACAAAATTGTAGCTAGATTGACCAAAAGAGTACACTTCCACAAATACATATAGGGGTTACCAGTGAAGAAATAATTAAGTTAAATGAGAACATGTAAAGCACAAGGTCAAATATTTACTAATTGTTTTTAAAGCAAGTGTTGCTAATTATGGCCCAAATATTCAGGAACGAAAGGCATTTACTACAGAAAATGTTCATAATAGGAAAAAGTTGAAAATTACCCAAACAGAAAGAAAACTAAGACAACCACAGATGGCATAACCTGACTGTATTTAAAATTTTCACATAAAAGTTTAAGTTTACACAGAAAAAGAATTTGGTTTCTTCCTTCATGGAAACAGCCCTTTTATCTCTATTTGGCTTTATTTTCTCTGCCCACGCCTCTGTTTTGCTATATAGCTCAGGCTTACAAACAACTAAGCATCCAACTACTGCTCCTGCTGCCCAACTGGTAGACTTAAAGGGGTGTGCCATGCCACTTTCAGCAGAATGATTTTATAAACGCATGTTTTTTTTTTTGTTCTTTCTTTGAGGCAGAGCCTCCTGTATCCTAGATTGGTCTTGAAATTGGTATGTAGTTAAGGATTTACCTTCATTTTCTGATCCTCTTAAGTGCTGGGATGCATGTTAGGCAAGCATTCTACCAACTAACTAAACTATATCTTAAGCCAATTATTTGTATTTTTAGCATGTAGCTCCTTAATATATTTTAACTTTGCTTCCCAACAAATTGTTTTCTAAGTAGTAGATAAGATGTTAACAATCCAATTCATCCTCTGTTAATGTCATCTTTAACATAAATTACATTCTCTTTTTTTTCTGTCTACTGAGTGCTGGAATTAAAGGCATGCCTTGCTATGCCCAGCTCCTATTAGCCATTCTTATCCTTCCCTTCTCTCTCCCACCAAAACCCTTTCTCTCAACAATACCTCCTACTTTCATTTCTTTAAGTGTGTGCATTCCACTGAATTAAACTGAGATTGCTTACAAACACGGTGTAATTTTATCAATTTTGCCAAATGATTAACTTTTTTTTTTGAAGTCTGGATCCCATATTGAAAACTGCTTTATTTTCCTTATATGTTAAAGAAAGCAAGATGCATGGCCAGAGGTGTAGTTCAGTGGTAGTGTTGTCAAGAATGAGCAAAGCCATGTTTTATCCCCAGCACTGATGAAAAACAGAAATGAAGAGGAGATTGCATGTATTCGTGTATGTAATTACAAATCCAAGAAAAAAAGTCTAAACATTAAAGGTCTCATTGGAATTAAATGATTACTTTTTTTCCATATCTTCATAATAGTCATAGAATTTTTGTTGAACTAGTTTTCAAAGTAATGAACCTAAGAATAACCTGAAACTTTCAGACAATCGTAAAGTAAACATCAAGTTAGGTATTAAAAGAAGCCTTCAGTCTTCTGCCTGTAACACTAGCACTGGAGTGGCTCATGAAGGAGAACTTCATGCTATCCTGAATGTGGAAGAACAAGATGTAAGCTCTTAGCTATTGCTCCATACCATACATGCCTGCCAGCCACCACACTCCCCTGCCATGATGGTTATGGACTAAACCCTCTGTAACTGTAAGCAAGACCCCAATTAAATGCTCTCTTCTAAAAGTTACCTTGGTCATGGTGTCTCCTTACAGCAATAAAACAGTAACTAAGATAATGACCCTGCGAAAAAATTCTAAGACAACTTCACAGCAAACCTGACTGTGCTACCAATTGCCTCTAGAAATACCACATAATCTTTGGATACAGTTGAATATTTCTGTAAGAACTCCTGATTTCAATAAAATTACCACCATGAAAAGAAACTGATGACCTACTATAGCACTAAGTACCAAATTCTTAATATGAAATTCCAAGATAATAAAAATGTTTTCAAACAAAGATTCAAATCTAGACCTTTCCCTCCCACCATATGCTTCTTTTTCACAAAGAATCCTTAATTCTGAACTTCCCCGAAGTAGAACTGTCAGTTTTGAACAAAGGATTGTTTCATGAGCAGCTAATGAAATGCTTCAAATTTAATTAATAGTTAAGAACACTGATGCTTCTTGAAACTGTCCCAAATACTTGTACTCAAGTTAGAAAGTTAAGTAAAAGATAAGAAACCATATGTTGTGATGTTTGTTTTTCCAGTTTTCACCCAAGACTCACCTCTGCCAAATGTTGCAGCCTTGTCAGTAGTGGGGTCCTCTTGTCAGAGCCAAGACGTGTGATATAGTTTGATCTTTTGCTAAATACATATAGAAGGTTAAGGACTGCCAGCACCACTTGCATATCAGAGGATGCCAATAATGTTGTCAAATGCTATAGAACAAAAAGAATGGAGTTTAATGCATTAGACACATGGCACTAAAAACTTTTTAAAAGTTTTTAATGTAATAATGAATGTCAACATTACACCTACCAAGTTATGCAGTCACAATACACAAAATATCTTACAATATATAATCTTGCACCCAAGGAACAGTTAGCCAGAAAGTGCAATAAAAGTAAAAACTGTCATCCAAAATTTTATCTGTGTCTCTACGTAAGGAAGAATATCTTGACAGAAATATACTATAAAACATATGTAGAAATAAAAAAAAAACTATTTCCAAGCATTGTGAAAATAAGCTAACTCTATACTATTATTTGCTTTATGACAAATGTAAAAAGAACTCACAAAACTAAAGCTACCAACAATAGCTATGTGGAGTTATGCAAAATAAAACTATTAAAGCACAGCGACAAACTGGGAGTAACCTGAGTGACTTTTTTTTTAAAGACAGTGAACATCCACCAATATATTAAAGCAAATAACTGGTCAAAATTAAAAATTAACAAAGGCATTTTACTTGCTGATCATCTTAACAGTCATGGACTTCTTTGGGCAGCACATCTATTTCATTATCAAAACTGTCTATTTATCCATCCCTACTTAAAAGAGCTGGTACTAGACCTTGTCCAAAGTCATTTTCTTTCCACTTATTGTTGATTGAAAATAAAATAATTAACAAAAGGGTGGTAACAAGGTAATCAAGTTGGCATAAAGGAAAATAATTTCTTCTTACAGTATTTTCTGACGGTTAAATTTGTAGTTATTTTATTTGAGTGTTTGTCTCAATGTATGTCTGTGTATCATGTGAATGCCTGACAGCCCCAAAGGTCAGAAGAGTAGTAAAATCCACTGGAACTGGAGTTACAGATAGTTGTGAGCTTCCTCGTGTCTCCCGTGTCTACTAGGAATCCAAACCCAAATCCTTTGCAATTAAGTATCCTAATTTTTAAGCCATCTCTCCAGTCTCCTTTTGACCATTTTTAAAACTCATGGATTATTCTGTCCACTTTCGTCTCTTGGGGTACAGAGGTTATCATGGGCTCTCATAACTAAGTCCTACTCACATCCATCCATTCAATTTACCATGGATATATTTTTAGAGGTGTACCTCCATACACATTTTGGTTAATATTTCTAGACAAGGTTAATTATTAACACTGCATACACACACACATTGCTATAATTTGAATGTAAAATGTTGCCACATAGGCTTGTATTTGAACCCTTGGTCAGCAGCTAGTGGAACAGTTTTTCAAGGTTGTGGAAATTTTTAGAAATAGGTCACTGGGGTTGAACCTTGACCTTTCTGATTATTAAAACAAATGAACAAGCAAACAAACAAAAAAAGAGTATACAACTGCCATGCTCCCCCACTGGGAAGCTGCCTACCACCTTCTTTGCTAGGATGGACTCTGTCCCCTAACACCAAGAACCTAATTAAAAGTTTCCTTTCTTTAGTTGTTTCTAGTAAGCAATTTGGTCATAAGAACAAAAATAATAATTGTGATAGATATTGCAAATAATCTTGAGATGAGGATTTACAAAGATATACATAGGTTGCATGCAAATATACCATTTTGAATAAGAAACAAGAATCTACAAAATTTGGCATACTGGAAGGGGTTACTAATCCCATCCACGGGTATGATAAGGACTGTATGTATTTAGAATAGAAGACATTGAAAAATGTAAACGTTAATATAAGGAAATCAAACTATTTTTAATAGTTTAAGAATAACTTGGAGCTGAGCATGATGCCACACACCTTTAATCCCACCACTCAGAGAGGCAGAGGAAGGAGTATTGTTATGAGTTCGAGGCCAGCCTGGTCTACAGAGCAAATCCAGGGCAGCCAACAGACAAACTCTGTCTTAAAAAAAAAAAAAAAAGAAAAAAAAAACTTGTAACATCTTTAATAATCTGGTACAAAGATTACTATATATTACATAAAATACTTCAACAGGTGTGTTATACTCCTTACATCTTGAAAAGGTAAAGTAAGTATGAAATAGAGAACCTTTTCCATCAACCCTAAGATGGTTCATATTTATGCCTAAGAAATGCCCTACTATTATGGCTTTCCTCTTGCAGTTCTGAGAACTGAACACACATTAGGCAAGTACACTCCCACTAAGCAAAACTCCCACACACACTATTATCTTAGAAGCTGAAAAATTTACTCTCCACAATGAAAAGGAAAGGAACAAACCATAAGAAATACAAATTCCCTTGTTCATAGATATGCACAGTTATGGTTAAGAACAAACCACATACTCACAAACCACATACTCTTATATTCCCTTACCTCTATGGAACTGTAGAGATGCCGAGAAAAGCTGTATTCAATAAGCAAGGCTGTGAAGTTCAATACAGCCAATAGAAGCATTTTTAGCTGTTCTTTTTCTGGCCTATCACATACAAGCATCCATGACATATTCTCCACTGTTTGTCCAGCATCTGCCAAAATTCCATCAAAGCGATCCAACAGATCCACCCAGTGATATAACTCACACTAGAGAGAAGGATAAAGAGAACATAAAAATATGATAAAAGTGGTTGGGAAATGTGGTGTGCTCTAGTAATGTTAGTATTGAGGAGGCTAAGGTAGAAGGATCCGGAGTCTAAGACAAGCCTGGGTCACACAGTGAGCCCCTTCAGCAAAAGAATAATAATGGTAATAACACTGAATGGGCACTTTGGAGTATAGTTTTATTCTTTTAAGACTGAAATTTTTGTTTTTACTTTTTAAAACATTGGTTTATTTGTGTGTGAGCACCACAGCACACAAATAGAGGCCAGAGAATAATTATGAGGGAATTGGTTCTTTCCATCCATTATTAGGGATGCAGGGATCAGACTTGGCAATAACTGAACCCAACACATTGGTTTTTTATTTTCTTAGGTTTCTTGGCAACAATTCAGGCTCAATGCCAGTGGTCTAGTGCTATGATACACATAGACACTTTTAAGTGACTATGGAATCATGCTATTCCATTGTGGTTTCTCTTGTCATTATCAAAGCATACAAAATGATGTACTAATAAATATCATGCACCCCCATCTTCTGTTATCATGAGTTTACATACCTTGCCAATATTCCATGTTTTGATTTGTTGCAGTTCCAAGAGGAGTTGCTCATCATTACAAACTTTAAGTTTGTCTATTAAGGCTCTGCAGTCTGCAGGCTAAGAAAAATAAACAAGTATTCACAAAAGGTGTTTTAGAATGAGGGAGAAACAAAGAAGAATGAGATAAGTGACCCTTAAACCCACAAAGCAATTCAACTCTTGCTTATTATAAGACCGCCTGGGGTTATGATAGAAACCTCATGAGAAAATACTTTTCATTCCCAACAATTCACTATGCATTTGTTTCGATCTGAATAAACCTGTATATGTAGACAAACTACTCAGCAGTACAATGACAACAAAAGTAAAACTAAGCAGCACTAAAAGTAGAATTAATTAATCTGCCACATAGTCTAAAAGGTAACCAGAATGTCTGGTATTGTTATAATGAGTCGGGGGTGGGGGGACAAGAAAAAAGAGAGAGAAAGAGAGATCCTGAACAAATTCAGTTAAAGGGAAAGGCTAGCAACGGTTTATTTTTCTACAATATTAAACCTTGAATTAGAAAACAGCATAGAGCTTCTGAACTTTGTAAAACTAAGACTCCATTCTTACTTGTTGTTCCCATTTCCATACATTCCTGATCTCTTGTACTGGTGAACAGGACCATTTATCAGGTATCAAGGAGTGGATTGAGAGTTTATAATAAAGGTTCTGAAAGTGGAAAGGAAAATGGTATAGGGACTGAGACTGGAAAGCATTCTATTAATGGACAACAGGTGGGAAAAGTAGTAACACTTTTCGTTTAACTCTATAAATGGTGCCATGGAAATAAAGCTGGCTTTGGAATCAAACAAATCTACACTCGATGATTTTTGTTTTATGATTACTAAACTGTTTGATTACAAGTGAGTCCTACTTACTGTCCATTTACTTACCAGGAATACACAACCTAATAAGCTGGCTTGAAGAGTAAGTCCAAGTACACACAATAGTTTTTTGTTTGTTTGTTTTGTTTTGTTTTGAAATGAGCATGCTGTCTCAGTATTTAAACAAAGAACACGGGATTCAGATTTAAAGTGAGTTTTTCTTTGAATTTCAGCATCCTCATCCAAGAGATAAGTTACCATCTAGAGTTAAGTTACTGTCTAGATATCCAACAATGCTGTTGTGAGAACTAAAGCTAAAGGAAACTCCAAATATTATTATTGAGTATAATATTTTAAAAGGACGGTTTTCTTTAAGCCAAATTCTCAACCTTACTAGATCTACCTCAAATTTGTATAATGTATGAAAAACCCTTAGCATCAAATTCTTCAATAAACCAGGCTTGACCTCCCCTCTCCCTCTTTTTTTTTTTTTTTTTTTAAGTATTTGCTGTAGGAGAAACAGTGAACCAGAATAACAGAAAACAGAAAATGTGAACCACTCATTCACACAGTTCTTCTATCTCTTCTCTACTTACTTGGATCTAGTATAAAGTATAGCTATTTAAATTTCTAATGGCACACTTAGAAAATTCAATTTTATGATTCTGTAGTTTAGGTAATACCCATTTTGTTGTTAATATTTGGGTCTTATAATAACTTGGTATGTCCATGGTATATGGTATTCGAACCAGAAGCTGCTTGAATGCAAAACAGTTGTAGGTAAAATATATTATGCCCTTCGCTAAACTTAAGATTTTGCCTATGACTGACCTCAGGCTTGCCAAAAGACTCTGCTTGGCATTATAACAAACACACGTATGTGATATACGTGGGTCTACTTGAACAAGCCATACACACACAAGGGAAACTTGCAATATAGCAAGCTGGACCCTTTTGCCATTCTTCTAGACCTCAACCTCACCAGCATTTCATTGTTGCCCACTAAATGCTTTAGAGATTACAAAGGAATAGAGTGAAATAGGATACTTAAATGTTACTTCCCAAACTCAAGTATCAGGTTCCTCTTTTTTTTATGTGTATATAAAATAAAGCAAATGGCTCATTTTTCTCTTTCTTTCTGAGACATGGTCTCCCTATACCCCTTGTTCTCCCTATATACACCAAGTCGGTCTTGAATTAAAGAGATTCACCTGCCTCGGCCTCCCAAGTGCTAGGATTAAAAAGCTTGTACCACCATACCCAGCCCTTGCCTTTTGTTTTCAAAGAAATGTTCCAACATCCCTTAGACTTGTGACTGAGGAAATTATTGTTTAATGAGAGAGGGAGCAGTTGAAGGAAAGGGGGAGGGAAAGAGATAGAGGTGGACAGCAAGGAGGAGGAGAGAAAAAATAAATATGTACAGATGTCAGAAGACAACCATGCAGAATTGGTTTTCTTCACCTTATTGGGTTCTAAGGGCTGAGCTCATAGAGCTTAAATGGTAAGTGCTTTTATGTGGTGAGCCATCTCATGGGCCCAAAAAACCTTTCTTGATGTAGTAGACCCACCCCAACCAAAATTTTCACAGGGTTTATCTATGACACACATTTAAATCATTTAAGGTGCTTGTGTTTTCTAATCATAAGACTTACTGTATCTTTCCCCTCTCTGCTACATAAATGCAAACCAAATGAGACTGTCTCCACTCATAGGAAAAGGCAAGCCATCTGTCAGATCAAAGCTTCATACCAGTGACCAGGATTTACACAAAATTTGTTTCCACAGATATCAAAGCTAGGGGGGAAATACTTTGCAAAGCTAGAGGGGAAATACTTTGCAATGCTGCCAATATGCTAATTAAAAAAAAAACATTTCTTAAAAATAAAACCTAGTACTAACACCAGTATGAGAAACTGGGCAATGTTCTACATTGCTTCGGTAAAATAGGCAATTCAAGCCTTAAAACACATCTAGTCAGTGACTTTATACTCTAAGTAATCTTATGAAGCTAGGAAATTAGATAAGTGTGGCTATATGAGCCTTACAATTCACTTAGCATAAAAAATAAAATTTGCATTTCTCTGATCACCTGTAAAATCGATTCTTTCTAGTTTACTCACTTTGTTCCTTCTCTGAAAGGTTTTTATGCCCATTTTGTCATTGGGATATTCATTGCTATTAACTTAGCATGAGAGATATTAACTACACTGGGTTACAAATATTTTCTACACCTTGTCATGTCCCATGACTCCCCACCTAACTGAGCTTAATTGTGATAATAAGTGGCATACAAAACAGCACATAATTTGCATAATTTGGTGAGTTTAGATGGATACATACACTCATTTCACCATCACCACGTTCCAGGTGAAAAACATCAGTTCCAAGTTTCCTTGTGGCCCTTTATGTATGTGTGTGTGTGTTAAGTACAATTGACATGAAATTTATTCCCAACAAAATTCTTAATAGTACACAATAATTAACCTGTAACTGTAAAGTTCTGGAACTTAATCCTTTTTCTTTTCAAATGGGGTATATCACTTTGTACCCCAGGCTGCCCCTGAACTTGTGGTCTTTTTGCCTCAGTCTCCTAGGTGATAGGATTACAGGCATGGGCCACCACACCCAGCTTTTACTCACTTGTATAACTAAATTAAACATAGCCATAGAACAATTTCACCCTTCCCTCCCCTGATAACCACCATTCATTCTGTTGCCTACTTACATACCTTTGACTATTTTAGATGCCCCATATTAGAGGAACATTTGTTCCTCTGTGATAACTTATTTCACTTCTCATTCTTCTGGAGGTTACTTTAAAAAATATATAAGAAACTTTGTAGCGGAAAAAATATTTAAGAAACTTTGTAGCGGAAAAAAAAAAACAAAAAACAAATAACCCAATTTTAAAGTGGGCAAAGAAATTTGAAAAGACCTTTTTCCAAAGACATATAAATGGCCAAATGGCACATACAAAGGTACTCAACATCACTAATAATCAGGGAAATGCAAATCAAAATCATAATGAGATATTACCTCATACCTGTTAGAATGGCTATTGTCATGTGTCCTTTTATTTTGGATATGGTATTTTACATTTCCATTTTGGTTTTTTGTCCTTTGCTTTAATGCTTGGAAGGGCAATCCCCACCTAAGACAAGGTAAACATTCACCTGTATATTCTACTTCTCCTATAATTTCTTTCAAAAATATCTGACTTGATGATTTATGTACTTCAGTAAAACAGTACCCCACACCATCCCACCAAAATCAAAATTAATTGTCTTGGCACATTTTATTGACTAATACTGTTCTTTCCCACAATACATAATCCCTCTATTAAGTTCTTATGTACTCTAGATTGTCCTGATTTTCAATTCTCGTATCAGTAGATTCTTACACTGATGGCACTGTCTTATTTTTTTAAATCTTAATTCCTTAAGACTTTTTATTCTTCACTTTCAAATATTACAGATATCAATATTTAGACGCTAAAAACAAATCAAAATCAAATTATAACTATACAATAAGAAAATTAATATGGTCAATATATGACATTTAGTAATAAACATATTCCAACATCAAAATACAAAATGAAACAAAGAAAACTAATAAAAGTCTATGAACTTACCCTTTGTTTCCAAAAACCAATCAAAAAAGCCTGAATTTTAATAGCTACAGTCAAATTTGACTCTACATCTACTTTTTCCATTGTTATACTGTCTTTCAATTCTTATATTGTAGTCTGAGAGCCCATTTTAGGAACCTACATCTACAGAGTACTGTTCACTACTCCTTTTCCACTGGTCACTTAGCTACTAACTTTTAATCAAAAGAAGTTAAAAAGGCAAGGTAGTACTTTTTTCTTTCGTAGTGTTCAGAATGGAACCCAAGGCCTCATGCATGCTGGACAAACACTCTACAAGAGATCTATTTCTCCTAGCCTCAAAAGTCGCTGTAGTAACACTTTGTATAAACTGGGCATATTTATCTGGAAGATCAGAACAGTTGAACTGGTCACAATGATTTTTCTTCCTGAAATGAAGAAAATGGGCAAAACAACCTTGGATACTCACAGCCTCAGTAGGTGTCTTTTTCAGTTTAGTCCTGTCTACTTTCATGATTCCAATTTTCTGCTTTAAGATCTGAAAAGAAAATCCCCAAAGTTAAGAGAACATGAAGTTGCATATAATCTAGAGTTCTATATTCTAAAACATACAAAAAAATTGGATGAACACTATGCAAGAAACCTTATTATAGAAACACTGGAGTTATGTCATGCTAATTCATGGATATGGCTATGAGATAGAAGAAGGTAAAGAATATCTTTGGTCAGGTGGTGGTAGCAAACACCCTTAATCCTAGCACTTGGGAGGGACACAAGAGAAAAACTGCCTAGAAGAAAGAGGGGTGGAGGGAGAGGAGAGGAGAGGAGAGGAAAGGAGAGGAAAGGAGAGGAAAAGAGAAATGAGAGGAAGAAGGAAAGAATGTCTGTAGATACAGCTGGCCCACAAACTCTGTCACAATAAGCCTAATGCCAAAATAAGCCAAAACAAAAAGGCTTTTTTTTTTCTCTCCTTTTATAGGGATTTCAAATCCTTTATTGACAGTTAAGTATACAACGTTTCTTGATACCTCAGGATAGAAAAACTCACCAGAAGTCTCTAATTCTGGGGGGTGTGGACAGTGATTCCACTTCTGGGAATTTAACCAAAGTCTTAAGATGTACACAAATATTTAACCACATTAATTTATATTGCGTAACTGTGTAAAAGTGGAAACTCAGGAAGTAAAAAAAAAAATCCCAATACAACTGTTTTAAATTTTTATTATTTATTTTATGTGTGTGTGTTGCTCACATATATGTATAGCACATGCAGGCCTGGGACCCAAGACCCGAAATCATTGGCTCTCCTGGAATTAGAGATAAAGATGGTTGTGAGCCACCATATAGGTACTGGGAACAAGTGCTTGTTGTAACTACGATTTCTCCAGCCCTCCATTGGTTTTTAAACTGACTGTATAACTGCTAAAAATATTGCAAATAATTATGTAACAGAGAAGTTCAAGTTCATGATTAAGTAAAAACGTTTTAACATGGAATGCAACTCTATTAAATCAAGCAGTGGTTCACATCTGCAACCCCAGGCTGAAGCAGAAAGATCAACAGGAATTCAAGGTTAGGTTGGGCAACAGAGCTATCTCAAAAAGCAACTAAATATAAACCTATATCTACAGAAAATACTTGAGAAAGGAAATTAATCAAAATGTCAATTCATAATGCCTCCAGGCTGCCTGTCGTCTGTAGATTTTCTTAATGACTGATGTGGAAGGCCCAGCCCACTCTAGATGGTGACATCCCTGGGCAGGTGGTACTGGCATATATAAAAAAGAAGGCTGAGCAGAACAGCAGGAGCAAGGCAGTGAAATGTTTCTCTCCATAGTCTCTGGTTCAGCTCAAGACTCTAGGTTTCTATTTGGGTTCCTTCCCTGACTCCTGAGGATGGACTACGTGATGTAGTAGCATAAGCCAAAATAAACCCTTTCCAGGCCTGCACCAGTGTTAATTCATGGCTAACCACAAGGATTACATCTGATGGTTTTAGCAATGTGCCTTTTAGCAGTAAGATAAATTGTATCATAACAACAAAGACAGTCCTTTAAAAAATTAGAAAACAATGTGTAACAATGTGTAAGACACCTACTCTGGAACACAATCTAAATTAGTAAGATCACGTAACTCAGAAGGACCAAGAGTATGTAACAGTCTGATCAGACCCATGTAATCCCTGGGATCTTTAGTAACAGATTAAGTCCTAAAAGATACACTGACCAAAGTGTGGTAAGAAAACAACATTTCTATTATCAAAGACGACACATGCACAGTAGTAGAGGTAGAATGCAGGCTCTTTAGAATGATCTAGTACTAACTATAGAAGGTAGCCATGCAAGAACACATACATATTTTCTAGGTAGTTTCTGGCCTATTTTGCTTGAATCTATTCCAATGGGCATTTAGGAAGAACTGGTAAAAAATATTCAGGATGTTCATAATTATTGTTTTAATGATGGGCACATAATATTTAAATATTTATGAGGCTGTCATTTTTAACACAAATATAAATCAAAGTAACAGCATATCATCACTTTGAATATTTACCACCTAAATACAGTATTGGAATACTAAACAACATTCCTCTATAATTAATAATATTTAGAATATGTAACTAAAAATTCCCTTTAAAACTACCTTATCATCTAACACAAATGAACAAGATAACTCTTACCAACAACTTCAAAATACCTAAAACGAGACCAACAATCTTAAACCATGGAATAGAACCCATATACTGAGCAATTTAAACAGTTAAATTCAAGGCTTGGGTTTTTTGTTGTTCTTTTCTTACAAAAGATTTTACAGCTAAAACCAGATTGCCATTATTAGAGAGATGCAGTTATTTGCAGAGAAGCAATTAAACTGCTTCTGCTACAAGAAGTATTCTGCTAGAGGAAGTAGCAATCAGCCCCAACATTATACAACTCAAATAACTGATGCATGCTTTCCCTTTAGAATGAATGGGGAACAATATCAATATTATTCAAACAGAATAATATCACTTTTATTCAAACAGAATGTTAGAAATTCTAGCCCTCAAATAGTATACCACACAAAAGAAAGTAACAGGTACACATACCAGAAAATGCAACTATCCCTATTTCTATACAAAATATCATCTACATTTAAAAACAAATCCCACATTTATAAAACACCTCCTAGAGGGGCCAGGCAGACAATTTAGTGATAAAAGCACTTGCAATGTAAGCATAAAGAGTTGACTTCAGTTACCCAGAACCCATGATAAAAGTCAACCATAGCAGCGATAGGCTGTAACTACAGTGATTGGAGTAGGTGGGGTAGAAACAGGTGGATCCTGGGGACACAGTGGTCAGCCAGTCTAACAAAAGCAGAAAAACTCAGGTTCAGTCAGAGATTGTCTTAAAAAATATGGTGGAGAACAATAGAGGAAGGTACTCAAAGCTGAACTCTGATCTCAAACACATATTCACTGGCAAGCACACCTATGTGCATGCACACACATGCTATCCTTAAGATTCAACATAGTAGATGTCAAATCTCCTAAAAATAACATACAAGTTTGATAATATTCCTACTCCAAGCCCAGCAAGACTCAAAAATAGACCTGAACTATTCCAAAGTATATATGAAAAGCAAAGAAATGACAATAGGAAATAACTGTGAAAACTAAAAACAAGAATAATTATTTTTCTCAGTTCGCACAGCTCCATTAAAATTTTAGTTTTTTTTTTTTTCAATTCCCAACCCATGCCAATCTTGCTCTCTCCCATTCCTGCTTCGAACCTGCTTCTTCTCAGCAAGATCCCTCCTACTTTCATTACTTCTTTTTGTGTGTGCCCCAATGAGCAGAAATTAAAGTTTCTTGTCAGAACACTGGTGGGAGGTTGCTTGCTGAAGCAAGAACGACTTCACAGTGACTAGACCAGAAAAAAATGATGTGCCTCCCAACAATCCTTAGTTGCCAATAGATCAGGAAAGGGGGATTGTCCGTTCTCATGGGTAAATCACTATTTTTGGAGACAAGATTATTTCTACACAGGGTCAGTTATGGTTTCCAACAGGTTTTGAATTATACACAATTTGTAGAATTGCTAAAAGATTTAATTAACCTACATTTTTGGGGTGTGAAAAATATAAAATCTACTCTCAACAATTTTCATATGTCTATTAACTTTTCTCACAATGTTATATAATACTGCTGGAATTCACTCTCCTAAAAAGAAATCTTGTATTCTTTGGTCATCATTTCCCAAACCCTTAGCAAATATTTCTGCCATTCTACACTATTTCATCATCCTGCACAATATTAAGATACAAGTGCACATGTACGTATGTATACAACACAGACACACACCAATAGTGCAGACTAAGGAGGAACAGGGAAGTGTATCAATGAAATAAGATTTTTAAAACCAGATATACGAATTCAAATACACCCAAGTACTCTCAAGGAAACATGTCAATAAAAGTTGTCAGAACAAGTTGGTCACAGTGCATGTCTATAAGTTCAAGACCAGCCTGGTCTACAAAGCCAGTCAAGGACAGCCAAGGCTACACAGAAAAACCTTTTCTCCAAAATAACACAACAAAACAAAAAAGTGGTCAGAACAAGAAGACATTCATAATACAGTTGATACTCTATGACCTGAGTGTCATAGCTTATATAAATTAATTCAAGAGGCTAGAGAAATGGCTTGGCAAGTTGTACTGCTCTTGCAGAAGACCCAAGTTCAATTCTTAGCACCCACTTCAGATGGTTCACAACTACATATAACTCCATCTCAAAGGGATCAAAGCCCTCTTCTAAACACCACAGGAACCTGAACTCAAATGCACATGGCCACACACATGCACAAATCCATTTAATTAAATTTTTATAAAATTAACAGAAAATGTTCCAGACTTAAACATAAAATGTATATAAAAGCCTATTGGGAGAAAATAATTGCAAACCATGTACATTACTTAGAATATATTATATAAAGAATTCTCAATGTTGTTTGCCTCTCCAGTCACCTTGAAGTTGTCCTTCCTAGCTGCCTACCTTGGTGGCCTGTCAGACTGGTCCAAGACTCTACCCCATGCTCTTATAAGCAGACTGCTTTGAAAGCTCTACCACGTGACTTCCCTGTGGCTTCTTGTCGGTGGAGTGCTTGCCTGGCATCCTGGGCTAACCTGAACCTTGGTGCCCCAGGGATCTATTCTCTCCCATTTGGTAGCTATGACGGAACCCTCAGGAGTGCAGGATGGAACCAGGCTTAGGAAGAACCACAAGTTCAGACCTCTGATTCCAAAGGGACCAGAAAAGACTATATGACTGGGTATCCAGCCCCAGTGGCTCCAAGGATCCCTGAGAGACTAAAGTTTTACTCCAGTAGTCTCAAGGGGCAGTGTGGATCTTGGATTTTGACTTCTGAGGTTCCAGCAGTCACCTCACTGAAGGACTGGGACGTCTATACTCCTGTGGTCCAGAGGTCTTGTAGTTCTACCCACAGCCCCAATACAGAAAACAGACCACAGTGAGTCTAATATTTGGTATTTGCCCAA